AACTTCCGAGCTTGTCAGCCAAGGCAGATCCTGCTGGAAAATTAAGTTAGGAACAAAATACATCAAAGGATGAGGATATGCCCCAGTAGGTCAAGGGTTTGCCTAGCGTCCCTGGAGCCTGGGGTTAGAGTTTTAGCACAACACTAGGCATGCCTGCAATCCCAGCCCTGGGGGGGCGGTGGCTTCAGCAGCAGGTAGTCTCTGGCTACATAGTGTCCTCTCTTAAAGGGGGGGGGGGGGGGTGAATGTCATATGTAAGTAATAAATATGAGTGAATGCCTTTGCTCCTGTCACTCTCCCTGCAGAGTAAATGCCCTGGGAGGGCTTTTGTCTCAGTGTTGTTTGTTTTTATGTAATGCGGGCATTGCTCATACCAAGCCAGCACTACACCACCGAGTGAACAAACTAGAAGGGTTTTAATTGAAAGAAGTGATTGTGGTTTTCTTCCCCGCCATTTTTCCTGAGTTCTTCTCACCTTGTTGATCAAAATACTGAACTCTGCTCTTCAGTCATCCTGCTCCTGCCCACAGTCCCATTGCACCAGGCAGATAAGAGGAAGCCGGGAGCTAATTAGCATTTTAATTAAAGGAAGTGGGACAGGAGAGGTGGGCAAGACTGAGGCATTGGCTATCTGGGCAGAGCAGAATTTTCTACTTGGCAGTGGTGGAGGTAGACCAGAGTTACTGCAGAGCCACCACTCAGCCGAAACCAAAGTTCTCTTGGCTTGCCATGCAGTCTGATAGTCACCAAGCTGTCTAATTGATTTTAAATTCCTCATTTGTTTCTCATCACACCAAAGGAAAAGGCACCACTGAGTGGTGGCCTACTTTTGTTTTCCTCTCTGTGTAGCCCTGGCCGTCCTGGAACTCACTCTGTAGACCAGATTGGCCTCGAACTTCCTGAGTGCTGGGACTGTGCCGCTTCCACCTGGCAACCCACCTTTAAAACTGTCTGTTCTCAGCTAACTTCCCAGTCTATCTTCTGCTTAGTTGATTGGTTGGGGAAGGGGTGCGTGTTTTAGTTTTGTGACCAGGTCTATATAGAGCAGGCTGTCCTAGAACTCAACATATATCTAAGAATAACCTTGAACTTATTTCCCCTACATCCACCTCAGAGTGTGGGGATAGCCTGCACCACCATGCTCAGTTTCTGCTGTGCTGGGGATAGAACCCAGGGCTTTGCATATGCTAAGCAAGCTCTCTACCCACTGAGCCATCTTGACAGCCCTGGATTTTCCTGTTCTTGAAATTTCACATCAGTGGAGTCATCTAACTGGCAGCTTTTTCTGTAACATAGCCCGTGTCTGTCTTTTGTTCATTTCTGTGTTTATCTATTCGTTGATGGACACTTAGATTACTCCAGCCCCCTGGCTATTGTGAACAATGGTGCAGGAAGCATATGGAATGCTGTGTTTAAGTCCCATTTTCAATTTTCTTGTTGCATTAGCATCTGAGTGTAATCTGTCACATGAAAATTCTATTTAACTTTTTTGGTTTTTCTAGACAGGGTTTCTCTACGTAGCTCTGGCTGTTCTGGAACTCTCTCTGTAGACTAGGCTGGCCTGGAACTCACAGAGATCCACCTGCCTCTGCCTCTGGAATACTGAGATTAAAGGCATGTAACACCACCACCTGGCTCTTTTTAACTTCTTGAGGAACTGACAGACTTTTGTTGTTTTTAATTAGAGCCTCCCTATGCAGCCCAAGCTGGACTTAGTCTCCCTGAGAGCTAGGATTACAGAAGTGTACTGCTACACCCTGTTTAGGAACCTGTAATTCTGGGTCCATAAAATGGCTTAGCCAGTAAAAGCACTAGCAACAAAAGCTGAGAATCTTTATGGTGGAAGGAGAGAACTGACTTCTAGAACTTTTCCTCTGACTCTACTTTTCTACCTGTACATCACACACACACACACACACACACACACACACACACACACACACACACACTCACCTAATCCAGAAAGATGCTCCCCATCATCCCATAGCACCATGCACATACCAGCCCATCAGTCATGATTCTATGCCGTAGTTACTTGGTTGCTCAGTTTTGTTCTTGAGGCAAGCACTGCCTTACGATGCATCACTGGCTGTCCTTGACCTCACCATGTAGCCTAGACTGGCCTTGAATGCACAGTCCTCCTGCATTAGCCTCCCAAATGTTGGGATTTCAAGTGCCTGCCTTTCCGTTTCATGCTCTGTGAAGTTCATTGTTGACAGTGAACTGGAATTTTTTTATATGCATACCTTTCCAGGTTATTTTAGGAAGTTAATGACAGGATGAATAAAGCGACCTAGTACATTGAATTCTCCCACCCTTTCTCTGATCATAGTCCTCTACAAAGAATTATGAGCATGTTTTATCTGACTTCTTCCTCCTATGCCTAAGTGATTCAGTGCCTTGCCTATAATAGTTACTTAATTAACTTTTGTTGATTGAATTAGTGGGCAAGAAAGTGAATGAAAAACACGAATTCTTCTGAGAATGTCAAACAGAGACTGTGTTTTGTTATAAGATTGGTTTCAGCTGTAGGGCACTGAAATGTCAAACATCACTAGGATATGTTTTCCAAAGTGACTTGTCATTGAAAGTGCATGGGTGAGACTCTCACTTTGATGGCCCATTCAAACGTTCTTGCTATTTGTGAACTCTAGAAAATAGTTTATTTATTAAAATCACATTTATTCATTTTATTTTATGTGTGAGTGTTTTGCCTACATCTGCGTGTGTGCCACACATGTGCATGGGGCCTGAGGAAGTCAGAAGAGGGCAGCGGATCTCTTGCAGCTGGAGCTGACAATGGTTGTGAATCATCATCTGGGAATTGAACCCAGGTCCTCTGTAGGAGGATCTTTTTTGAGCCATCTTTGCAGCCCTTCAAAGACATATTTCATGGAAGAAGCTTGAATTATGTGACATCTCAGGGCTCTGTTTGAGACAAATGGACTCCAGTGAGAGGTGGTGACTGCTTTTCCTACATAGTTACTCTGCTGCCGAATTAGTAGGTTTGCCTGTGTTGGATACATTAGAATCAACTTTAAGAAAAAAAACTCGTTAAATTGTCAAGAAAAGAAAATGATTTCCAAGTTAATTTATGGTCACAGTTTTAAAGCCTGCTGTTTTCTCCCCAATTTTTCTCTTATGAAAAGGAATAAAATAGATTCTTTGAATGACTTCCTCTTGAGACAGGTTCTCACTGTGCAGCTTCTAGATAGTTCTCACTGTGGAGAGCAGGCTCCAACTCACAGAGGTCTGCCCACTTCTTCCTCCTAAGCACTGGGATTAAAGTCATGAGCTGCCATGCCCAGCCTTGAACTACATCTTTCTTTCTTTCTTTCTTTCTTTCTTTCTTTCTTTCTTTCTTTCTTTCTTTCTTTTCAGGCCGTCTATCTACTGTGACTAGACTGACTTATTTAGTCTATTATACATACAGCAGTGTTTGGGGGTCAGGCAGTCCCATGACCAATGTGGTCACCCCTGAGAGTGCCCTTCCTCAGATCTGAAATGGAGAGAGCCCTGTTTGATGGACAGCTGGCAGATATCTGGAGCCAGACAGTGTACCCTTTGGAGCATTTCAGCACACACTCACATGATAGCCTTTCCACCAGGAAGAGTTAAGGTCTCCAGAACATAGCACAGCTGGCTCTGGGGTGGTTCCTCCCAGAGACAACAGATAAAGCTGCAAAGAATCTGCTACTATCCAGGGTCCATCAAGAACTCTGTCCACGAACAATAGGAACTGCTCCAGCTAGTACTGGCAAGTTACACAAAGGTGGTCAGACTGCAAAGGAATGTCTACACTTGCATACAAAGGCATTGTTCAAGCAGGGACTCCTTTCTCTTATTCCTCATGTTGCCTTTTGCATCAGGGGACATCCATGAGAGAAACACCACTGGTCCTCTTCCTTCATGGGAGAAGGGACTTGGATTTGCCCTAACAGTGTTAGCAGTTGGTGCTATATCTATCCACAGCCAAGAGGAGCCTCAGTCAGGAGACCCTAGACAGGCTGACAGTGCCAATAACCCAGGACTGCCTTGTTTTCAAAATGCAAAGTTCCATGTGCTAGGAATCTCTCCATTCCAAGTATACTTGGAGGGTTTGTCATTCTAAGACGGTGTGTCCTGTGAAATAGGCGCCAGCTGATCCCCCACCACACACACACACACACACACACCACACACACACACACACACACACACACACACACACACACACACACACACACACTGGGTGCCCAGGCTCCCTGGATAACCCAGGGACCAATGGTTTATGTAGGAACAGGTTAGAGAGTTCTGAGTGTCCTATACTGAGTCATCAGAGATGTCTGAATTTCCTCCCCCAGAGCACACTCGTCCATACTTAGGGAGGCTCTAAATCCAATTCTTTCTGAGTTGTTTGGGTGCGTGCATGTGTGTGTGTGTGTGTGTGTGTGTGTGTGTGTGTGTGTGTGTATGTTTACCAGTATACACATGGCTGGGGTGTGCAGAAACCAGAGGTCAACCTTGGATATCTTCTTCAATCACTTTCCACATAGTGCTTTGAGACGGAGTCTCTCTTTCTCGTGAGCTCACTGATTTGGTTAGATTGGCTAGCCAGCAAGCCCCAGGGAATCCACCTGTCTCTGCTTCCCTGCCACTGGGATTACAAGCATGTGCCATCACACCCAGCTCTTTGTCATGGGTTCTAGGGACTAACCTCAGACCCTTGTGCTTCCATAGCAACCAATTGACTAATTGAACCATTTCTCTGGGCCTCTATTTTTCCATATAGAAAGTGGGTATGCTCATTCTGTCTGGAGTGTGGAAGATGGAAGAAAAAAAACATGTAAATTAAAGTGCATATTCAGCACAAAATATGCTTGATTAAAGAGTATTTGGCATACAGCAAAGGAATTTGTATCCTAAGAGCCTTCTCCTGGAAGTGGGAAATGGTGGATTTAGATGCCTGTTGTTGACTGTGGTCCCCATGGGCCTAAGTCTGTACTTTTGGTCTCTTTCAGGACAGCTGCAAGTGAAGGGATCCTCTTCCTGAAGGAGGGGTCATGGCCTTCTTGTTGCTCTCCCGGCGGGTGGTCTGCAGCTCCCAGAAAAACCTCTGCCTCTTCATACCTGGTAAGCCCCCAAGGTCTTGGCATGACCTACTCCCCAAGAGACACAGTGAAGACAAGGAGGGGTGGTCTCTGGTCAGAGTCCTCGAGGATAGAAGGATCTAGCTGCTTCTGGAGCTTTCCTGGCCATCTCCAGTGAGACTGTCACCATTTCTGTCTGCTTCCTCACCCCTGTCCACAGACGGACAGTTCTCAAGTAGGAAGGGAGTTGGTGAGGTTGAGAGCCACTCTGCTCCAAGGCAGAAGAACCCAGAAAGGAAGATTCGAAGCTGGGGTTGGTGCCAAGGACTAAAGAAAGTCACATAAGTGAAGCCAGAGGTGTGTGCAGCTCAGCGGCAGAGTACTTTCCAAGCACACCAAAGACCAAGCTTTACCGCACCCCCCCCCAGCTCTGTATATGTTGGGGCATTTGGGGTGAGGAGATGGCTCATTAGATAATGGATTTACTGTGGGAGAACTGGAATTCAGATCTTCACACAAAAGCTGGTGGATGTGGCAGTCTGTTTATAATTCAGGCTTTTAGTAGTAAGATCATCCCAGGGTTCATCAGGAGACTCTGGGATGGCTAATGAGATCAGTCACATCAGCCCAGGGTTCACCAGTAGGAGAACAATTGAAGAAGACACTTGACGTCAACTTCTAGTGACCCAGCACACACACACACACACACACACACACACACACACACACACACACACACACAACACAAATGGGTGAAGTGGTAGCCACCTTTAATCCCAGCACTTAGGAGTTCAAGTCAGGAGGATCAGGAATTCCAGGGTATCCTCAGTTACATAGAAAGTCCAAAGCTAGCTTGGGTGCATGAGACATGTGTAAAACAAAAAAAGCTGAAGTCACAGGCATGAATGCCAATGGCCATGTAATTCCAGCATGAAGGAGGTTAAGTTGGAAGGGTCAGGGTCAGGAAATCAAGTACAGCCTTGGCTAAAAAGGAAAGAAGGAAGGTAGTGAGGAAAGAGACAAAGGGAAGTGAGAAGGAAAAGGGAAAGAACAGATGTCAGGAGGATATACACACAACCCCAGCTGATAACTCTCTGGCTTGAGTTTTGGTTTGAGTGTTTGGGCACTAGACTCTGACTGTGAACTCTGACTCACTCCATTTAACCACGCACGGCATGGGGCTGTCTCACAGAGCTCACCTGCAGCGAGTCAGGAATCTGTCACCAAGTCATTAATTGCAGTTATTTATTTTTGAGACAATGCTCTATAATCCCAGCACCCAGGATCATGAGTTTAAGGCCAGTCTGGGATGCTACATAGGGAGTTCTAGGCCAACATCATGAGATCTTGTCTCAAAAACTAACAAAAGGGGCTGAGGCAATGGCTCAGTCTTTTGAACCTGAGCTTTGGGAACTGAACTCAGGTCGTCAGGCTTGAGTAGCAAGTGCTTTACCAGCTCAGCCAACTCTCTGGTCTTGAGGGTCAGTAGTCACGTAAAATCTGGCTGTGTAAAAGCTGGGCGCGACGGTACACACCTGTAATTTCAGCATTGGAAAAAGAGGCAGAAGGGTCCCTGGGATTTCTGGCTAGCTAGTCTAAGCAGATCCTTGAGTTCCAGGTCGGCTCAATGAGAGGCCCTGCCTCAAAAAATGAGGTGGAGAGATGGAAGAAGTCACCACCCTACTTCAACACATTCACTTTACACACACACACACACACACACACACACACACACACACACACACGAGCTCAAGTACACAGACACACACCCCTACACAGACACACACCAAATGAGTGAGTGAGTGAATGATAGGAAGGGCAGGGCATGGCTCTAGTTGGATTTCACTTTGACATTATTTAGGTTTACATACAAAACAATTGTTTTCTGCGGATGATATTGTCATTTATCAAGATCAGAGAGTAGGCTCAGCTGGTAAAAGCACTTGCTACTTTGGCTGGGTAGATTTGTGTCAACTTGACACACGCTAGAGTCAACATTCTCTCAATTGAGAAAAAGTCTCTGTAAGATCTGACTGTAGGGCGTTTTCATAATTGGTGATTGGTGGAGGAGGGTCCAGCCCATTGAGGATGGTTCCATCCCTGGGCTGGTGGTCATGGGTTCTAAAAGAAAGCAGGCTGAGGAAGCCATGAAGGAGCAAGCCAGTAAGCAGCACCCCTCCATGGCTCCTACATCAGCTCCTGCCTCAAATTTCTGCTTAATGTGGGTGATAGGAGCCAAACTCAGTCCTCTACAAGAGCAGTAAGTGCTCTTAGCAACTGAGCCATCTCTGCAACCCCTAGAAAGAAGTTTTTGGACTGGTAGGATAGCTCAGCAGGTGAAAGCACCTGCCACTCAAGAGTAACAACCCGGGTTCAATCCCTGAACCTACAGTGAAAGGAAAAAACCTGAACTCCCAAAAGTTGTCCTCTGACCTCCACTCCACACACAAGGTGTTACACTTGCACAAGCACCCTCATACACACGCACACACTGAGATGGAACCTAGGGCCTCCCACATGTCAGGAGCTCAGTGTACTGAGTCGATCATTTTCTTGCTGTGTGTCTTCAAAAAGGGCCATGGGGAGCTGGAGAGGTGACTCATCAGATAAGCATACTGGCTGCTCTTGCAGAGGACCTACGCCACTCAGCTCACAACCACCTTGGAGTTCCAACCACTCCAGTTCCAAAGGCCCCAATACCTTCTGGCCTCCACGTACTGCATGCATGGTGCCCATAGGACAAGCCAGCAAACACACATGGAACAGGAAGCTGGACCAGCTTGATGTTCTCCCTTCGGATGGGAGCATTTTCCTACAACTGGCTTCTCCCAGTTTGAGAATTCTCATTGTTCTCACAGTGTCTGATTTGTTCAGATGCAGTGTTCCTGGATGGCCTTGTCAGAACAAAACTCAGGTCCTGGGGCCATCTGTTAGGGACTGAGGGCATCTGGTGGGACTGCTCCTCCTTGTGTCTTGCTCCCAGGGGTTCTCATTTGTCTTCTCTATTGCAGGATCCAGATGTATCAGTCAAGCTGCTGCTAAAGTTGACATTGAATTTGATTATGATGGGCCACTGATGAAGACAGAAGTCCCGGGGCCTAGATCTCAGGTGAGTCGGCCACACCTGGGCCAGGTGTGGCACACCAGGAGCCAGGTGCCCAGACAGCTTAAGGGTACTTTCAGAGCCTCTACTAGAGATGGGTGTGAAAATGACCGAGACCACTGTGAAGGTTTCAAGAATGTCTCATGTCTGCTGTCATGAGAATGTCCCCTAACAGTCAGTCACAGACAGGGAACATGTGACATTCAGATTGCCCAAGTATTTAGAGTTAACCAGCAGTTAGGAAGGTGGCATTGCTGGAGCCATCTGCAGGGGTGGCTGGCTGGCAGCTGGTGCAGTTTCCACCTGCATGGATCCCTGTTCCTCCAGCTTGTCACACCGGGCTTATTCTTATCTTGCTGTAAGTCTATTGAGACTGAATCCCCACGCTGGCTTTCATTGGCCCCACCTTACTCTGTTGGCCAATGGAGTCTAATGGGTCACTGTCAATCCAGAATTAAGGGCTGGGGCTGAGCTCACAACTGGCAATGGAAGTTGAGGCAAAGATAATCGTAATTGTAACATCAAGAAGGTGGTCTGTACAACAAAGCAGAACAGGGGACTAACTTGGGGAAGGACAGAAAGGAGCCAGAGACAGGAATAGGACGTGTGGGTGTGGAGTGAGGGCAAGGAACAATGGAAACAGATGCCATGGTGAGATTCATCACTTTGTATTCTAACCTAATTATTAAAATAATAATAATAATAATAACAATAATAATCTGGGACCTTCAAGCCCAGCTTGAAGATGTTCAAGCTGGGATGGTGGCTTACACCTATAATTTCAGCACTTGGGGGTGAAAGCAGCCAGACCAGCATCATTCTCTGCTATATAAAGAGTTCAAGGCCAGCCTGAAACACCTGGGAAGCTTTTTCCATAAAACAAAAAGAAGTTGTCTTCTGGGCAAGAGATGTAGTACAAACCTTTCAAAGCTTCAGTTTTGTTTTCTGTGATTTAGCGCACTTTTTCCCACAGTGGAATGCTCTTATTTACTGTAAAAAGATCATTCCTTTTGCCATAGCATCTATTTTCTGAGTTCAGAAATGTTTGTCTTAATTTAAGTACTTAGTTGGGTGGTTTTGTCAAACAGAAGGAGAGGGCTTTTATGCATATTCCTTTTGGGGTGAACTTTAATAGACAAATGCCCAAAATAGCTTCTCATATTTTTTGTTAATATTATTTTATATTTTTGTGTGGAAATATGTAATGGCAAGATGCTAACTGCTGAAGTCTCTTTTACGCTAAATTATTTGGGGGGCTGAAATCTTACAAATATCAAAGCAACTGGCTTTCATTTCCTAATTTGTATTTGGAATAGGGGAGAGTGAATCGTAATCAGAAGTGGTCCTTGGTTGGGCAAATTAATGTTGTCAGTTGATTTTACCCTCGGTTGCTGATAAGGGAGTTACATCTTTTCTTTCTTTTGTCCCCTAGTGCTGGAGATCAAATTCAAATGCAGGGCCTTGTGCACACTCGGCAAATGCTTTACCACTGAGCGTTTAATTAATAATTTTATGCACATGTGTGTTTGTCAGCATGTAAGTCTGTCTACCGTGTGCATGCAATGCCCATGGAGACTAGAAGAGGTGGTTGGATCCCTTGGAACTGGAGTTACAGAAAGTTATGAGTTGCCATGTGGATGCTGGAACTGAACCTGGTTCAGTGCTCTTTCTTCTTTTGAGCCATCTCTCTGGCCTGACTGAGCTGTTTAAAAATGAGGGCATGGGCTGGCACATTTGGCTGATACAGGCGCCAGCCACTAAGCCTGTCACTGGGGTTGATTCCCAGTGACCCACATGGTGGAGGGAAAGAGCTGACTCCTCCAAGTTGTCCTGACTGTCACGTATGCAGTATGGTGGGTGTATACTGCCCACAAACAAAATAAAATAAATAAAAATGTCAAATAAAATGAGGGCTGTGGTGGGGCCCAGTGGCAGAGCACTCACCCAGCATGGGCAAATCGCTGGATGCTATCCCCAGAGCCACAGACAAAATTAAATTCCCTCAGACTGGGTACAGTGGCCCAAAGCCCTTAATCCAGAACTCTGAAGTAGAGGCAGCATACCTTCGTAAGTTCAAGACTGACCTAGTATACTTACTAAGTTCTAGGCCACCCAGGACTACACAATTAGACCCTGTCTCAAAAATAAATAAGAAAATACATTTTCACTTCCTTTTCTTTCCCAGGTATTTAAATCCAAATCTCTGATCTGTCTGTTGTACCGGCCCCTTACTGTGCTGTGGAGTAGATTTGTATCGATTATTTGAAATTAAGTAATTTTTGAATATTTACTTATGATATTGACTAATAAATATTGTCTGTCAAGTACTTAGCATCAGAAAACTAGGAAAGCATGGGAGATGTTTAAGCCACTTGGGCAAGAGTGACATCCATGACTGATGTTTCTGTTCTTGCCTGTAGGAGTTAATGAAACAGCTAAACACAATCCAGGTAAGTGGGCATCAGGTGATTCTTTTTTAATGATTTTATTTGCGTGTGCATGTCTGTATGTGTATGTACATATGTGTAGTTGCCCATGGAGACCAAAAAAGGGAGTCAGATCCCCCTGGAGCTGGAGTTGCAGGCAGATGTGAGCTGTCTCACATGGGTGTTCAGAACCAAACTTGGGTTCTCTGCATGAGCAATACAAGCTCTTAACCACTGAGCAATCCCTCTAACCCATGTTTTATTTCTTAATTTCTATTCCTTTCTAGTTTTCCTAGTGGCTTCTCTGAGGCTTCTCACACATTCTTTAACTTGTCAGAACTTGCTTCTGAGTTACTTTCCAACCTTTTTTGTTGTGATAAACAATCCAGACATAAAATTTCACAAAACACAAGACCATGGCTTCACCAACATATTTCAAGCAAGCCACTTGTGTCCTCTTTCCCAGAAGAAGACACAGAAGCTTGCCAGCACCCAGATTCCCGTGTGGTATAGAACAAGCAGGGTGCAGTCTGTTTCCACAGTTCAAGCTTGTTCCTGAAAGACTAAGAGTCTAGGGAGTTGTAGCCAGCCTGAACTGGTGTCCTCTTTCTCAAGAATGCAGAGGCTGTGCACTTTTTCTGCAACTACGAAGAAAGCCGAGGCAACTATCTAGTGGATGTGGACGGCAACCGCATGTTGGACCTGTACTCTCAGATCTCCTCTGTCCCCATAGGTAAGAGCTGGACAATCACCTATCACTCTTTGTTGTTGTTATGATCATCAGGCTTTGGATATTTGCCCTCCATGTTTTACCAGCCTCTCTCCCAAGGGTGGAAAGAACATGATTAGACATTGATTTGTTGTTGCTACGAGTTTTTCTTTTAACTTTAAGTATGGGAGTATGTTGCTTGCATGTATGTATGTATGTGCACCAACTGTGTACAGTACCCACAGAGGCCTGAAGGGGACATTGAATACCATGGGACCCAAATTACAGATGGTTGTGAACCTCCATGTGGATGCTAGAAATAAAACCAGGGGCCTCTAGAAGAGTAGCCAGTGCTCTTTCTTAACTGTTGAGTCAACTTTCCAGTCCCTAAGGATTGTTTGTTCACACTATTTTTAAGATTTATTGTTAAGTATGTATGTGTATGTGAGTACCGGTACTCATAGAATCCCTGAAGCTGGAGTCACAGATGGGTGTGAACTGCCTAATATGGGTGTTGGGAACTGAACTTGGATCTTCTGCAAGAGCAGGAAGTGTTCTTAATCACTGAGCCACAGATCCAGCCCATTAGACATTGTTGTAAATAATAAAGATTCTTTTCAGGTTTGGTAGACAGAAGTGATGTAATCAACTTCAGGTGGTTCGATCCTTTAATGACCCTGGCACCTGAAGTGAGGGAAGCTGGGATAGGAGATCCAACAGCAACTCACAGAGCAGAGGATCCTTACACTTACAGACTTTAGAGGTTAGAAGTCTCTGAGCTTAAGAAAGGAATGGACTCTGAGCTTAGCAGGTTAGTGAAGGTACTAGATAGTATGTATGGCAGTGGTTTAGGAAGCTGGCCCTCTTGCTTCATCCTACCTTAGCTGGTAGATGCTTTGCGGCTTGGGGAAGGTACTCAACAGGTGCAGCCTCTGTGATCTGACACATACCAGGGCCTTCTCTCCTTTCCTCCTCCGGATGTCACCAGATATGTGTGTATTCATTTTTTTTACCTATTTTTCAACTGGGTGAAAAAAGTTAGAAGTGGTAGACTTGCAGAGCAGTCAGAGCTCAATTGAGCTGTCTAGTTTGGGTTTGCTACCAGAACCTAAGGCGAGGATTCTTCAAGTAATCTACTGAGAGAAAGCCCCAATTGAAAGGGAAGGCAGGGAAACAGCATCCAACAAGAGAAGATCAAAAGGATGAGGTCTCTGCTAAAACCACAGCCAGACTGAGGACGATCATTGGCCTTTTTGCACCCCTGGGCTGGCTGATTATTGCCTATCCACTGCCAAGAAGAGGCCAGGCAAACTGGCCTCCATGCATGGAAGGCAGTTTTCAGAGGAGGCAGCTGGAGTCATTATCAGCCAACACAGACAGCAGCTGGAATATGGGGGTGATCTGCCTGGGAAATGTGACCTTGATGAATGACAACAGCACCTGCCTCAACTGGGCTCACGTTCCAGCTACACAGAGCTGACACAGACAATGGGACGGACAGGGTTAATGTGGAAATGAGATAGATGTTATTTTCAGCTCGGATGGTTATCGTCCCTTTGGTTGATAGATGCCCAGCTGTGTTCAGTGGCCTGTGGGCTGTGTCTGTCCCTTCAAGGATGATACTGCTCATCTTCTGTGGAGGAGACAGACATGGGGGAGTTTGTTCTGAGGCTCTGTGTTAACAGCTCCCCCATTCCCATCTCCTGGCACCCTGAGATCTCCCCTAACCCCAAGTCTCGGGTGTCCATTCCTCCTCTGCCTTCCTAGCACTTGTCCGAAGACCTACTGATTCCTTATTGAGATGTGATCAGTCAGCAGCCGAGACTTCAAGGATGCCCCAGCCTCTAAAGGCACCAAGGGTTTAAAGGCTTACACACCCCTCCTCCCCTTGGTTTTCATCTGCCGTTTGATTATTTATTTATTTATTGTGTGTGAATATGAATGTTCAAGCCAAGGTGCATGTATGGAGGTCAGAGGACAACTTGCAGGACTCAGTTTTCTCCTTCCATCACGTAGGTTCCAGGGACTGAACTCAGGTCATCAGACTTGGCAGCAAGCACCTTTACCCATTCAGTCACCTCAATGGCCCCGAAGCTGGTTTTGAGCTTGCCCACAAGGGCTAGCATAGGCATGCACTACCAACCCGGCTCCCAGATATTTTCTTAAGCTAATACTCACTGAGAATCTACCAAAAGCCTGGCATGTTGCCAAGGGCTTCACACATTCATAAATGGCCATAACTGCCCTATTTTTACAGGGTCTTTTGATATTTATCGTCAACTGGCCTCACTTTAGACTCCAGGAGGTCACAGAAACTGCTTGGGGATACAGGGAGTCTGAAGTGCTTCCAGGACACAGACAATGAGTCTAACTCTTACATTCCTACGGAGCCTTACAGACACCTGCCCTGCTGCGGGGGTCCCACAACTCAAAGTCAGGCTTAAAGTTCCCTAATTGGAGTTCTGTTTTCATCTCTCTCCTTTGGGAGCCAATGAGTCAAACTGCCTCTGCAGTCTAATGAGGTTTCCCAGGACCAGGCTTATCTACTGAGGCAGAAAAGTCATAAACACCCAGGCAGCATGATAAGCCAGAACTCTGGCCAGAAAACGGTTGGAAAAACCCAGAGAGCGTTCTCTCCTTGAGTGATGGGCAGTGTCTAGTCCTGGGCCCTGCAAGCTTTGCATGGGCTGGGAAGAGACTGAAATGTTAACTCCCTCCCTGGTTTCCTTGCTTCAGTGCTCTCCCACCCCCCAGCCTGTCCTCCACAGCCAGCACAGTGAAACCAGTCTGGCCTGGGTGGTGCTGGATGTTTAATAGTTGTCTAAGCAGTCTTTGAGGGAGGAGAACAGGTCCCTGTTCCAGAGCCTCTGCAGATAGCATAAAGATTGTTTCCACTGCATTCAGCCGCTAGCCTCAGTGGCACAAAGTGTCCTTTCAAAGTAAATGTATTTTGATTTAAAAATACACCTTCCTCCAGTGAAGGTGCTAAGAGAAAGTACTGGAGACTGTGTAGCTTATAAACAACAATGGTTTCTCCCAGTTTTCAAAGCTGGCTGTTCAAGACAGTCATCACTGATCTAATATCTTTCTGGGACAAAGCGCTGCCTCCTCCCACCATGTCCTCATAAGGTGGGAGGTTGAACACCCCCTTGGGTTTTTGTAAAGGCACTAATTCCCTTCACAAGGGCTCCACCCACACGGCCTAATCACCTTAGGCCTGGAGTGGCTGAAAATAAGCTCCGAATAAGGTTATCACCTCAGGGCCAGGATCTCAGCAGATGAGTTGTATGGAACAAACACTGCAATTATGTGTGGTAAAAGCCCGCTTCTGCTCTAAGCTCCCCTACGGCTCTTTCCTCATATATCTAATAAGCTTCTGAGTTCTTGCCCACGTCACTGGTTTACTGTGCTATTAATTCATTCAGTTAAAATGTATTGAGCTGAGTGAGCCCTCAGTGGGGGTGGAGCGGGGAGAGGCATCTCACGTTCAGTCTCCAGACATCAGTGCCTACATCTTCCTTTGTCCTTCCTGCCACAGTTATGGCCAGGCACGTTCATTACTCTCCCGGTACTGTCATAAAATACCCTGGCCAAAGCAATTTAAGAGAGAAAGGGTTTATTCTGGTCCAGTTTAAAGATACAGTCCATCAAGTCAGAAGAGTGGTGGCAGGACAGAGGAGCAGCTAGTCACACTGCATCCTATATATGTGTGTGTGTATACATATATATAAAATCTATCATCTATCTATCCTTCCATCTATCTACCTATCATCTATGGATCTATCTATATATGTGTGTGTATATACATATATAATCTATCATCTATCCTATCTATTCTTTCATCTATCTATCATCTATATATCTATCCTCTACTTGGAGACATTGTATACCCCTGGCTGGCCTCAACATAGTGCCACCCATTTTCAGAGTGAGTCTTTCTACCTCAGTTTACCTCACCAAGTAAATCTGACAAGGCACACCTAAAGGCTGGTTGCCAGATGATTCTAAGTACTGTCAAGTTGACAGTCAATATAAACCTTGACCGTGGGACTAGCTGTAATGAACAGAAAGCTCCCTGCACGCAGGAGATGTTCAATAAATGCAAATTATCATAAAGGAGGGGAGGGTGGTTCTAAGCAGAATTGCAGGATCCAACGCCTGCCTTGACATAGAGGAGAACAGGATGTTCCCTAAATTCTCACAGTCATACTATTTTTTTGTTTGTTTTGTTTTGGAAAGGAGAGTCTGGAGAATCTCATGTATACAGCCCAGGCTGGCCTCAAACTCACTATGTAGCCCAAACTGTCCTTGAATTCCTGATCCTCCTGACTCCACCTCCCAAGAGCTGGGATTACAGCCATACACCACCACACCCAGTGGCATCTCCTGCTTTTCATCTGCATCAGCGGCCTGACTGTGCCTGACCCCATAGGGCTTCTGGCAGAAGGAAGGATTAGCTGGGTCAAGCATTTGCTCGGGAAATGGGAATTGGGATGAGTTTGCTATGGCATTTGCTATGTACCTCAAGCTGGCCTCGAACTCACTATGTAGTCTTTGCCCTCAGAATAACAGCTCTCCTGCCTTGACCTTTTCCTACCACATCTGCCTAGCTTTTTAAAAATTATCATCATCATTAACATCACCACCATCATTATGTTTACTTATTTATTTAGTGCATGTGTTATGTGTATGCTCCCATTTACATGCACACACACACATACATACACACACACACATACACACACACACACACACACACACACACCATGGTGTGCATATAGAGAACAGAGGAAAACTGTGGGAATCAGTTCTCTCCTCTCAGCATATTCCAGGGATCTAGCTGACAGGCGTGTGCGTGCATGTGGGGTGTGTGTGTGTGTGTGTGTGTGTGTGTGTGTGTGTGTTTCAGCGGTTTACAGGTAAAGCCTGAAGTTTCTATGAATGCTTTCTAAGGCCTACTGGATCAGATAAGCTATATTTTACCTGCTTTCACCCATTCAACAGCACAGTGGGTATCCAGTCTTCAGAGACCACCAGTTGGGGAGGAAGCTTTACTAACGGTGGCATTCACTACACTTTTCTTAGATTCAATTGGGGGCCACTCATTGCAAGTGGATAGGAATACAGTTCCATCTTTGTTGCTGTTTTGTTTGATTTGGTTTGTTTGTTTGTTTGGTTGGTTGGTTGGTTGGTTTTTCCGAGACAGGGTTTCTCTGTATAGCCCTGGATGTCCTGGAATTTTCTCTGTAGACCAGACTGGCCTTAAACTCACAGATATTCACCTGCCTCTGCTTCCTGAGTGCTGGGGTTAAAGGTGAGTACCACCACTGCCTGGCTGCATTTCTTTTTCTTATCTGGTCACACTGACCAGAATCTAGTGCTGCAGTAGTGACCATGAATGTCTTTGTCTTGCTCTCGACTTTGCAGAGAAACATAGGGTCTTTTCCTCTGTTGTTGAGGACATTAGCAGTGGGATTTTCATTCTCCTATTTCCCTCATTCCCTCCTTACCTCCCTCCCTTTTCTGTCTGTTCTGAAACAGGGTCTCATGTAGATAGACTGACACTCTCTATGCAGTCCAAGATGACCTTGAACTTCTAATCCTTCTGCCTCCACCTTTGAACTGCTGGGTGGCAGTTGTGCACCTCCAAGCCTAGTTTTTGATGGTGCTGAGGTTGAACCCAGGGCTTCCTCCTGTTAGGCAAGCACTCTGCCAACTTCGACTACATCCCTAGCCCAAGGAGGTTTTACGCAAATGTCCTTTATCAGGTTGAGGTGCCTTGTAATTCTTATCTTTTTGGTTACTTTTGTTTTTGGATTTTGCTTTGGGGATTTTTTTGTTTATTTTCTATTATTGTTGTTGTTGTTATTGTGTGTATGTACACACAGACACATATATACCATAGTATGTGTGCAGAGGTCACAGGACAACTTTGCATCCTGCCTTCCGCCTTTATGGGGACTCTAGGGATTTAACTCTTGTCATCAGCTTTGTGGGGCATGCACTTTACCTGCTGAGTCATCTCGCCAGTCCTCCTTATTTATTGCTTGTTCCTTCATTCGTTCATTTGTTTGAAGACACATCTCATGTATCCCAGGCTCACCTCAAACTTACTATGTACCCAAGGATGACCTTGAACTACTGGATTCCAGGCATGGGCCCCCATCAATACCTAGCTTGTTGCGTGTCCTTATCATGAAGCAACATTGCATTTTGCCAAATGCTTTTTTTTTTGAATCTATTGAAATGATGGACCTCTCCCATCCCTTTCTCCTGCTGCATGGTGAGACAGCAAGGAGTTCATTGTGTATTTTAATCAGTTTATTTACCTGATTTGCTGTAACATGCTTTTCAAATTGTGCAACATCAGCCCCTCTGGAAAGTAAATGCATCTGGGAACATGCATGTGTATATGAAGGTAGGATGTGGCATGTGATATGACGGTCACATTGCAGGTGGTGTCCCTTGGATTTCACCTCAGCCCAGAGCCACTGGGAAATGAGGTAGGACCGCACGCAGTTTGTCACATTGGCCTGTTCACACTGGCATGGACCTTGCCTTTACCTCCTCATCTTTCACTGGTCCAGCAGGTCTCAAACATGGACAAACATCCCAGTGTCCTCAGGAAACTTGGAGCTCTCCAGGCTGCACTGAGAGAGATTTCTAGTCAAGGGTCAGAGCCTTTGAGTAACAGGGTGTTTCAGAGATGAAAGCAAGGGGCGGGGGGGGGGCAACTGAGGCAGGGGAAACCTCAGATGTGGTGGCATTTTTTAACCTTACTGTAACCTCCTCTCCCCAGGTTATAACCATCCAGCTTTGGCGAAACTCATCCAACAGCCTCAAAACGTGGTATGTGTCCCTGATGTGCAGACCAAGGACAGACAGAGCTCATGACCAGACTCACCAGGCATCTTTAGACATGGTTCTAGAGCTCTAGAGATCTTTGCTGAGCCTGTACCCTGTGCCGGGCACTCAGATACTAGAGTCACCCAAGAAGAGGGGAAGCTCGCAGCAGAGGAAATGCCTCCATCCCGTCGTTCTGTGGGCGTATCTGTGGGGGCATTTTCTTGATTAGTGATAGGTGTGGGAGGGTCCATCTCACTGTGGGGGCAGTGTTCCTGGGGTGTACAGGGAAGCAAGCTGAGGGACTAGAGAGATGGCTTAATAGTTAAGAGCACTTGTTGCTCTTGCAGAGGACCTGGGTTGGATTCCCAGTACCCACATGTCTGTTCACAACTATCTGTAACTCCAGTTCCAGGGCATCCAATACCTCTTCTGACCTCCACAGGCTCCTGCATGCATGTGATGCACATACGTACACTCAGGGACACACATAAAATAAATTTTATTCTTTTAAAAAAGCTAAGCAAGCCGGGCGGTGGTGGCGCACGCCTTTAATCCCAGCACTCAGGAGGCAGAAGCAGGCTGATTGATCTCTGTGAATTTGAGGCCATCCTGGTCTATAGAGCTAGTTCCAGGACATCCAGACCTGTTACAAAGAGAAAACTGTCTCAAAAAAACAAACAAACAAAAAAGACAAAAACAAACAAACAAAAAAACAAACAAACAAAAAAGACAAATAAGCCTTTCTTCCCCAAAGCTGTTTTAGTTATGGTACTAATCACTAGGACAGCAAGAAAAACTCACCATCCTCACTCCCATGGAGACTGTCACTTCACCCCATATAGGCTACTGGCGCAGAGGACACAGTGCTGAATAGGCTCAAGACAATGATAACCACTGAACATACATGAACGGCGAAGTATATGTCGAGTATTGTGTTCTGCTCTCTAAGATGTTTTTATTTTTCTTTGAATGTATATATGTGTATGATGAATGAGAATTTTATGTATACAGTACTCTCAGAGGCCAAATGAAGGCTTCAGATTCCCCAGGAACAGGAGTTATAGAAAGTCCCTCACAGGCATTCTCAGACGTGATTCTAGAGCCTGTCGAGTTGACAATCAATATTAACCAACATGCTGCCCCAAGGCCACATGGGCCAGTGGAAATGCTGGAAATAAATCCAGAGGACTGAGTTCATCTGTGATGGAGCAGGAAAGACTTCCCAGGGAAGTGAATTTAAATAGAGATCTGAAGGAGGAGAGGCTATAAGGTACCAAGCCAGTGATGGTGAGGCATGCTTGAAGAATAAAAGACAGACTGGCCTGAGCAGAGACAGCAGTGGGAAGGATTGAGGTAGGACCAGAGTAGCAACGGACTTCACACCACCTTTGTCCTAGTTTGATTTCTGTTGCTGTGAGAAAACAGTGACCAGAACAACTTGGGGGAGGAAAGGGTTTATTTGGCTTAAAGTCACAGTCCGTCGCTGACAGAAGTCAGGGCAGGAGCTGACACAGAGGCACTTAAGGGGTGCTGCTTACTAGCTGCTCCCCACGGCCTACTCAACCTGTCTTCTTTTATAACCCAGGACCACAGCCACGGAATGGCACCACCCCCTCTCACAACAATCATTAATCAAGAAAATGTCCTACAGACATGCTCACAGGCCAATCTGTCAGAGACAAGGCCTCAACTGCGAGTCCCTCTTCCCAGATAAGTGTAGGTTTGTGTCTAGCTAACAACATCAGCAGCAACAACAAGAAGAAAACAGTTCACCCTTCAATAGATTTTCTCAGCTTGGCATTGATGGTGTTTAGATTCAGGCCATTCCATGTTGTGGGGGCCTCTTGTCATTCACACACACACACACACACACACACACACACACACACACACACAAATCTTAGAAATGGCTAAACTTCCCCTGTCCCCTGCTGGGTACAGTAACCTTGGCCGAGAAGCCCAAGCTAAGAAGAGCTGGTGGGAAGCCATGGTCCTAAAGTTTAACACATGAGGAGATGTGGGTCCCCACTTGGTGTACTCAGTGAATCTGTCCAAGAATCCCATAGCTTCCCAGGTTTGTCCCCTTGAGGGTCCTTTTAGATGTCACTTTCCTGGGGTGAGGGATGCCACTCAGCTGTCAAAGTGACCAGCATGCAGGAAACCCTGAGTTCTATTCACACCACTCAATGGAACCAGGGATGGTGGTGAATACCAATAATTTCCACACTGGCTGGGTGGTGGTGGCACACGCCTTTAATCCCAGCACTTGGAAGGCAAAGGCAGGCAGGTCTCTGTGAGTTTGAGCCCAGCCTCGTCTACAGAATGAGTGCTCCCAGGACAGGCTCCAAATCTTACACAGAGAAACCCTGTCTGAAAAAAATTAATAATAATTTCCACACTGGAGAAATGGAAGCAGGAGGATTAAAAAGTTCAAGGGCACCCTCAGATATACAAATTTGAGACCAGAAAGGTTGTGTGAGATCCTGTCTAAAAAATTAATAATAGTGGAAATTTTACTTTCCTATTTGTTTCACTACAATGCAATTTTGAAACTGATATACTGAGATATATATATATATTCATTTTCAATCACTATATTAACAGATGGTGACAATTCTAATTTAAAGTAATGCCCGAGAGCTACCCATAGTGGCCCATGCCTATAATCCAAGCACTCTGAGGCAGGAGAGGATCAGGAGTTCAAGTTCATCCTCATCTACAAAGCAAGTTTGAAGCCAGCCTGGGCTGCATGAGACCCTGGTCTACATGTCTCAAAACGACAATAAACTCAGAGCAATACCTGTGTGGCCCTGCTTCGGGCCCAGGGTCTGCTGAGCTAGCTGTGGACACTGCTCCTAGGAGCAGGCCTCCCAGGCTCCCAGCTGAAGGCTAGAGAGACTCATTCAGCCTATTGGCAGATTCCTTTCTTCCTGGACTCCTTGAAGTCTGTCACCACCTGCTCATGTGGTCACACTGGGCCCAAAAGGAAACAGAGAGCTATCTCCCTAGCTGTGCCCATTAGGAGCCTTTGTGACAACTTCCTGGTGATGTGGGCGTGGCCCTGGGGGTTAGAAGGATCTGCAGAGCTAGCATCCTACGGTTGCTCCTGCAGTGCTGGTGCGCTGACGCCCCACAGTGAGTCTGCTGTATAGCAGGATTTGATGTGCCTCACCTCCCTCTGAGAATGTAGGGATAGTGACATGGATCAAAACAGGTCACCCCGCTGTGACTTCGGCCATCCACATTAGACAGGCCCTGCCCCTCTCTCCTCTTCTCTGCCCCATGGACGGGATTATTCCTCAAGCACTCTTTATCATGTCTGATTATTTTTCGCAAAAAATCATGTGGACATTCATCCTCACCCCTTTCAATGGTTTCATGGCATTGCCCTGTGTGAATACACAGCAACCAGTTTATCTGCCCTCCAGTTGGGATTCTCAGGAAGATGACTGCTGTGGGTGGTGGAGCCCATGTCCTTTGTAGAATCCACTGTGTGTTTCTATTGGATAACAGAGCTAGCAGCAGAATTGTGGCGGTGGTGGGTGTTCATGTTCTGTTTCTGCAGATCCTGCTAGTTTGCAAACTTACTGGCCTGACTTCCCTTCCCACCAGCATGGGGGTGGGGCTGGGGGGTCTCCATCACTTCATAGTTCCTGTCCACTCATGCCAGGTAACTTGATCCCTTTAGGAAAGCAGGGGACAGTAAAAGCCCAGTCCTAGTCAAGAACTGAACTCCACTCTTATCTGTGGGGATGTAACTCTTGGTGGAGTGCTTGCCTAGCCTGCATGAAACTCTGGGTTTGATCCCAGGCACTGTGCAAACAGTGTGTGGTGTGCATGACTGTACTTCTAGCCCTCAGGGGGTAGATGCAGTGATATCAGAAGTTCCAAGATAGCCTTGGTTATATAACAAACTCAAGGCTAGCCTGGGCTACAAAAGACTCAGTTCCAAAAAGTCCTTTAGATCCCAGAATCAAAGATCTCCTAAAAGAGCCGTGATCAGTTGGCATGGCCTGCCTGGAAGGGACTAGAGGTCAGACTCGCCCCCAGTTAACTGAGCAGGTGCGAGGGGAATCCTGAGAAGGTGGCCAATGAAGCCAAAGGCTCAGAGGCTGTGTTTACGACCAAAACTGCTTTGTTTTAAAACTTGTGCAGATCCCAGATGCCTTGGCAGCTGGTGCTGAAAGAATGTGTCAACAAACATGTCACACATATTTGCAGTGTCAGCTGCCTGCGGAGGCAGTCTTCCCAACAACACATGACGTCGAGACCCAAGGATTCTGATTTTTGCAACCACATCTCCCCGTTCTTACAGGAACCTTCTCTGCCTACCCCACATGCCTGTCACATGTTACCCAGGCAAGAGCGGGTCCTCACCTTCACCTCCCCAGCTTGCAATGGGATACCCCCCACCCACCATTCCATTCAAGGCTGGAATGACAGGTGGACCACCAAGCCCACCAAGCGTGTGCTTGGATTCTGGTACTCATGCTTGCCCAACAAGAGCTTTCCCCACTGACACAAGATCCCACGTCACACCTGGCTTCCTATTAGCCCACTTGGGCCACAACAGCACCACCGTGAAACCAGTGATTCCATGTCACTGCAGAAATGGATACCGTCCCCTGCATCTATCTGGGTTCCATCCCAGTTCTAATGTCTTTAGGGCCATCTCAATACATTTCCCCGACTCTGTGCACTGTGTATTGGACCAGTCTGTGCATAGTCACCCTTCCATGAGCAACAGCTGCAGTCGGACTTCCCTGTATTTGGGATGGATGCAAGCAGACGGCCAAGTCTGCCACATCCAGGCTGATCTACCATTCTTCTGTACTCTCTCTATGCCTTCTCTCTTCAAGGTTCTCTATCAATACCTTGCAAGCCCTGAAGTTCAGAGATGTTAGGTGACTTACCCAAGGCTGCCCAGCCAAAGCCAGGTCTCCCCTTGCTGCACTTTAAGACAGCTACGCTGGTGGCAAGCCTTCTGGAAACCTGTCCTCATTTGATTCTGCAGCCACATGTCCCAGATATCTTCTGCTCTTAATGCCATGCTTTGTCAAGCAAGAACACCGCCCCCACATCTTTTCTGGTTCCAGACAGGCGATCAAGATTCCAGCCAGCCTATCTCTCTCCAGGGGCCTTTTCCCTGCAGCCCATGACAGCACTTTGCTCCCACCCTGGTCTCATCATGTTCCTGATATCCCACAGGCCCCATGAGCAGGTCAAGCCAGAAAGAAATGCTTTCTAAGGTCCCTGCTAACAGACCAATGTCTTCAGTTGTGCCAAGCAAATGTGTGCCCAGAATTAGCATTTCTGAGCAGAGGTGCCTGGAGTGCCTGGCCCAGAATGTCATCAGAAGCCAGGAAGCCCACACTGGAGTCTTGTCTGTGTGTCTTGGGACAAATTGTCTGACCTCTCTGGTTCTCAGCAGTGAGGAAAGTTCATGGTTGATACTCCTCATCCTCCCTGCTTCCTCTGTATCTCCTAGTCCCACAAGGAAGGGTCACAAAGCAGGAAAAGGAACAAAGGTATAGATCTGTGCCACTTTCTACTGGCCCAGGTCACATCCTAAAGCCACCAGGAGAATGACTGCTGGGGCCTCCCTGTCCTGAGTCTCCCCCAGTACAGCAATGGCACCATTCAGATTTGCATTGAACTTATTATCTGATCATGTCCAAGAGAGGCAAGTAAATGTCTGAGAAGTCCCTACACCCCAGTACAGCCTCCATTTGTCTGTTCTGGTTTGTTTGTGTTTCTGATATAGTCTTCTGGGATCTAGACTGGCCTCAACCTCCCTCAATAGCTAAGGGCAGCCTTGAAATTCTGAGCTTCCTGCCTCCACTTCCCCAGTGCTTGCAATTGCTGGCATGAGCCACCATGCTACACTTCTGTAGTGCTGGGCATAGAACCCAGCACTTTGTGCATGATAGGTGAGCATTATACCAATGGAGCAGTATCCTCATTCTCGACCTCTCTGTGTGCACCAGGATGGCCTGAGCTTGATAAGAATCTACACCACATCCTACTTTTTATAATCAGAGTTCTTTTTTTTCCTCTTTGTTTTGGGGTTTGTTTGTTTGGTTGGTTTTTTGGGGGGGAGTGTTTTGGTTTGGTTTTTGATTTTTGGTTTTTCGAGACAGGGTTTCTCTGTGTAGTTTGGAGCCTATCCTGGCACTCGCTCTGTAGACCAGGCTGGCCTCGAACTCACAGAGATCCACCTGCTTCTGCCTCCCGAGTGCCAGGATTAAAGGTGTGCACCACCACTGCCCAGCTATAATAAATGTTCTTAACCACAGCAAGGGAATACTTTTTGATTTACAAACTGCCAACCTCCTTTCTCCAGCTGCCCCTGAAGTTAAGGTCACTTACCAAATGCACACAAGTTGATGCTGCTCAGGGCCAAGCCACAGACGTCGCTTGGAACTCCCCAGTCTACACAGTACTTTTCTTTTATAATGTGCCCTAGATTCCAAGCCAAGGTGCCAAGCTGCATTTAGTGTGATCCCTTTTATAATCCAGGCCCACTTCCGTGTGACCCCATTCTTTGTCTCTTGAGTAGCCTCTCTGTGACCAGCCCCTGGAGGTACATGTTGTGGGTGAGTCCCCAGGACTGCAATCCCCTTAGTCCACCCCAGGTGTGTTTGGTCATTGGCAGGAGGGCCAGCTCCAGCATCCAGACAAGGAAGGAACTTTGACTCCTGGTCAGCCTCCAACTGTGTCCTTGGCTTCCCAAGCCCAGAACGCTCCCTTCATCACCCTCTTGGAATCCTGAACTATTCCGAATTCACTGACTTTGTAAAGTATGACACTCCTGCCCCCAATACTGTAGTTGCTCATCTGACCGGTTATAAGTTATCTTAAGGATGCAGAAAGGCCCTGCCCAGTGACTGCCAGGGAGTAGATGACCAGAGGGACTGTGCTTCCTCCATAGTCTCACTATTGCATGCTCTTTGGGATCACTCTCTCCTGGTGGAAAGGGGCAAGGAGCAAGGCCACAGGTAGGAAGTCATGACCTCCTGGAGTGTTCCTAGAACCCCTGCAAGCAAAGATGTGCACAGAGTGCTCTCTCCATTTTAAAGGTAAAGTCGTTGACGCTTCATTTTTTGTTTTTTGTTTTTGTTTCGTTTTGTTTTGTTTTTTGGTTTTACGAGACAGGGTTTCTCTGTATTGTTTTGGAGGCTGTCGGTAAAGCCCGGCCTGGAACTCACAGAGATCCGCCTGCCTCTGCCTCCCGAGTGCTGGGATTAAAGGCGTGCTCCACCACCGCCCAGCTGAGGCTTTGTTTTAAGTGACTTATCATTAACAACGTTAAGTTTGTTTTGCTTGGGGATTTTTGAGACAGGGTCTCATGTATCCAGGCTTCAAACTGACTTTGTAGGTGAGGATGACCTTGAACTTTTCTGCTCCTCCTGCCTCCACCTCCCCAGCTCTGAGTTACAGAGATGTGCCAGCACACATGATGCCTGTGGTGCTGAGGGTGGAACCCAGAGCTTCCTACCTACCACTGAGCTTTGGCTCCAGCCCCCGAAGGTGTGTTAACATGGGATTTTACTCCTAAAGGCACCTGCCTTACTTAGGGGCTTGCAATACTATCCCTCAACCAGAGGCCATTTGAAGACAAATTTTTATCAGAATTCAAAAGTCAATGCACATTTCCCTTTTCTTTGGAAATGTGTTCATGCTGTCTTCCTTAGCCTACAGACCTCCCAGGAGCCACAGGGCAGGGCAGACTCATCTTTGGACAAACAGGTGTGAGGAGCAAACATCAGTTCAGCATCAACTCACACTGTTGACTTCCTTGCAGAGGGAATTAATTCTCTGGACCCTCGCCTATCAAAATAGGGGAGACGAGATGATTGATGTAAAGATGCTTGTGATGTTCTGGCTTTTTTTTTCTCTATTATTTAGCCAGCTCCACCAACATACCTCCATTCTATTTAGAAGTCTCACAATCATTGTCTGCTCTCCCCCCTCCCTCTCCCTTTCTCTCTCTCTCTCTCTCTCTCTCTCTCCCTCTCCCTCCCTCCCTCTCCCTCTCTCTCTCTTCCCCCTCTCTCTCTCTTTGTGTGTGTGTGTGTGTGTGTGTGTGTGTACACTTGCATGTCTGTGAGTGTACAAGGGTGCATGCACCACAGCACATATGTGGAGGTCAGAGGGCAGTCTCAGGTGTTAGTCCCTATCTTCCTCCTCGTTCCACACTGTGCACTCCCGGCCGCTGGCCTGAGCTTCTGAGGATTCTCTCATCGCTTCCTCCCGTCTTGACACAGGGACACTGGGATAACAGATGTTCACTATCACATCCGACTTTATATGAGTTCTGGGGATGTGAACTGAGGTTCTTGCATTTGCGTGGTGCTTTACGAATCCAGCTCTCCAGCCCCTGCTATGGGCTTATAGTACACCCCCCCCACACACACACACATTTTAAAATTAAGGTACAATATTGAATTCCAGGCCAGACTGTACTATGTGAGACTTCGTCTCCTGAAAACACTAAAAGAACATCAGTGAGCCTACAGTGCCAGATACAGCCTATTTGACCCCCTCAACTATATAATGTGGAAGAGGACCTGGGTTGGACCCCAAGAACTGATGCATTTGCTGCTGTTCTTTTACAGAGCACTTTCATCAACAGGCCTGCCTTAGGCATCCTGCCTCCAGAGAACTTTGTAGACAAACTCCAGGAGTCCTTGATGTCGGTGAGTTTGGGGGATAACCCCACCGGTGTTTGTAGTCCACCTTCCATCATGTCTGTCTGTCCTCAGAGATGGCCATGGCAGGGTCCATGAAGGATGAGATCCACAGCCAGGAAGGATGGGTGGGCAGATGGCAGCTGCTGCAGTAGCTGTCTGGCTACCTGAGACCCTGCCTCAAAAGGAAGGAAAGGAGGGAGGGAGGGAGGGAGGGAGGGAGGGAGGGAGGGAGGGAGGGAGGGAGGGAGGGAGGAGATAAGAGACAGCTTTGCCGAAATGATCAACTTTTTACCTGATTCATAAATAATTTGTATGTGGGTGTGTAAAGAGATCTCCTATAGCCCAGAATGGCCTCAAATGTATGATCTATGTAGCCCAGGCAAAGCTGAAACTCACTATGTGGACAGCCTTGAACTTTTGATCCTCCTGGATCTACTTATTAAAAGAGTGTGCCAACATACCCATTTTATGCAGAGCTCGGAATCTGAACCCAGATCTTTGTGCATGCTGGGAAAGTGCTCTACCAACTGAGCCACATCTCCAGATCTCAAGAAAAGTATTTTTAAAACTTGAGACAGAGTGTCACTATGTTTTCCCAGCCGGTGCTGAGATGGTTGAGTGTACACAACCACACTGGGCCAGGCTCCACTGGAGTTTCTCCTGCTTTCTTTCCACTCTGCTAACCTCAAAGATCTCCCTGGGCTTCTCCTCCACCCTGGAGAAGACTGAACCCACCCTTCCAGCCTGCTGTTTCTGGCGCATCTCTGGTTCCCTTTCTCCCAACCTCCCACCAATGCTGGAAGATTCATCTCCAGGGATAGAAATAGGGTCTGAATTACTCACAGTGGGCTCCCTCTGCAGGTGGCACCCAAAGGCATGTCCCAGCTCATCACCATGGCCTGTGGCTCCTGCTCCAATGAGAATGCATTCAAGACCATCTTTATGTGGTACCGGGTAAGCTTTGGGGCAGGAGCGCCCACACTGACTCAGCCCCACTCTGACCCCCCAACCTCCAGTGTTCAACTTGGATATGATCTAGAGCAGTGGTCCTCAACCTTCCTAATGCTGCAACTGTTTAATATAGTTCCTCATGTTATGATGACCCCCAATCATACAATGATTTCATTGCTACTTCACAACTGTCATTTTGCTACTGTTATGAATCATAATGGAAATATCTATGTTTTCTGATGGATTTATTTAGTAGTAGTAGTAGTAGTAGTAGTAGTAGTAGTAGTAGCAGTAGCAGTAGTAGTACTAGTATTTTGGTTTTTCAAGACAGGGTTTCTCTGTATTGTTTTGGAGGCTGTGCTGGAGCTCTGTCTGTAGACCAAGCTGGCCTCAAACTCACAGAGATCCACCTGCCTCTACCTCCCAAGTGCTGGGATTAAAGGCATACACCACCAACTCCCGGCTTTTCTGATGGGTTTAGATCACCCCTGTGAGGGGGTCTTGACCCACAGGTTGAGAATTGCTGGTCTAAAGAGCTTGGTTGGAACTTTCCCAACATCCCAGGGTGACTTGGCACAAAAGGCTTATGTTCTGTTGTGAATGCTGTTATGTTACTGGACTTACTAGGATGGAGCCTCACAAGGCAGGTTTAGCCATCTGTTCTCAAGAAGTCAATTAAAGAGACAAATTAATAGTTAAAAGCAAAAAAATGAAGATTTATTCAATGTGGCCACATCAGGAAGAGAACAAATAAAAGAGGCCCAGTCACACATCAAGTCTGTCTTCCAGGTCTGGATAGGAAACTTAGGTTTAAGTAGAAGAGATCTATTTAACTAAGCAGTTCTGGACAATTCTAGGTGTGGTCCCACCCACCATTGTCTCAGTTCTAATCTCTCCTTTAAGGTTCTGACAATTTATAAATCTTTCTTAAGGAGACAGGTTTCCTCCTCTAATTTAACCCTTGGGCTTTAGCTTTTTTTTCTCATGAGAGCCCAGGGGGATTTCAATTTCTTGAGGGTCCATTGTTTCAATAGCCTGACAGCCAAATGTCTTCATTCCTGCCAGAAGGGTTACAGTCACATAATTTTTCCTGCCATAAATTGTCCCATCTCAACAAACCCTGGTTGCTGCTGATAAAATATTAATGTAGCAATGCTTGCATTTATTTCATTGCAAGCTCAATTAGTGTCATATGTCTGTCTAAACGTGTCATGATAGAACATTAAGTCAACCCTTAAGGACATACTCTGGTTACCTGGATTAAGCATCACCGTGGGGGGGAGGGGACACACCCCTTTTATCCAAGTGTGTTTCTAATTCTACTCTGTTCTGTTTTGGAAGAGTAAAGAACGAGGGCAGAGAGGTTTCTCAAAAGAGGAGCTGGAGACCTGCATGGTCAACCAGGTAGGTGCAGAGCATCGGTGGTGGCTCAGTAAACAAACTTAGTTCCAAGCCTGACAACCTACGTTTGATCCTGGTACCCCACCACTCACCACACACACACATACACATACACACACACACACACACACACACACACACACACACACACACACGTTATGTAATTATCTTGTAGGTGTAGCTGAGCCATTTGAAGACCTGCCCTGGCCATTAATTGAATGATTCCCATCTTTTCAAATTAGGAGTCCCTATGCTTTGCCACCTGGAGTTCATTTCCTAGTACAAGGCTGAGTGGCACTCTTCATAATCAGCCATTAGTTTCCCAGAACAACTTCTGGAATTTGACAGTCTACAGAAACCATGAATGTCTGCTCAAGTCTAGAACAATCCAAACCATCAGCACAAATGTCTGCACTAGAGTGTTCACTCCACTTGTGTTTATAGTAATTATAACCAGAAAAGGATATATGTCACCTATTTTGTCCAAGCATGGAAGAAGAAAAAGAAACAGTTAAATGTTGGGCTGCCACATTCAGAAAGGATGCTACATTTGGGGTTCTCCCTCACTTGATGTCTGAGAATAGCTTGGTCTAGGAACAATTTTATACCTCATTCCTCACTTTTAGTAGCTCCATCAAAGTGTACCTAATGATGTGTGTCTGTTGCCATCTTGTTGTGTTGTGTTTAGAGCACAGCTTCCATGAAGCCCAGGCTGACCTGACGCTTGTAGGCCTCAACCATGCAGAGGCCCTCTGAGTATTGTAGGATTGCAACCCTGTGCTACCAACCCAGCTTGGTCATCTGTTATCTTTACAATCAGGAGATATACAGGAAATAGTGATGAGAGTATTCTGGGATGTATGGGAGGAGATCGTGGAGCTTTTCTCAGGGAGAGTTCTGCAGGGACCTCCAACATCGCAGAGCCCAGGGCTAGGGGCATCTGAGGTGGCAGCAGCAGTTCTCCACAAGGGAGCCAGAAGCCTTTTAGGAGTCTCTCACTGGATAGAGATTAAAGAATGTAAACTCTGGCTCAGCGATTAAGAGCACTCACATGGAACCCGGGTTCGAGTCCCAGCACCTACAGGGCAGCTCACCACCATCTGTGACTACAGACGCAGGGGATTCAATACCTTCTTCTGACCACCTTGGCACCAAGCATCCGTGTGGTGCACAGACACACAGACGAAATCCCATGCACATTAAACAAATGCGTGCTTTGTAAAGGACAGTGAATAGGCACCACCTCCTCATCTGCTGGGAGCTTGGAAGTGGCTAAAACTTATGTACCAGATTACTGAGCCTCTGGGACCCAAGCAGGCAGCTGCCTGACATCAGGAGAGGAAAGATGGGGTTCCTCCTCCCACTGTTTTCCCTGTCCAACGTCTTCAGACACCTTGGTCATTCCTGGTGACCATGCATTTTCAGTGAGAGCTGCAGCTCAGTTCCTGTCTCAGGTCAGCCTCACAGCACAGGGCTGTGGAAGCCAGGGCAGCCTGGAGCATGTGAAGGCTGGAGGAGCAGAGAAATCGTAGAACCAGTCCCTCTGCTGGCAGCACCCAATCGGCAGAGAGTCTGGTGGTGCACTCAGCCACTGGCTGCCACCAAATAGAAAAATATCACCGGGGCAGACCTTGGGAAAGCCAGAAGCCCAGACAGTGATGTGGAACTTTTTTGTTTTAAATTTGTAACTTTTAAGTCCTCTGAAGAAGGGTGCAAACAAAACAGAACACCTGCAGACTGGGTATGACTGCTAATATCTAGTTCACAGACCTGCCACCTCTCCCCCCACACACACACAAACACCAGAAAGGACCACAGTTCTGATGGACACCTGCCTTCATCTGGGTCTACTGAGTAGCATACAGTCCCCAGGGCTCACAGTAGTGACTGGTGCCTGCGTTTTTTCATTTTAGAGTCCTGGATGCCCCGACTACAGCATCCTCTCCTTCATGGGCGCTTTCCACGGGAGGACTATGGGTAAGGAGGAACCAGTATGGTCCCAGACTTCATGCTGCCTACTGCCACAGATGATAATGAGCAGAGACAAAAGCTGGGTCTTTAAGCTGTCTCATATCTAGGAATCAATCAGTCTGAGGAGACAGAGGATTAAAAATGTGGTGTGTGTGTGTGTGTGTGTGTGTGTGTGTGTGTGTGTGTGTGTGTGTGTGTGTGTGTGTCTTCAGCCAGGAAGTTTTCCAGGAGTAAGAACAAAGACATATTGTCCTCTGATCAGGAGTCAACCTCCTCTCTGAGATTCTGATGTTTGTGTATCTCTCCATATCCCCTCCTGAACTTTTTCCTCATTATTATCTCTCCCTGTGGAGCCTCACAAGCCTTCCTAAGCACCACCTAGGCCAAAGGTTGACTCAGAACAAACAAGCAGCAGTGTGCACAATGGGCTGTTGCACTGTGAACATGTAGGGCAGCTGAAATGGCTCAGTGGGTAAAGGCACAAACTTGCTGGCGTGTATTTGATCCCCAGAACCTGCATGGTAGATGGGATTCCCATTACTTGTCATCCTACTCTCAAGTGCACACGCTGGCACACTCACCCACCCTAATAAACAAATAAATATAATGTTTAATTTGGAAAAAAGGGGGGCTGGAAAGATGGCTCAGTGGTTAAAAACACTTGTTGCTCTTGCAGAGGACCTGGGTTCAGTTCCCAGCCACCACATGGCAGCTCACAACCATCTGTGACCCCAGGTCCAGGGTATCTGATGACCTCCTCCAGTCCACAGCCCACATACACACAAACATGCATGCAAAGCACTCATACATGTAAAATAAATTTTTTTAAAATAGTTTTGAAAAACACTATGCACCTGTAGCTTCCTGTCTCCAATATGAAAGGCAAATATACTCTTCTAATACAGGGCTACAAAGATGGCTCCAGGGTTGTGATGTGCGATACTCTTCAGAGGACCTAAGTTTTGATTCCCAGCACCCATGTCAGGTGGCTCACTGCCATATGCAAGTCCATCTCTAGGGCGTATCATGCCCTTCCTGGCCTCCTCAGGCCTTACACTCACGTGACATACTTTCACACAGACACATACATACACATGAAGAAAATAACAATGACATAGAATATAAAAATGTCCCATCCATCCCTCCTGTAACCCATAAATTCCATTCAGTTCTCTGCAGAGAGGGGATGATTGTGCCTGTTTGTAAATATGGATTATGAGTCAGCAAAGGGAGGAATTTTCCAAGGTCATTTAATCGTCAAGCAAGAATTTTGAATTCTTGTCTCTCCTCTTCAGCAACTGGGTTTAATCTGTGACAAATCATAAAGCAAATGCACACACACACCCCATCCAAAGTTCCACATGCATGGGGCTAAAGAGTTCATCATGCCCTCTTTAAAGATACTCTATGCTACTGCCCAAGCCAACTATCTGCTCTTCTGCTTTTCTGGGCTCAGGATGCTTAGCAACCACACACTCCAAAGCAATTCACAAGATTGACATCCCTTCCTTTGACTGGCCCATTGCTCCATTCCCACGACTGAAATATCCCCTGGAGGAGTTTGTGAAGGACAACCAGCAAGAGGAGGCCCGCTGCCTAGAAGAGGTAACCTGGTTCCCACAGCCTACTGTTTCAGTACCCTGAGTCTGAGCCAAGAAGAGGACAAATGTAGGACATGGGTAGTGTTCCTTAGAGGGAAGTAAGGACATGGAGACCTCATGCTTTAAGTGTTCCATAAGGGAAGAGACAAGAGGCATTATTTTGCTACCTAGCATTTATCCCCACTTTTAGTATCAATTTCTCCACCATTTCTTTGGGGACAAGTTTAAGTGACTTCAAAATGAAGGAGAATAGCTTTATTTAAATAATACAGATATCTGGTAGGGAAAGGTGTTCCATGGGTCTAATACTCTGGTTAGCATTCTTTCCCTAAGTTCTAGGGTTTCTTTAAGTTCCATTTGAGGTCGCACTAGGAAGAAATGAGGAAGGCGTGCAATGCTTTGCCTCCATGGCTCCATTTCCCCAGAAACAGCCACCTTTGATCTACCCCATGTAGGAAATGGGAAAGCATAGGGAGGGTTTTACTGCTGGAGCCACAATGACTGCATCCTCTCTATCGGATTGTTATTGGATTGATAATAACTCTGATGGCTTTCCTCTTAAGCATGTCACCACCTTCAGCCAAGATTTGTTGAACACCTACAGGGTGCTAAGCAGAGTACTGAGTGGTAGGTTTTTAGCAGTAAATAAAAGAGACAGGACCATAGGTCAGGCTTGTAGCACAGACAGCTATAGATTTCTTAGTTACCAGAGCTTTAAAAGTAAGAAAAGTACTGGGGATGGAGCAAGGTTAGGAAAGTGTTTACCTGACACTCAGAGTCCTGGGCTCCACATAAAATCAGGTGTGGAGGTGCATGTCCATAACCCCAGTGCTAAAGAGATAGTGAGGAGGATCAGAAGTTCAAGGTCATTCTCAGCTACACAGTGAGTTCAAGACCATCCTAGAATATATGAGACTCTGTCTTCATAAATAAAGTAGATGAAATTTATCTTAGTAGCATCTTTTATTTGTTTCTTGAGATTCTAGTCAAGCTGTCCTGGAACTTACTGTTTAGCACAAGCTGGCTTCAGACTTAGAGAAATACTGCTGCCTCAGCCTCGCCAGTGCTGGGGTTCCAGGAGTGAGACATAACAGTTTATGGAACTTAATATACAAAAATATGGTCCCAATGTGTAATTAATATTTTTATAATAGCTATAAAAATGTTTTTCATATTAAGCCCCTGGAACATTGTATGTGATCTGCATAAAAACTCCTTAAGTCATGGGCTTTGTTTTGTTTTTAATTTTGAATATTTATTAAACAAATAGTAAACTATCATAGTGTTATCTGCTCATCATCTATAAGATAATACCTGCTTCAGAACAAGAGTTCAAATATAGAACCACTTGGGGACACTTGGGTACCTTTCTTATGCACCATCATTGTTAATTTTTTTTTTACATCAGCGTAGCAGTGCGAGAGTTACAGCTCATACAGCTCAGTCGTTGCAGCATTTAGTTCAATCCATTTTATGTCTCAGTATGCTGTCATCCCAACCAGGCATGTGTTATCGCCCTGGGCCATCTTCTCAGGTCAGCCTAAGTGTTCTGCCCACACAACACAAAACCCACAACATGCAACCACAGTGCTGCAGTCTGCTTTTGCTACAGATGGGTTTGCAGTAGCTTCTCAAATGTCTTCCCACGAGCTGCACACACAAGCAGAAAAAAGCAATAACAGCACAGCAGAGGTAACAATAGTGACAAGCTTAGAGTAGTGGCTACGCCCACCTTTTCAGTAGGTTGTTCAAATATGTCCACTTACCCAGCCTGGCATTGTGACATATGCCTGTGATCCCAGAGTTTGGGGGTAGAGGTAGGAGTCTAAAGTACATGTCAACACTAGGCCACATAAAACAAAAACAAACAAAATTTAAGACAAGGTTTGTCTACATCACCCTGCAGACCAGGAAGTCCTTGACCTCACAGAGCTTCTCCTGCCTCTGCCTCTGCCTCCTAAGTTCTGGGATCAAAGTGTGCACCACCAGATCAGGCTCTACATAATAAATTTGAGGCCAGCATGTATGCCCACTTACAGATCAGGAAAGAGAGGTTTCTGAAGGCTCCTATAGGTGCTAGCCCCAGTGACAGCAGAGCACATTCCTGTACAGAGTGTGGCTCCTAACAGGTCCCACACTTGTCATGGGAAATACCACAGACACATTTCAATGTAATATGAAAGGGTTCCCAGAGATTCCTCCCTCCATGCCCATCCATGGAATCCACTGTATCTGTGAACAGCTCCCTTTCCCTTTCTGGGTTTAGGTAGAAGATCTGATTGTGAAGTATCGGAAAAAGAAGAGAACAGTGGCTGGAATCATCGTGGAGCCCATTCAGTCTGAGGGCGGAGACAACCATGCATCAGATGACTTCTTTCGGAAGCTAAGAGACATTGCCCGGAAGGTTAGAGTGCCTGAAACGAGGCTGGACAGGACCACAAGGGTTTCTGAGTTTAGTTCCCAGAACAAAAAAGTTGATTCCACTTCTGCCTTGGAGTCCATGAAAACTTACATTTGTGCAGAAACTGACATTTGTTCTTATTGAGGGCATCGAAGTTGGGCTTGGTGCTAGGGGCATAGCTCAATGGGATAGGTTTACCCAGCTTGCACAGAGCCCTGTGTCCCATCTGAGGTGGGTGCAGGCTTGAACTAGGAGGCATGGGTGACTCTTATTTAAAGTAAGTTTGCTGAGTCCGCTTCTGGGGCTGGAGTTGTAGTTAGTCCATTGGTAAAGCACTTGGGTAGCACGCACAAGGTATGGGTTCAGTCCTCAACACTGAAGAAAAATAAAAGTTTTATGGGACATGATGGCTCAAGCCTACAATGCTAGCACTCAGGAGGCCAAAGCAGAAGGATTATCACAGGTTCAAGGTTAGTCTGTGTTGTGTAGAGGGTTTAAGACCTGACTGGGTTATAGAGTGAGAACCTAACCAAAAAAATTTAAAAACAGCCTTCAAAGTACTGGGGTTTTTAGTTTGTTTGTGGTTGGGGGGTCAGTTTATTTGTTTGGGTTTTTCTTTTCATTAATTTGTTGTACCTTATGTGCATGGGTGTTTTGCCTGCATGTATGTCTGTGCAGCATGTGTGTGCGGTGCCTGCAGAGTCTGGAAGAATAAGTCAGATCCCCTGACACCCATGATTAAAAAGCAAGTTGGGGAGGAAAGGATTTGTTCGGCTTAAGCTTCCATATCACTGTTCATCATCGAAGGAAGTCAGGAAGGAAATCACACAGGGCAGGAGCCTGGAGGCAGGAGCTGATGTTGGAGCCATGGAGGATGCTGCTTACTGGCTTGCTTCCCCTGGCTTACTCAGCTTACTTTCTTAGAGAACCCAGAACCACCTGCCCAGGGTTGGTCCCACCCACAATGGGCTTGGCCCTCCCCCCATCAATCACTAGTTAAGGAAATGCACTATAGTCAGATCTTATGGAGACATTTTCTCAATTAAGGTTCCCTCCTTTCAGATAACTCTAGTTTGTAGACATAAGACCAGCCAGCGCATCGGGACTTGTTCAGCAAGGAGATCCCTGAGATGGCCACAACCTCATGCTCTCTCTTTCTGGAACTTACCTTGTCTTTCAGACCACTGTGGTCTATAGGCAGCAGATGTAAAAGGAGCAGCGTCAACATCAACTCTTCAGTCTAATGGATTGGGCATTGTATGCATTAGCTTTTTGTCACTGCAACCAAATTACTTGATTTAAACAGAGTAAGCCCCCAGAGGACAGACTGATTTTGCTCCTTGGTCATCTGGCCCCACATGCTTGGCAGATCACCATGGTAGCTGAACATGCGACACAGAACTGTTCACATTATGGCTGACAGGAAACAGAATGAGACAGGAAGTGATCAAGAGATACTCTAACCCCCCCCCAAAGACCCACCTCCCAGTGACCTATTTCCTCCAACTAGATTCCCCCACTTCTAAAGTTTCCACAACATCCTAGTAGCACCCTGGCCAGAAACCAAATGCTCAACATGGGAGCCTGTGGGGGAAAGTTTATATTCACATGGTAACATGTAGAATGGACACATCAAACCAGTCGGTTCACAGATGAGACACATGGGACATGAGCCAGTTCACACGCATAAGGAATTAGTGCATCTAGGCAATGCAGAAACCATGGCAGCCGCTGTGAAGGGGGTGACGTCTCAGCCTCAAGCCCACGGCAGCAGCCACATGCAGCCGAGCTCTGAGATGGTGTGGGGAGTCTTCCATGGTCTGGTTTTGTTCCATCTGGGCAGTCCTAGGGCGTGTTCAGATGCAGCTCTGATCCAAACTGTTCTGTTTTGGTCTGCATAGCTGGGAAGCGGGGCTTGGCTTTGCAGTTTAGAGCACACAGCTGGGCTCCAGCTGGGCTGGGGTCTCTGGAAGCTTACCTGTGTTTGTTTCTCCCTGCCCTGCTCTTGGAGCAGCATGGCTGTGCCTTCCTGGTAGATGAAGTTCAGACTGGAGGAGGCTGTACGGGCAAGTTCTGGGCCCACGAGCACTGGGGCTTGGACGACCCAGCTGATGTAATGTCCTTCAGCAAGAAGATGATGACGGGGGGCTTCTTCCACAAGGAGGAGTTCCGGCCAAGTGCTGTGAGTATCCTGGTTTGCTCTGCTTGTTCAGATCACATGTCTGTTCCCTTACATACCTAAGAAACAAAGGGTCTCCTGGGTGGCACAGAGGTTTCCTTCAGAGTCACATGCAATAATAATGTCAGTAGCTGCTGTTGTAGAATGGATGCTTTGTGTCTGTTTCTGGTAGTCCCTTAGTTTACACAACAATCTAACCTTTATTATTTCTGTAATGCTTTACCAATGGCAGGTCAGGCATAGAAGTCAAGCAAACCTCTGCCTTAGTTACTTTTCTCGTTGCTGTGACCTAATGAGAATATCTTAAGGAAGAGTTTGGGTTTACAATTTGAAGGGATGTAACCCATCACGACCGGAGGCATGGTGACAAGAGCAGGAGGTGACAGGTCATATTGCATCTACAGTCAGAAAACAGAGACAGGGGAAGTGGCTCTGAGCAATAAAACCTTAAGGTGGATCCAGTGCCCACTTCCTCCAGCAAGGACACCCCTTAAAGTCCCACAAGCTTCCGAAACACCAGCAGCTGCCGGGGACTAAATTTTCAAACACATGAGCCTATGGGGACATTTTTACATTTAAACCATGGCACCCTCCAAGGTCTGAGCCTGTTAGTGACAGTCCGGAGTCTCACAGAGCCCACCTGTTAACCATACACATACACTGCATGTGTGCATATGAACACAGAGAGAGAGAGAGAGAGAGAGAGACAGAGAGAGACAGAGACAGAGACAGAGACAGAGACAGAGACAGAGACAGAGACAGAGAGACAGAGATTATCCAATTGTTGTGTCTGTGCATGTTACTGCCAGCAGAGGCCAGAAGAGAGCTTCAGAGCCCTAGAGCTGTGAGCCACCCAGTGGGAGTGCTAAGTAAGGAGCTCAGGTCCTCTGCAGAAACCATGAATGCTCTTTTAACTGCTGAGCCATCCCTTCAGGCTAGTTCTTTTATTCCTAACATGTGACTTAAACCTGGGCATATGACCAGCCCACGTTGTAAGAGAGGTTGGGAGTGTTTTAGTTGGCAACATTGCCACTGTAAGGATTCGTGGATGGGAAAAAAAGATCATGTCTGAGAGTCAGCAGACCACGATGCAATCCCTATCCACCAATGAGCTGCATTTGCTATGGCTAGGGCCTTCTAACCTTTCTGCACCTCGACTTCCTACTGTATAAAATGAAGACTGAGGGGCAGTTGTGCACCACATAGCAAGGTTTCAGTCAACAGTGGGTGTACATATCACATATCCCTCGAGACTGAATTGTCTGTGACATTATAATGACATTTTAGTTTGTCTAGGAATGTTTGCACAGTGTTGAAACATTGCATCTCTCAGATCATCCCCTTTGCTAAGTGGTGTGCCACTGCAGTTAAGGAACAGTCATCTTGATTTTTCTGGACCCGAAAGGCTTCCCAGGGTATGTGTCAACCAGGTCTCTCTCAATAGTGCCAGCCTGTAACGGTTGTCATTGGATGACTTCAATGAGATAATCCATGTTACCCTCCCAGCCCTTGGGATGTTTGTTGGCTCTCTTTCTCTCCTCTTTGGGAGATGAAAATGTGTAGGTGCTGGAGAGATGGCTCAGTCAGTGAATTGATTGCCACGTAAGCATGAAGACATGAGTTTGAGTCCCAACACCTGTGTAAAAAGCCAGGCATGGTGGTGCATGCTTGTAATCCCAACATAGCTGGGAAAGCAAGAAGCAGGACACTTCCTGGGACTTGCTAGCTGGCTAGCCCTCCAAACCAGGAAGCTTCAGCTTTAGGGGGAGACCCTGTCTCAAAAAATAAATAAAATGGAACAACATTGTTCCTCAGCTAGGTTGACCCCAGGTGGGTGACAATTGACCTGGCTTGAGCCCCACCCTCTTTTGTGTATGTGTATGTATGGGCACATGTGTGTTCATGTGAGCACACATGCATGTTTGTGCACATATGTGTAGAGGCATATACAATTTTTTTGCAGGGAGTCCAAGGGGAGGGTTAGAAACTCCGAGTAGAATCATTCATTGAATTCCTCAAATGGCAAACAGTCACCACTCGCTAAAGGTTGTTAAGTAACTGAGTTTCTCTCCTGGTCAATGAGGGAACCATGCAGAGACCTGCACAGAGCCATGTCTGAGTAGGCAGAGTAAAGGGGCGGAGTGAAAAAGAGAGAGGCAGGGAAAGGTGTACCTAGGGTAGGGGACCCTCCAAAGTGTTCTGTTGTGAGAGCCCCTATCCCATTCTAGCCTTACCGGATCTTCAACACCTGGCTGGGAGACCCATCCAAGAACCTGCTGCTGGCTGAGGTCATCAACATCATCAAGCAGGAGGACCTGCTCAACAACGTGACGCTTGCTGGGAAGACCCTGCTCACAGGGCTGCTGGACCTCCAGGTACCTGTCTCAGCCCTGGTACCACTTGCCGGCCAGCAGTTCTCAGCGGGCCATGCTGCTTTCATGTTCCCAGGCCTTGGCATGTGCAAAGCCAGGTAGCCCCCTTCTTCCATCTCAACCCCGTCCCTAGTCCCTCGCTATCTCTTGACATCAAATTCAAACATTCCTTTGAGAAGATTCTCCCTATAATGTTCTTGTAGCTGCAATTCCCTCCTCTGCACTGCCCAACAGGGTTTGTTGCAAGCCACATGTGTAATTGTTTTATTTTTATTGTATTATTATCATGTAGCCCAGGCTGGCCTTGAGTGTGATATGTATCAAGGATGATTTTGAATTTCCCATCCTCCTTCCTCCACCTCCAAGTTCTGGGATTACAGATGTGTGGTGCCATGCCTGGCTCATGGACATAATTTAAAAAATCTTAGAAGCCAGATGAAAAGCACATTGGAATAGGTAAAGTTACTTTTTTTGTTGCTTTTTTTTTGTTTGTTTGTTTTTCGAGACAGGGTTTCTCTGTAGCTTTGGAGGCTGTCCTGGAACTCACTTTGTAGACCAGGCTGGCCTCGAACTCACAGAGATCTGCCTGCCTCTGCCTTCCGAGTGCTGGGATTAAAGGCGTGCGCCACCAACGCCCGGCGGTAAAGTTACTTTTAATATGTTTTACTTACTCTATCTGATGTCCAGAATACTAATATTTCAACAAAATCATCAATATAGAAAATAAGTAATGTGCCAAGCCTAAATCGAATGCCAATGACCTCAGTTCTGAAGAGACAGAGAGAAAGGAAAGTCATTGCAAGTGGGAGAGCAGCCTGGTCCACATAACGAGTTGTAGGCCAGCAAAGAGTGAGCCTCTCTCACAAACAGGCCTAGGGAGGTGGTTCAGATCCCAGCACCCACATAAAGCTGTGTGAGCGTGGCAGCACCAGTGGGTGCCCAGGTAACAAGCTTTCATCCCAATTTGTCTTCCTGTTGTAGGCCCGGTACCCCCAGTTCATCAGCAGAGTGAGAGGACGAGGCACCTTTTGTTCCTTTGACACTCCAGATGAATCCGTACGGAATAAACTCATTCTCATCGCCAGAAACAAAGGTAAAGGGGGCGGAAGTAGACGCTGAACTGAACCATCTCATCAGTCTGCAGGGGTGGGTGCTGAGCTTTGCTAGGCACGGGGTGGGGGAAGCAGAACTGCGTGGGATAAACAGACTTGAAAAGTTACTGGTGGGATTCCTTTGCTTTGTTCTCATCTGGGTTTATTTCTTTTTCCTGTGTTTTGGAGCAACGTGTCATGCACCCCAGGCTCCCTTCACACTTGCTATGTGACTAATTGAGAATGACTTTAAATGCCTGATCCTGCTGCCTCTACTTCCCCAGTTCTGGGGTTGCAGGCATACCACCAAAGCAAGCTTATATTCAGTGCTGAGAGGATCGAACCCAGGGCCTCAGATGGGCTAGCCATGCCCTGCCACTGGCCTACACCCTTTCTTGTGCCTTCTTGTGGAGTCCCTGCAGCAGCCCCAAGAGACAGAACTGTTAGCTGGGGTTTTGTTGTTGTTGCTATTTTATTTATTTATTGTAGTTCTGGAGATCAAAGCTATAGCTTTACACATGCTATAATAGACAAGTATTGCCTGGCGTTGGTATCACACACCTTTAATCCCAGCACTCGGGAGGCAAAGGCAGTCGGATCTCTGTGAGTTCGAGGCCAGCCTGGTCTACAGAGCGAGTTCCAGGACAGCCTCCAGAACAACACAGAGAAACACTGTCTTGGAAAAAAAAAATAGGCAAGTGTTGTACCACTCAGGGAACTACCACTACAGCCTGCCCACCACCCTTATTTTCCTTTAAAAACATTCTTATTACATCTGTGATTTGTGTGTGTATGTGTGTCCAAGGACCATGGTGTACATGTGGAGGTCAGAAGACAACTCCACGGGGTCATTTCTCCCTCTATGTGGGTCCCAAGGACTGAATTCAGGCCATTGGGCTTGCATGATAAGTGCTTTATATGTTGAACTATTTCATCCCTACCCACCCCTCCACCCCTGCCACCTTTTAATTTGGAGACAAAAGTCTCACTAAGTTGGCCAGAGTGGCTTGAACTCACCCTATAACTCAGACTCGCTTTGAACCTACAGTCTTCCTTCACAAGCCTCCTGAGTAGACAGGATTTATAGGCGTGCTCCACTAAGCCTAGCTTTTAATTTTTTATTTATTCATATTTTGAGATAGGGTATCATTGTATAGCCTAGGCCTAGAACTTGGAATCCTTCTGCTTATGCTTCTCAAGTACTGGGATTACAGGCATGTGCCACCATGCCTGGCTTAGCCTCCTTTTTAAAATGTGAAAAAAAATAGTTCCAAAGATAGTGTGCAACCCAGGCAAGTATACCCAGCACACACGATGAAATCCCCCTTTGAAAATCGGCAGTGTCCACCCATCTTCAGTGATGGCTCAGCCCCTTCTGCATGTGCTTTTGTAATGTATTTATTTACCTATTTTCTTACCGCAGTGCACTGTGGGTTTCTGACAAGGAAGATTTCTCTACCATCCAACCCAGTAGAAGGAGGAGAGCTGGCATTCAAAGTTAGGAGGGCTGGGCCTGGTGGCACACACCTTTGATCCTAGGCAGGCAGATCTCTGTGAATTCAAGGCCAGCCTGGTCTACATAGCAAGTTCTAGGACAGCCAGGGCTACACAGTGAGACCTTCTCTTAAAAAACAAAAACAAAACCAAACCACACACACACACACACACACACACACACACACAAATCAAAATTAAAGGGAAAGAAAGAAGAGTGTGGGTGAGGGAAGAGAGAAGGGAGAGAGGAGGGATGAATTGTAGCAGGAAGGTCAGAGGGAAGCCTGCCTGGGAGAGCAACCAAGGGCGGTGACAGTGCCCACTCACCCTCCAAGTCTCCCAAATGTGACCCTAGGAACTCCTACTCCTAACCTAATCTGTTCTTCTTCCAGGTGTGGTATTGGGGGGCTGCGGTGACAAATCCATCCGTTTCCGTCCCACACTGGTCTTCAGGGATCACCACGCTCACCTGTTCCTCAATATTTTCAGTGACATCTTAGCAGACTTCAAGTAAAGAAGCCATTCCCGTGACATTCAGAGAAAGCCTGGTCTCAATGGTGTCAACTTGATTAGTTTGCCTAATTCATATTTTCACTTAAAAGTTTATCAGAGGCATAAACTGAGGGGTCATTTGTGGGGCAGGCTCATTGTTCAGTGGTTGTGGAGGAGCGAGTAGGTGGGGAGGACCTGGGTTTGAGTTTCCTCCCTGCAGAACTCACGGTGCCAATTGGCTAAAGCCCTTAAGTTCTGTGTAGGCCTTAGACAGTCTTAGGAAAGGCCATGAGGCCATATTTCTGCCAACCCTGGACCAACCAGTTTCTTAGAAGCCACTCAAGGCCATTACACCTGCTCTGAGGCAGGCGGGCAGGATCCTTGGGTCTCAGTCCACCTCAAATACCCTGTCTTGGGATCAGAGATGCTGGTGTCCTCTTGTCCTTCAAGAACAAACTGTCCTTGCTTCTCACCAAATCCCTAGCTCCGTGCCCCGCTCATGACTTAGTGAGGGGTCTGGATGGTTCTTAGGAAGATGACAAGTAGGGAGAGAGGAGTGTGTTTGGGGGAGAGGAGGGGCTTCTGGTACCTTAACCACCAAGATCCACTGAGCCCTGTGCCCTCGGTGATGTCCCTGGCCCATAACTTCTGTCCTTGACTGACCTGTGCTCCTAGAGGATCCCTGAGCGCTGTCAGTAGGCAATATTCTCCAGCCTGTGTCAGTCTTGACCCAAGGGAAGGAAACTACGTCCTGAGCATCCGGGGGACACATGGGAGCTGAAGTTGCCTCTGGAGCATGGGCGGCAGAGTCCCTTCATCTCATCCCAGGGTCTCTGACTTGTGACCCCTCATTCTGGGAACCTCATAGTCCAGTTTTCACTCATCCCAGGGGACCACAGCTAGACTTCTTGTTAAAGGCAATGTGTTCATTATAAAGGCATAAGAAAAGAAAAGCAGATTGCTGGTGTTCTTGGACTTCCCCAACCCCCCAGAGCCTGGACCTTTCTGAGTATAGGACTTACCCTCAGCCAGCAACCAATGTTTATGCAGGCTCCAGCATCTCAGCCAGAGGCATGATGACCTTAGAACTGACTTGACCTGAGAGACCCCTGAGCAGAGCCCCTCATCCTTCAGAGAGGCAGCACTTAACAGGTAGACTGCAGGGGGCTGGTTTATCCTCTTTCCAGAGCCACTTTGCATCCTGGTGCCCTTGTTGACTGTCTGGAGAGATGGGTACACCAGGGTTCAGCCCTTGGCTCTTGAATCATCCAAAGACCCAAGTCCCATGCTTCCTTAGGCATTCTCATCAATTTCCTTGCCTTGAAAATGAAAAGCACTGACATGCTTAATGGAAACAGCGGGTCCATGAATCCCGGTTCACCTCACAGCCCTGTGATCTGAGACTCCGCCACCCCTTTTCACAGCCATGTTTAAGATCATTTCCACAACTGTATATGTGGCTGGGTCTGCCTCCCTCCTGTAAGGTTTCAGTCACCAGTGTGTTTATTTCTGCATCAATAATTTATTCACTCATCCAACTTTCATGAAATATTTGTGCTGTTCCAGGCCCTGGGATGAGCACCAGGAAGACAAACATGAGATTAAGTCCCTGCTCCCAAGGGGCTCCCACTCTCTTGGGAACCACAGAACTAATGTTGAAGTCAAAGTGGAAAGTGCTCTAGCAAGGGTCTCTGGATATTAGTAAGTCCAAGAAGCCTTTAAGGGAAAAGGGGTGTTTGAGCAGAATTCTCCAGAATGAGAAGTTAGTTGGGCACAAACAAAGCAAGAAAGAGTAAAGAAACAGGAAAGCATGTGCAGAGGCCCATTTGTTCACAGCCTCAACCCTTTCCCTGGGGAACCAGACCCCACCCAGAATATCCCAAGGTTCAAGGTCGTATTTGACAAATGAGGAAAGTGTAGGCCAAACCCCAATCCATCTAAGCATGCGTCCTCCTGAGAGCCACGGCAGCACGTGCAGACACTGGTCAGGTCCTTGGCGAGCGCTCAAAGGGTTTTAAGCTAGGACACTCTCTTTAGTGGAGGGAGTGGCTGATATTTCATTTTCTTGCCACGGGGCGTGGTGACAGGAGAATGAAACCATTTCCAGAAAGTCATCTCCAGATGTATTGTTCACCCCTTGCCTGGAGTTGGTTCTTCTCATTTTTTAAACAAACAAAATTTAAGCCATTTACCCACAAGTTTTTGACTGGGGCACAGAGTGTTCCTGAGACATCATCTTTGGAAGTTAGCTGGAAGAATTTCAAGGAAAAGGATTTTCCCCAAAACTCAAGATGGTAGAAATTAGAAAAGGTTGGTGAAAACCCAGAAACCTGGTGGGCAGGCTTCTGCCTAAGGCAGAACCCACAAAGAGGCGCTTCTGTGCAGGTCTGGATGTACACCCATCATGCGTTAGTATAGTAGAGTTTAGTAAATGTCTCTAGCCTGTCGTGTCAGTTTTGTAGAAAATAAGGCCCAGTACTAGCAAATCTTAGCACATCTTCCCTTTTTATTATATATGGGTGGTTTTTTTTATAATTTTTACTGATGCTCAGTAACCATGCAAAACTGTGCACATTAATGTACTAATTACTAGATCTGTACCTATCTATCTATATGCATATATATATCAGCTCACTGTAGAAAACCACACCTAGCAAGCATCGCAGACTCATGAAGACCAAGTGATCTTGTTTACAGTAATTGTCAACAGTGCCAATAAGTGATAAGGAAACTAACATGTCACGGTGTAACTGGTGACCATGTGCACAATTCCATGAATTAAATCTGTTTCCTGTGTTAATCAGTATTCTTAAATTAAAGGAAAATGTTTATAATGGAAAAATCAGAATCAATGTGGGCTTTTTCTGGGGGTTTGCCCCACATGAGTTAATGACAGATTACGTAATGATTCCACCCAAGTCCAGCCTGGCGAACCAGTCAATTTACTGGTTACTGGTTACTTGTAGGAGCATGGGGGACTCACACAGCTGCATCACACAAAAGCCCATAGGTGACAACTCAGAAAAGCTGCATCATCGAAGCTCCACTCAAGAGCCTCCTCAACTTGAGCAAGGGTTTATGTAATCTCGGGGTGCTGTGGGTCTTGTGGGTTTCTGTATTCCTTACTTTCCTCCTGTGCTCCAGGAAACTTAAGGAGAAAGGGTCTATTTCCGTTTGAAACTTAAGAAACGACATAGTCCATCACGGTGTGGAAGGTGAGGTCACTGAAGGATGGGGCACCGCTTCCTCAGTCAGGAAGCAAGGAGCAGACAGAAGCGGAACTAGGCCAGAAAACCTCAAGCCACCCCAAAGACCCGCTTCTTCCTGAAGATTCCACAGATCTCCAAAATAGTGCCACCAGCTGGGAACCAAATGTTCAAACACCAAGCATGGAGACAGGACTCACATTCATACACCTCTCACATGGTAAGCTTCTGTGTGAGTTTCCTGGGCCCCCAAGCCTCCTTTCTGTCTACAAGGGGCTGCTTCAATCCAGTGGAACAGCCACAGGACACCTGGGGTCAGGCAGGTGGGAAGTCAAGCCTGAGTTTGATCTTCAGGACCCCACTGAGCAGATGGCAGGAGAGAGCAGGGTGATGTCTCTGAGGTCAGTATTGTATGTCTCAGGGAGGTGAGGTGAGATGACATGGGAAATCAGTCAAAGAGGCAGCCCAGCTGGCATCCTTGAGGGCCCTCTGCATCACACTGAGGGACAGGCTTCCTATGAGGGCCAGGGAGCTGCTGAGAGTTTGTGACATCCAAGATGCTTTTAGAAAAACTCCTTAGTAAGCTGGGATTGGAGAAATGACTCAACAGTTAAGAGTGTTTGCTGCTTTTGTAGAGGACCCAAATTCAGTTCCTAGCACCCATGTTGGGCAGCTCATAACCACCTATAACTCCAGCGACAAAGGATCGGATGCTCTTTTCTGGTCCCCATGGGTATCTACATTCAATGTACATACCCACATTCAGATACACATGTATACACATAGTTTAAAATGAAATGACTCTTTAGAAAGAATTCCTGGGACTGGAGCAATGGCTCAGAGGTTAACAGCACTTGATGCTCTGGCAGAGGACCCAGAGTTCCCAGCATTCACATGGCGGCTCACAGCCACTTGTAAGTTCTCCACTGGCCTCCAAGGACACCGGCATGCACACGTTGCACAGACGTACATCAGCAAAACACACACTTAAAAAATACAAACCTTTTTTTAATTCCTGGGTGCCTGAAGAATAGAGATACAGGGATAGTTGCTAGTGACCAATGGTGTCACAGTAGCCTGCAACCTACACATGGCATCCAGCATTTCAGAGAAGCAACAAGGTCAGAGGGAAGCATGTATGTATGCATGTATGTATGTAGTCCCAGCTGGCCTATAATTGATTAGCTAGTCCAGGCTGCCCTCAAACTCACATCCACCTGCCTCTGCCTCCCAAAGCTAGGACTAAAAGCATATGCCATCATGCCTGGCCCAGAAGGTAATTTTTACCTTAATGTTTAACTTTTTCATTTTTATTTTTTATATGTATGTGTATGGGTGCTTTATTTATATGTCTGTCTGTGCACCATGAGTGTACAGTGCCCACAGAGGCCAGAAAAGGGTGTTGCATCCCCTGGGGCTGGAGTTACAGATGGTTGTGAGATGCTATGTGAACGCCAGGAACTGAACCCAGATGCTCTGGAAGAGCAACCAATGCTCCTAACTCTTGGACCATCTCTCCAGCCCCTGGTACCTTTGTCAGTTTGACACAACCTAGACTCACCTGAGAAGAGTCTCAGTGAGGAACTGTCTACCGTGAGTCAGCCTGTGGGCATGTCTGAGGGAGGCCGTGTTAAATTAATCCATGTGAACGGCCCAGCACACTGTCAGCAGCGCCATTCCCCAGGCAGACTATGCTGGACTGTACAAAAGTAGAGACACCGAGCTGAGCAAAAGCAAACAGCTGAGCTTGAACCCACTCACTGATCTCTGCTCTTGACTGTAGATGTGATGTCATCACCTGCTTCAAGTCCCTGCCATGCTCACTTCCCAACAGCAATGATTTATAACCTGGAATTGCAGGCGAAAGCAAACTCCTTCTCCCCTAAACTGCTTTTGTCAGGGCTATTTTGTCACAACAACAGAAGTGAGGCTAGGACACTGACTAAAACTTTCTAAAAAATCATGTGACCTGGGTGGGGTGGCTCACACAGGAAATCTCAACAGCTCAGGAGGCTGAGACCGGAGGATTGAGAGTTTGAGGCTAGCCTGAGCTACATAGCAAGATCTCACCTTAAAAGACAAGATTAAGCCGGGTGGTGATGGCGCACACCTTCCAGCACTCGGGAGGCAGAGGCAGGTGGATCTCTGTGAGTTCAAGACCAGCCTGGTCTATAAGAGCTACTCCCAGGACAGCCTCCAAAGCCACAGAGAAACCCTGTCTCAAAAAACAAAAAAAACAAAAAACACAAGATTAAGGGACTATGGAGATGGCTTACTGGTTAAGAGTGTGTACTGCTCTTCCAGAGGACCTGAATATAGATTCCAACACCCACACAGGGTGACTCACAACTGCCTAAAAGTCCAGCTCCAGGGCATCTGATGCCCCCTTTGATTTCCTGAAGCATTGCACTCTTGTGTACACCCCCCCCACACACAATTAAAAACAAAGATAAAAATAAAGTCTTTCTTTGAAATTAAACTTTAAAAGTCAAGTTTGAGGGCACCTTGGTCTACAGCGCAAGTTCCAGGACAGCCATGGCTATATAGGGAGACTATGCCTCTAAGAGACTCAAAACATCAAAAAAGAAACAAGACAACAAAACATTACATCTGTGTCTCAAAAGCCCAACACCACCACTGTATTTCCACAAAAGCCATGTTCCCACAAATGAATATTGTCTGTTTCCCAATGCAGGGACAGGCCTGGCTGGTGCTGGAGTATTTCAGCCATTAATCAGTGAAACCCACGTTTTGTCCCTGGTGCAGGCACAAACAAGGCCAGATAGTATCAGGCCTGCCTGATGAAGTCTAAGCAGGCAAGATTTTATAGTTGAATGCTGCAGGACCAAAACACAGCGGAAAAACATGGAATCTGCCTGAGGCTCAGAGGGACCCTGTTGCTTTCCATTAAAGAACTTGGGAGTCCTAAAGCCATAGAATAACAATGAAATGAAAGTTCCGGGCAGATTGTTGGGGTGACTTACCCCAGGCTGTCCTCCCAAAGCAACTAAGCCCATGAACTACATTCTGGGAAGTGCACCAGATATAGCAGTTTGATGATGGTCTAGGATGGGGGATAGACACTTGGCTGAACTTTGGGAGTAAGCTGACTTTGGGGAAACAGAAAGGACAACAGTTAGCAAGGGGCTGTGCAGTGCAGGTGCCACTCATTAGCAAAACAGACCCCTCGTCAGTCAGAGCAGACCTCCCCGTGGTTACAGTGTCAGCTGAACAGACTGGGACAAACCACAGACACCCTGTCCCCCAGCATAGATGATGCAGAGCCACAGTGTAGGGAGGAGTGCCAAGTTCTTAGCTGATGGGAAAGAAAGCCGTGCTATGAGAAACAAACAGGATTCCATCCCAAATGCTTTCAACAACTGTGGGTTTCTGATGCGCACCCGGTGTGAGTCCCAATGGAAGCACATACAGAAATTCAGGCTGAGGGAGGCTGGGGAGATGGTTCAGCCAGTAACATGCTTGCTGAGCAAACATGAAGATCTGAGTTCGATCCCGAAACAACACACACCTACATAAAAGCTAGGTGTGGTGACATGTACCTGTAATCCCATCACGGGGGCGGTGGGGGGAATTAGGGGGAGGGCAGGAGGATCCCAGGGGCTCGATGGCCAGCTAGCCTAGCTTAATCGGGGAACAATCACTCTAACTCAAAGGTTGAGGTGCTCACAAGTGGAATGTGGTGTCACATGCCTGCAATTCCAGCACTTGGGAGGAAGAAGAATCAGAAGTCAGGTCATTCTTGACTACATAATAAATTTGAGGCCTGCCTGGGCTATACGGAACTCTATCTCAAAAAACCATCAACATAAAAAGAAGACGGGGTAGCCATTCTGCGAGAGTAGGTGACCCTCCATACCCTAATGAGGACACAAGGGGAACCTGAGCCATCACTCAGGTACTGTGCACACACACCTGACAACCCAGCAACATGTCCTCGGTCCTCCAAAATCAGTCTGTGTCAGATCCTGAGATTAAATTCTATTTTCTGTATTTTATTGTTTTATTGTGGAATATTCCTTTACACTGTGTGAATATATGTCACTGTGATTGATTTAGTAAAAAAGCTAAACAGCCAATAGCTAGGCAGGATTTTCGGGACAGAGAGAATGCTGGGAAGAAGGATGGAGTCTCTGGAGTCAGGATCAAGATGCAGAGGAAGCAGGAGATGTACATGCCACACTGAGATAAGGTACCAAATCATATGGTAAAACATAGATAGAAATATGGGTTAATTTAAGAGCTAGCTAAAAACAAGCCTAAGCTATTGGTCAAACATTTATAATTAATACTAATTAAGTCTTTGTGTGGTTATTTGGGAAGCGGGTGGCAGGACAGAAAAGTCTGTCTACATTTTATTTTACTTTGAGACAGGGTCTCATGTAGCCCAGGCTATCTTCAAACAAGGTCTTCCTGCCTTGATTTCAGAAGTGCCAAGATGACAAAGTGAAGTACCATGCTCAACCTCAACCAAAACATTTTTACTTAATCTTTTAACTACAATTTTACATATTTAATTCGGTGTGTGTCTATGGGTGTAAGTGTGTGTCACAATTAGTGTGTGAGTCAGAGGACAACTCGTGGGAATCAGTTCTATTATCCAGGCCTCAGGGATTGAACTCTATCAGACTTGGCATCAAGCACCTTTACCTGCAAAGCCCTCTCGATAGCCCTTTACTTGATCTTCTAAATCTTTAGTTAGCTGACAGAAGCTCAGCAGCAACCAACATCTTGTACAGCTATTGTTAAGATACTTAAGCTTGCCAGTGGCGGCACATGTTTTTAATCCCAGCACTCAGGAGGAGAAGGCAGGCAGATTTCATGAGCATGAGGCCAGCCTGGTCTACAGAGTGAGTTCCAGAACAGACAGTCTACACAGAGAAACCCTGACTCCAAAAACCAAAACCAAACAAAACAAAACAAAACAAAAGACACTTAACTGCCTGGCCCCATTGAAGTCTGACCCCAGTCTAAGGCGTGTACAATTGCCTTAGTTTGGCTCTATTGCTGTGATAAATACCATAATCAAAAGTAACTTGAGGACAGTGTTTATTTGGCTTATGTGTCCCAGTCACAGTCTATCATTGAGGGAAGTCAAGGCAGAACCTGGAGTCAGGAGCTGAAGCAGAGGCTACAGACGACCCCTGCATACTGGCTTGCTCTCCAGGCTCACATCCAGCTTTCTTATACCTGTCAGGGCCACCTTCCTAGGGTGGCACCACCCACAGCCCTGGGCCCGCCCACATCAATCATCTTAATCAGGAAAATGCCCCAGAGACTTGCCTATAGCCCAGTCTTCTGGGGGCATTTCTCGGTTGAGGGGTTTCCTCTTCCAGATGACCCAGTTTGTGTCAAGTTGACAAAAACTGACAATACAACCCCTTCCTCCCTCCCTCCCTCCCTCCCTCCCTCCCTCCCTCCCTCTCTCTTTCCTTCATCCTTTCAAGACAACCCCTGCTGTGTAAATCAGGTTGGCCTTGACTTTGCAGTCTCTTTAGTATTTATGCTACAGGTATGTGCCACACCTGGCCCACCCCCCACCCCCTCCTCCTTTTGTTGTGGTTATTGTTGTTGTTTTTCGAAACAGTTTCTCTGTGTAGCCTTTGCTGTCCTTCAACTCTGTAGACCAGGCTGCACTCAAGATCACAGAGATCAGCCTGTCTCTGCCTCCTGATTAAAGGTATGGGCCAACACCACCTGGCTTCCCGCCCTGTTTTATTGTCCATACTTATAAATCTATATAAAGACATCTTAGGCAGGACGATCTCTGTGAGTGGCCTTGCTATTTTTGCATTTCTGTGTGAACCCTTGTTCAATTCTTTGGATAAGAGGACAGGAACCTGGAAACACTAGACCCAGAGCCCAATCATTGACAACAAAAGGCTCTTTCTTCTTGGACATGCCAACCTTCCGAACGCTTAAGAAATGAACGTTGAGTCACCCAGTCTTTGGTATTGGTGTGGTAGAGTGGAGTGATTCATTCTTGGTTCATATTTTGAGACAGGGTCTCTGGTAGCCCCGGTTGGCCTAGAACTTTGTGGCTGAGAATAGCCTTGAACTCCTGACCATCCTGCTTCCAAAGGCAGGTTGTGTCTCATTCTGTAGCCCACGCTGACCTCACACTTACAACACTCCTCCTGCCTGAGCTTTCCTGGTGTTAGGAGTTTAGGCATGAGCTGGCATGTCTGGCTCTTATTTTTATTATAACCCAAAGGGCTAAGTGGTAGAGTGCTTGCCTATCATGTACAAGGCCCTGGATTGGATCCCCTGGCAGCAACACACACACACACACACACACACACACACACACACACACAGCACTCCCCAAAAGAACTAAAACAATTATTATTTTGAAACTGTTTTTCAAAGGGAGAAATCACCAATATAGTCACAGTCTAAAAAGCCTTTTCCTCCTGTTGCCTGGAACTCATTAGACTATTTTGGTCTCAAACTCAGAGCAACCCATCTGCCTCTGCCTCCTGGCATTAAAGGACTACAACGCCAAGCCTGGCTCTTATTTTGTTTTCTAAACAACTCAAACTACTGCCCTGCTGGGGTTATAGACCCCTAACCCACATCCTGTTATTAGTGGAGAGCTCTGATTTTAGCTGGGGTGTAAAAGGGGAGAAATACACTTGTTCCTTGTAATGCCCTCTGCTGGCACCTTGAGAGCCGACCACAGAAAGGGCTTAGCAGACTGGTAGTTAACATGATGAGCTGACTCCCCACTGCAGTCACCTGGGGGACCTGGCAATAGTAGAAACAGGAAAGGGACTAGGTGGTTTGGTTTTTTTGTTTTGTTTTGTTTTGTTTTTGTTTTGTTTTTTTGGTTTTTACGAGACAGGGTTTCTCTGTATTGTTTTGGAGGCTGTCGGTCCAGCCCAGCCTCGAACTCAGAGATCCGCCTGCCTCTGCCTCCCGAGTGCTGGGGTTAAAGGCGTGCGCCACCACCACCTGGCTGGTGGTTTTGAAGGTTAAACCATCATAAAACTGAGCCAACAGCAACGTCATGGACAGTATTGGTTTGTTGTCTTGAGATATAGTCTAATTTAGACCAGACTGACCACAAACTCATTAAAAAGCCAAGGAGTAATAATCCCCCTACCTCTACCTTCCAAGAGCTGGGATTACAGGCATCTGCCAATATAACCAATTTATGTGGTGCTGGACATATTCTACATCCCCACCCCCTTAAGCAGGCACTTCTAAACTGGCATGAGGCTCTCTGGGTGCAACCAAACCATACCTATAGCATCCCAAAAGAATCAAATTCAAGGTCATTCCCGGCTACACAGCAAATTTGAGGCTAGCCTGGGCTACAAAATACAGAAGACCCAGTGGCAAACAAGATCATAGCTTTTTCTGTTTTTGTTTATTAAGTGGGGAGAGAGGTGTGTGCCTGCCACTGTACATGGTTGTCAGAGGACAACCCAAAGCAGTCAGGTCTCTCTTTACTATACAGGTCCCCAACTGAAGCTCAGGCTGTCAGGGTTGATGGTGAGCAACTGTATCCTCTGATTCCTCTTCACCCCCCCCCCCCCACATTTATTTGTTCACATTTAGACTCTAAAGTCAGAGGTTCTTTGTTGGTAAAGTAGCTCCAAAATATTGAAGCTCCTACTGTCTTTCTGACACCGTGCACACATGGCTATGTTCCCATGGCCCAGTGAGTCCACTAAGTTCCCTGGAACAGCCGTCACAGTGGGACTGCATGGTGATCAGGATTAAAGCTGTGACAGCAGCTTGATCACATCTCGGTGGATGGGGCACCGCTGAGAAGACAATGCCAGTGCCCCAGTTGTGACGGGGGCTGGAGGACTTGCTGGTTTTTTTTTTAAGACAGGTTCTATGTAGCCCTGGTAATATGCAGACAACACCTCAAATTTGCAGTGATCCTCCTGACCCTTCAGGCTTCCAAAATCCTAGAATTATTGTGTAACTCTGTCTCAAAAAAAAAAAAAACTGAAACAAAAACAGGCCTAATATGGTGGTGTATGCACTTGGGAGGCAGAAGCAAGTGGAGGTCAGGAGGCCAGCTTGGTCTACACAGTGAGATCCTGTTTTAAAAATAAATAAATAAAGACAAAACTAAACAAGTCTGGCATGGTGGTACACACCTTTTTAAAATCTCAACACTCAGGAGGCAAAGGCAAGAGGATCTCTGTGAGTTTGAGGCCAGCCTGGTCTACATATAGCAAGCTGCAGGACACAGATCCAGTCTAATACATATATAAAAAAAACTAGGGGCTGGAGATACCTGAGCAGTTAAGAGCACTGACTGCTCTTCTCCGGGGTCCTGAGTTCAATTCTCAGCACACAACTGTCTATAATGTGATCAGATGCTCTCTTCTGGTGTGTAGACTCTCAAGTAGACAAAAAACATCCATGTACATAAAATACATTAATATTTTTTAAAGTACTTTAGAGAAGAAAAAAAAAAACACAAAACGGTAGATGGGACATACTGGAAATTAGGTCAATGGGAGCATGTCTTCCTGTGTTGTCTTTACTTCCTTCCCAGCATTTTCACAAAAGAAGCCACAGCAGGAAAACCAACAGGCACTTGTATAGTGTTCACATCAGTGTTTTTCACAATAGCGCAGGGGTGGAGACAACCCAACCATCCACTGACCTACTGAGCTGATAAAATCCCCCCTCTCTCTCATCTGAGTCACGTTCTGAATAAACTCACTTTCACTAACTTGTGTAAGCGTTAAGTTCTCAAAGACTCAACACTGTGAAAACATTACACCAAGTAAAAGCTACCAAACACAGGAGGAAACACACCATGATTCTGTCTACACGAGATGTCCGAATAACAAATTCAGAGACAGATTAGTCACTGCCTAAAAACAGGTGGAGACAGAGAGGATGAAGGCAGGTGACAACTATAAACCAAGTACCTTTTTGGGACAGACAGTCAAGCATTAATTTTGTCTGTATTTTGAGACAGGGTTTCTCTGTGTAACAGTTCTGGCTGTCCTGGAGCTTGCTCTGTAGACCAGGCTGGCCTCAAGCTGCTTCTCCAATGGAAGCATTAGAATTAGACAACAGTGATGGCTGTACAATACTGAGGATGAGTTTCATGCCCCTGACCAAAAAAAGAAAAAAAAAAAGGCCCAGCAATGGTGGCACATGCCTTTAATCCCATCACTTGGGAAGTAGAGGCATCTCTGAGTTCCAGGTCAGCCTGGTCTACAGAGCAAATTCCAAGATAGGCTCTGAAGCTACACACAGAAACCCTTTCTTGGGGGGGGAGTCGTTACAATTTGATATGCACATTTTTAAATTTTATTTTTTGAGATTATAATATAATTACATCATTTTTCCCTTCCCTTTCCTCTCTCCCATATGCATATGCTTCTAAACATAACTTGCTCAGTCTGTACTCGAATGTGTGTTTTCAGGGTGGACCACTCCTTATTGGTAACTAACTGGTGTGTTCTTCCCTAAGGAGGACTGCTTCTCCTGCTTTCAGAATTCTTGGGTTGCCTGCAGTCCTTTCTGTGGCTTGAGGCCTTGTGTTGTGTCCATCCCTGCTCCGCGCACACACACATCGGCATGTCTATCGTTATCTTTGTTCGTGCTGTTTGTTTTAAAGCAATGAAGAATGGCTAGAGGAACAGCAAGACAGTTCGGTGAGTAAAGGTGCTTGCTGCCAAGCTCGACAGCCTGAACTTAATCCCCAAGGAAAGGGACTCCAAAAAGTTGTCCTCCAACCTCCACATATGCAGTGTACACACACAAATAAATACATGTGATTTTAAAAGAAAAATTCTTCAAGAAAGGAAATTACTGCCCAGGTAGTATGCTTCATAAGGCCAGCCTGGTCTACAGAGGAAGTTCAAGGATAGCCAAGGCTACACAGAGAAACCTTGTCTTGAGGGGGGATAAGAAAATGAAATTACTAAAAAGCTACTTAACAACACATCTTCAGTACTTAACAACGCATCTTCAGTGGCCAAATTACAAAGATGATGGCTGCTTTCCTCTTTATGCAGGAACAATAATAAGCTCGTGTGTTACCCACTATGAAAAGCAGCATACACAGTCTCCTTTAGCTGACAGGTCGCTTGGACAGTCCCTCTGTCTTGATGACACTGCAAAGCTCCCCAGTGTAAGTGGCCCTGAACCTCCCGGTGGTCAGCATCCCCAGCTAGATGCTGTCCCTATCTCAGTTGGTGTAGGCTTCAGCGCTAGCCCTCTAGCTGGTGAGTGCAGAGCAGCTTGGAAGCCTTCCTTGATGCTGTAAGCCCTGGGCTGCTGACCTTACACAGCACGTGGAATTTACTGGACTTGTCTGTTCTGTGGTGCTCAGGGTGGAACTTAGGACCTCATACATGCTGGGCAAGAGCTCTACACAAAGCTACACTCCCATCCTCAGTCATTATTGGTTATTTCCATATTCATCCCCATGGGAGAGAGAAAGGCTCTTCTATCTCAGAGTGCAATTCAAGGCTCAGAGACTCAATACCCTGCCCTAGACCAAGGAGCTGAGGTTCAGCAGAACCCGAGTATCCAGATTCCACAGTCTGTGTTGCTCTGCCAACCCCCCTGCCTCTGGTTTCATAGCAGTGGGTTGCCTCTGTGACCTTGGCATAGCCTTCCTCCAAGATGTACCTCTTCATAGACATTTCTGGTCACTGTCCGTTGGAATGCCCTGTTCAGTACAATGTTCCAGTAAGGGCTTTTTCCTAAAGTTGGCTAATAACTTCTCCACCTGCCTCCATCTACATGGCTGAGTACAGGCACACACAACCACGCCTGGTTATATGCAGTTCTAGGGACTGAACCCAGGGTTTCACTTCCTGCATGCTAGACAAGCAGTCTACCAACTGAGCTTCAGCCCCAGCCCCCGGTTAGCAGCTTCTGCCTCATCAATGTTCTTGGCCTTCCTGCCTGAAATCCAAGCGTAGCCAGGGCTACCCAGGGGCCTTGTCGTTACTCTTTACTTGAGTGTGGTTGGGGTTCCAAACACTTGTGAGAAGCGTTCTCTGTCCAGGATTTGGCCATAGCGCAGGGTGACATAGAAGGTCTGCTTGCCACTGTATTGCTTGATTCGCACCAACAGATCCCGGGCATGTTCCTTGGATTCTGACAGGGGTATTATATCTGACACGTCACAGAACGTATCTTGTCGCCACCCCCAGAAGGACAGGTGGGCCACTTGAAGCACGGTACCTGACTCATTCACATACATGAAGCCCACCAGCCTCCGGAAGAAGTAGCTCATCCAACACAGCATGGCCAGGGTGAAGCAAGAGATCCCACTCATGAGGTAGAGTGCCTTGAGACTCATGAGGCCCTGTGAGTACCAGTACAAGCCTGGGGGTAGGGCTGCCACCGTCACAGCTGTCTGTGCCAACTTCAGTCGAGACAGAAACCCAAATCTTCTGACGGCTCTGAAGCGGTAGATTGTGTAGAATTTCTCAGTCTCTGTGCCTGGTGGCTTCTCCTGCGAGGTGGGAGACTTGCCAGACGCCCACCTTTTGGAATCCCCCTGCCCAGTGCAGCACCACAGCCGGTGAAGAGGCCTCCCCCATGCCGCTGGCCCCTGAAATCTTGGCACGGCTCGAAGGAAGGCAGACTGGAAAAGAGAGAGGTTTCTTTCAGGACTCAGCCATGATAACCACACGGGGAACAAGGCACAGCATCCACCAGAAAGGCTCCAACCAACCCTGGAAAGCCATCTGGGCTTCACTTTTTGTGGAATTCTACTCTGGATTATGCCTGTCTTTACAAGTAAACCAACAAACAAAAATCCTGAACCCAGCCAGTGAGATATCCCCTCAAGTAAAGATGCTTGCCACCAAGCCAGGCCACTTGAATTGAACTTCTGGAGCCAACATGGTAGCGGACGAAAAATTACTCATGCAACGATGTCCTTGAGCCCCCTATGCCACGACAAAAGCATATGCACTCTGAACACACCAGGATTTAAAAATAAAATAAAATAACTAAGCCCCTCCCACCCCGCAAAGGGCATGGAAACTCGACAGAATGAATGGGGCAGGGTCTCTCTGGCAGGTCCACGTAAACACAGGAAAGGTTTGCTTTCAGACATTCAATAGAAACCTACTGACGAGGCCGGGCGTTGGTGGCGCACGCCTTTAAGATTAATCCCAGCACTCGGGAGGCAGAGGCAGGCGGATCTCTGTGAGTTCGAGACCAGCCTGGACTACCAAGCGAGTTCCAGGACAGCCTCCAAAGCCACAGAGAAACCCTGTCTCGAAAAACCAAAAAAAAAAAAAAAGAAAGAAACCTACTGACGAGCCAGCAGTGGACTCGAACTTGGGTCCACAAGTCTGTGGGACACTTCCTCAAGGAATAAACCAATCGGTGTCACAGTGGAAAACCCAAGCATCAAAACTTGGGGGTACTTATCACAGTACCTTTGCATTTCTCCTACTGCCTTATACGGTAGGAGAACTACTTTTTCTTAGCCTGGCTGGGAAAGGGCGAACAGGGGAGACGCGCGGCACGGAGGCCTTCAACACACTGCACAACAGTTCTCTGGAGTGAGCAGCGAGTGAGCAAATCCTGAGCTTTAGAGTCCGAGGAAGGCTCTGATCCTGGCTCTCACAGACACTTGCTCTGCACCCTTGTGCACCTTTCCAAAGAAAGCGTCAGAATACGCTAGGCGAGACATGGTTCTCTGGATTGATGCGCGCTCGGGGAGTCGTAGCGACTCTGACCGCCCACGTGACGCAAGGGGGAAGGAGGAGGCAGGGAAATAACAGATCATAACACACTTCCCGAATCGGCGGCCCAGGCATCCTTCCTGCCAGCCCTAGGCCCGACCAGGGTCCCCTATACGCGTACCCTCTTTCACCGCCCACTACCTGCCCTTCGTACCATGATCACGTCTCCTGCAATGAAATGTAAACCGACGGGTCCCCGGAAAATTGAAGAACGCATGCACGGGGGGAGGGTTTTAAAAAAAACCCGCATGCGCAAACCAAAAAACAAAAGTGTTACATCTCGGGGATTGTAGTTTAAATCTTGACTCCGCTGTAAGTGTTCTGTGAGTCATTAGGAGAAAAAAAAAAAAATCCTCCCTTTCCCGTCGTGCCTTGGGCTACGGGGCTCGGAGTGGACCAGGAAGTTCCGGGTGGAGTTCCGGGTGCCAACAAGTCTTCTGAGTGGAATCATGGCCGCGCTCTGTCTCTTCGACGTGGATGGGACCCTGACTGCCCCGCGGCAGGTAGGCGGCGCCCGGGAGGCTCGCGGCGGAGCCCGTGCAGAGCCCAGACCGCGGTGACGACCGCCCGCGGGGACCTGGAGACGCGGGTCCTGAGCGGGGTGCGCAGGAAGACGGGGCAAAAAAACGACCCCTTCCGAACAGGAAAGAGTTCGGAGTCGGAAAGTTCGGGTCTGGATCTCTTTGGGGGGCCTGGGGACTGGTGGCCTGGATTGTGACTCCAGTTTAGGCCCCCCTGACCTGCTGTGCCACCTTCCCAGCCCTGTCACCTTTGGGCGTGTCGTCTAGTATATCAAAGGCAGGTTTTCAGGTGCCTGACCTTGAGCAAGTCACTTTCCCGGAGCCCCCAACCCACTTTAAACGGGTGTATTGCCTGCTGCATGGGGTGTTGGTGAGGATAACAGAAATTCGGGGCAGTGCCGTGCCCAGATCAAGCCTTCCACCACCCAACCCCTTCTCTACCACAGTCTTCCTTTCTGAGCCACAGTTTGATCTATCTAGGGATGACATCCAACCACAGATTCTCCAGAACCCTTTCTTACTCAGCTTCATTGCTCAATGCACACTTGGGAGTTCAGTCAATAGTAAGGTGGGCCGGTGGCCTAAGATTTAATCCCTGCAGGAGGATTTGAGGGTTTAGAGCCTGAGCTGTAGAGTGAGTTTGCCGCAAACCTGGAGAACTTTTCTCAAAGCAATAAGAGCCAATGGTAGTCTAGAACTGGAAGCGGAATCCATATTTTGTAAAGGGCCATATGTTATGTACTTTTGTCTTTTTTGTAGAACATATGGTAACTACCTGTGGTAACTACCCAACTTTAGTGCAAAAACAGTCATAGACCATACTGAGTCATGACTGAGTAGCTATGTTGTAATCTATTTTTTTTTTTTTTTTTTGGTTTTTCGAGACAGGGTTTCTCTGTATTGTTTTGGAGGTTGTCCTGGAACTCACTCTGTAGACCAGGCTGGCCTCGAACTCACAGAGATCCGCCTGCCTCTGCCTCCCGAGTGCTGGGATTAAAGGCGTGCTCCACCAACGCCCAGCTATATGTTGTAATCTATTACAGAGGCCACTTAGATGGCTCAGTGGGTAGAGTCATTTAACCCTAAGCCTTGGGGCCTGAGTTCAATTCCTGGAACCCACATGGTGAAAGGAGAGAACCAACTCCCCCAAGTTGTTTTCTGACCTGTCCTTGTACATTGTGGCACATGTACATGCATATACTTACATAATAAAAATAAAATCATTATAGAAACAAACTGTTGTTCAGTTTGGCCCAGGAGCCATAGTGGTCAGGAGTCTACATTTCTAAGCCTTTGTACAGTGCTGAGCTTACAATCTTCCACCATCTTTCATCCTAGGCAGGATAGTCATTGCTACTACCCCCCTCCCAGACAGGGTTTCTCTGTAGCTCTGACTGTTGTGGGACTCGCTCTGTAGGCCAGGCAGACCGTGAATTCAGAGGTCTGCCCGCCTCTACTGGAATTAGAGGTGCGTGCTGCTACCATTCAAATGTAAGGAAACAGACCGGTGGAACCCTGACTGCCTCTGCTTCTCTTAGCAGCTGTGGTTAGAGATCCTGGGCCTCAGGGCACTGTTGGTTGTCCAGTTTGTCATTTCCTTTCACTTTGCCAGGGTGGAGGCCACTGCGGGTACTAGACATGCTACTGGGGAAGTGCTTCTGTTTCCCAGGTAAATGAAGATAGATAAGCATGAGATACAGAATAGCAAAGAAGCCAGGTGACCCAGAGTGTATTCCCTTGCAGATATCTGGGACAATATGCTTGCAGTAATCATAAGCAATTGTAAGGATAAAAGAAAACTAATTTGAAAGAGAATTTTCCTATATACTAGGTACTATAGTTAAAATATTTTAGCAGCAGATCTATTTATCATCAGCCCTTCCCACCTCCATCCATGTGTATTCCTAAACATCACTAAGCACAGTGTGGACTGGAAGAGGAGGAACAGAATCTCTTTTATTGCAGTTGTTGTTACATGGTATGACCTGCATGGGTTAGCATGAACTCCAGAGGTCTGCATATTTCCTTGTTTGTGTAGAAATTTGTTGTCCTGGGTGCTTTCTTCCAAATCAAATGTCATTCTATCCCTAAACAGTAAGACTTGAGAAAACCTTTCAAAAAAAAGGTCATAGGCCTCCATGAGTCATATTCCAACTCTGGCATCCTGAAAAAAATCTCACATAGAAAGATCATTGATGGGCTGGAGAGATAGCTCAAAGGTTAATAGCACTGGCTGTTCTTCCAGAGGTGAGTTCAATTCCCAGCAACCACATGGTGGCTCACAACCATCTGTAATGAGATCTGGTGCCCTCTTCTGGTGTACAAGCATACATGCAGTCAGAACACTATAATAAATAAAAAGCTTAAAAAAGAAAGATCATTGACAAAAAATAGTGTACAGAGAACCCATATCCCTGTCACTTAGGTTAAAGCAGCTGATATTTAATCATAATGACTTTGTATTTCCTCTTGCTAAGTAACTTTCTAAACCACAGTCAACATGCTCCTTCACCCCTTTGTATTTTGTTTTTGTTTGTCTATTAAAGACACTCTTAGGAAATCCAACTATGTAGCCAAAGCTGGCCTTCAATTTGTTCCTCCTGCCTCCACTTCCCAAGTGTTAGTATTATTGACTTGTGACACTATACCCACTTCTGACATTGAATCATATGTATGTAATATAAAACACCTTTAAACAACAAAAGATTGGGCTGTCATGGTTAAGAGCACTGGCTGCTCTTCCAGAGGACCCAGCATCCACATAGTGACTCACAACCATCTGTAACTCCAGTCCCAGGTAACTCTGCCCTCCTCAGGCACTGTATGCATGTGGCATACAGATATATACATATCCAAACAAAAAAGAAAAAGCTAGATGTATGTGTTATCATAAAAAGTTACCTCAACATAAAATAGAAAAAGCAAGTCATGAGCTGGAGACATGGCTCAGAGGTTAAGAGCACTGGCTACTCTTCCAGAGGTTCTGAGTTCAAGTCCCAGCAACCACATGGTGGCTCACAGTCAATCTATAATGAGATCTGGTGCCCTCTTCTGGTGAGCAGGCATACATGCAAGCAGAATGCTGTACACATAATTAATAAATACATTTAAGAAAAAGAAAAAGCAAGTCATTGCACAGGACAGAGAATAACACCATAACCATATATATGTGAATAGACAAGTGTGAATAAGTATAACTAAATAGTAATTTTTCTACACACCTAGTAAAAGCACTGGGCTTGTGTAAAAACAGGAACTAAATTAGTTTGCAGTTTCAATCTGGTTATTGTCACTCAAAATCATCCTATTTTCCTTCTTGACATATAGAAAATTGCAAAAGAAATGGATGACTTTCTACAAAAATTGAGGCAGAAGACCAAAATTGGAGTGGTAGGTGGGTCAGATTTTGAGAAAGTGCAAGAGCAACTGGGAAATGATGGTAAGTGCTAATTATACTCTAGTGCAAGATGAACTTCTCATGAGGGTACTGAGACTTGCCGCCAGTGTCCCCCGCAGTCCCAAACCACGATCACTCACATAGCATGCTTTCTGCCTTCTCTGGGAAAACATTTTCTCTGCCCTTATTTGGCCTTTGCTTTAATCCTTTGACAGAACCCTACACTCAGGTGTAGCCAGACTCACCTTCGAGGTTGTGCATGCATGTCTTCACTTGTGGAACCTTTTCTCCCCCTACTGTTTACATGTCCCTTACTGCTCTCTTACTGCAGCCCAGGCCTCACCTCCCGGCTGTGCTGTCTACTCAGGTTTGCATATTCCTATGGTCTCAGTACCTTGTCCCTGTAGCCCTGATGGAGTGTGTTCCAGGGTTCCCTAGTCATGAGAGTCACTAGGATCCCCACATCACCAGGGTCTCCAGCACAGGACTAGGAAGCTAGAGAGCCTTTGTGATAGAGTCTCACTCTGTAGTCCAGGCTACATCTTGTCCTCCTGTCTCTACCTCCTAAGTAAGTACTGGAGTGACAGCATCAACCACCACACCTAGCTGGAGCGTCTCCTGGCTTCTTTCCTGGAGATGATGGAACAGCAGGTCTCTAAGACTTGGACATATACCTTAGCAAGTATCCCAACCCTGCTGATGGAGCATGCTCTGATGTAAATTCAAGTCTTGTTGCCTTACAGACTGTGTTATTCCTCTCTTTTTCCCAGGGCTTCTGGGGTAGCTGGCCCGTGAGAAGTAGTGAGCAAAGAGATTGGTGAACTAATAGTTCTTCGCTATCTGTTGTAGTGTGGAATGCTCTCCAGTGAGTCAGGCACTTGGGAGGCTGAGACAGAGGAGTCACAAGTTTCATGTCAGGTGGGGTTGGAGAGATGACTTAGCGGTTAACAGCACTTGCTGCTTTTATGGAGGGTTCAGTTCCCAGGACCCACATGGCAGGTCACAACTGTCTTTAATTCCAGTCCCATGAGGTACACATACATGCATACAGGTAAAATGCTCATACATATCAAATAAATTTTTTGTTTATTGAAACAGGTTTTTCTGTGTCATCCTGGCTGTCCTGAAACTCATTTTGTAGATCAGGCTGGCCTCAAACTCACAGAGATTCACCTGCCTCTGCCTCCTGAGTTCTTGGATTACAGACATGCACCACCATTGCCAAGGTTTTTTTTTAAATAAACATAAATTTAAAATAGACAAAACCACACTGTTGTCCCAGGTCATACCGAGCAGGATAGTTCACTGTAAGATGCATAGTACCATCTCTGGCCTCTCCTCACTAGAAGCTGGTAGAGTGCACGCACACAGTTTTGACATCCAGGTTGTCTCCAGACATTGCTGGTGTGTCCTGGGGGTCATGTTCCCATGGTTGGGAACTCAGCATGTCTTATCTGAAAGTGCAAGTCTTTGGTTCAGATCCGATACTGGGAATAGTCAGCTCTGCAATCCGTAGGACATGTTCCACTTCATCATCCTCAGAGGTGTTCTCTATAGAAATGCTGTCAGCAAAGCCTGGCACTTGGGAAGCAGAGGCAGGTGGATCTCTGAGTTTGAGATCAGCCTGGTCCACAGAGTGAGTTCTAGGACAACCTCCAAAGCTACACAGAGACACCCTGTCTGGAAAAACCCAAAGAAAAGGAAAGAAATGCTATCAACAACATTCAGCCCAGGAAATCCTGTCACATGGATGATCGCCATTCCTGCCTCCAGAGTGTACTCGCAGCATGCTCTGAGAGGTTTTGTATCACTGTGGCAGAGCTGGGTGTTTGAGACAAGACGTAACAAGTCAAAACACTCATACTAGAAGGCAGCTAAGAGCTCACCTTGCATCAGCATACCTGTAATCTAAGCACTCAGGAGACTTGCTGTGAGTTTGAGGTCATGCTGGACTATAATGAGTTCAAGGCCAGCCCGGGCTACATGCAGTCCTGTCTCAAAAACAAAACAGGTGGACATAGTAACACATGCCTTCGGTTCCAGCACTGAAGCAGAGCAGGCAGACCTTTTGTGGGTTATGTGCTACTCTCCAAGTCTAAATGAGTATAAGAATCATCTTTTAAACACAGCTTCTTAAATGTTTATTTTTATAAAAAAAATGATTTGGGGGCTGGGGAGTGGATTGTTCCCTGGAGGCATTGTCAACCCAAGTCCAGTACTGAACCCACATAGAAGGTGAGAAGCAATCTTACAAGTTGTCTTCTGACCTACATACATACACCATGGCATATACACACCAAAACACTTGCATACACACAAATTGAACCTGGCAAACCCGATCTGGAAAGTCTGAGAGCAGAGTGTGACTGTCTCTTTGTCCCTTGTTTCCTGCTGGTTCACTACAGGGTTGGTTGGGGACAGGGATGGGCCAGCATCTTACTGGCACACTGGCAGGCTGGAGGCAGGGTCTGTCTGCAGCTTATTTGTCATCCTTAGACTTAGCGTCAAAGCTGCCATCTGAGTCCCCAGCCTCTTGATTGGGCTGGCACAGCCCTCAAGTGCTTAGTGGGGTCTTTGGGGTGGGTGCTGAGATGAGAAAGAAAGAAAAAGGCTGGTTTCTATTCAATGCATCCTCAGTTTTATCTTGTTTTGGTTGTAGTGGTTGAGAAGTACGATTATGTGTTTCCAGAGAATGGCTTGGTGGCATACAAAGATGGGAAGCTTTTATGTAAGCAGGTAAGTTCTTAAGTATACAGCTTGTTCTGTATTATTACTGATATGCCGTATGTAAGCCAGCACAGCTGGGGCAGGAAGGTCAAAAGTTCAGGGGTTGCCTGGGCTACAAAGTGAATTCAAGACCAACCTGGGCAGCTTAATGAGATACTGTCTCAAAATTTATAGAAACAATAAAGAAAAGGGGGGCACAGAACAATACATTACATGTGATAATGATTGAATGCCTCCGGGCACACACTGGGGAGCTGGGAGGGAGGGGAAAGGGGGGGAATCTTCACACTGTATTCTTTGTTAAGTTTGAATTTTGCCCCACACAGCTGTTGCTTGTTCCAGAGAGTGATTACATCTTTATAATAGCCTTTTAAAGCTGCTTGAGTCCAATGTTTTTATTACAATAGCCAAAGCTAGAGCAGGCCATTCACCCAGGAGCTGTGGAAGAGAAGCTGTAGTTAATACTAAGAGCAATTGCGGTAAGCTCTCCGGCCATTCCGGGAAGTGTGTGTAAGAAAATGAACGTGAATCCCTGAGTAGAAGCTTCTGACTGAGGTGTCTGTACTTTGCCTGTTGTTTTCCACCAACAGAAAAGAGAAAGGCGAAAGGACAACAGAATATGTCACTGTCCCGGCTGGGTCAGCTCGGTGCTTCTGGCAGTGTCGTCGGAAGATCTGGGTTTGCCATGAGGCTGTTTTGAAAGTACTTATTATATCAAATAACTCATGCTTTGTTTACATAGAGTATTCAAGGTCATCTGGGGGAGGCAGTGATCCAAGACCTGATCAACTACTGTCTGAGCTACATTGCAAAAATTAAACTCCCTAAGAAAAGGTGGGTTCACTCTGAACAAAGGAGGAGCTTCTAAATATGGAGCAGTAGGCTCTTGTGATGGATTCGTGCTGACAGCCAGAACTCAGCACTTAGTACAACTACGTGGAAATAGTCTGCGTAGCCAACCACGTGAAAATGGTTGTAAAAAGATGGCCACCCCTGTAAGGGAGTGCTGTACAGACACTGAAACCTTTGCAGGCTCAGGGCTGTCATGGGAAAGAGTCCTGTGAAATAGCATCCATCTATAATCCCAGGGCTAGAGAGGCTGAGGCAGGAGGGTCACAAGTTCAGGCCCAACCTGAGAGTTAGAACTAGGCTCTTCAAATAAGGGTTGGGGAGACAGGCCAGGTATAGTGGCACAAACCTTTAATCCCAGCACTTGGGGGCAGAGGCAGGTGATCTCTGAGTCAGAGGCCAGAATGGTCTACAGAGTGAGTTCTAGGACAACTAGAATTACACAGTGAGACCCTGTTTTAAACAAAATGGGGTAGGGGCAGGTGTGATGAGTCCCAGTTGTCAGCCAATATGTAGAAAGCTAAGGCAGGAGAATTGCTGTGTATTCTAGACTTCATAGTGAGTTCCTGATCCACCTGGGCTACAGAGTGAGAGCTTATCTAAAACAAAAAAAAAAAAGGTCTCAGGAAATTGCTATAGCTAAAGTACATGTCACACCAGCATGAGGGGCAAAGTTCAGATCCCTAGCACCCTCATAAAAACTGAGTGTGGTCATGGCACCTGAAACTCTAGCCATGAGGGAGTGGAGACATAAAGTATCCTGGGAGTCTAGTCAGGCAGTGAGGTCTGGCTTCAAAAAAAAGACTGTTTTGGAAGAAGCTGGAACAGTGGTGACAACAGTGTCAAATGCTAACAGTATACAACATGCACACATACACCACACGGGCACATACATCTCACACACACACACACACACACACACAAGCACACATAATCTTATAAAGCACCAGATGCCCACAACATGAAAGTGTAAGGAGGCCTCCAAGGTAGATGTCTTATAAAACCAAATGTGTTTGGCCTGCAGTGCTACAGGGTAGAGGTTGTAGGCGCAGTAAGGAAGAGTGCTTGCTATGTAAACATGAAGGGCCGAGTTCACATCCCCAAGCCTCACATTAGAATCAACTGTGCTCACATGTACACCTATAATCTGAGCACTGTGGAGGACAGACAGGACCATTGGGACTGCTGCCCCGTCATCTGGCCAGGCTCATGGGGAGACTCTGTCTCAAGGAACTAAAGCAGAGTGATAAAGCAGAGTACCCCATGCTCTGGACCCATGTGGTGAAAAGAAAAGACCTGACTCCCACATTGTCCTTTGACCTACATACGTGCCTATCCAGCCTGCCCCTCACAAAATAAATTTTTTAAAAAAACTTTTTTAGGCTGGGCATGGTGATGCTCACCTTTAATCCCAGCACTCGGGAAGCAGAGGCAAGTGGATCTCTGTGAGTTCGAGGCCAGCCTGGTCTACAAAGTGAGTTCCAGGAAAGCTGGGATGCTGTTACACAGAGAAACTAACCTGGAAAAACAAAACAAAATTTAAATGCGTATTCTGAGTATAAAACTAAAACCATGATTTAAAGTATTTAACCATCTTCACTGGAATCACTGAAACCTTTGGTCTGCTTCATTTTCTGTGATCACATTAAGCCTGAGTGAGCAGTCTGCCTCTGAATAAATAGTTTTCTGAGTCATTAGTGAGTCCCCATGAACCACAGTCTCAGAACCTGTATCCTCCCTTAATGACATCAGTTTGTTGGAGAGCTGACTAGCTAAACAGATGCCTCAGAAACAGATGTGAGACTCCTGCAGGAGCAAGTGCCCTTATGCTGGGATCCATTCCCAGCCCTTTGTTGCCATGAGATGCTCCTAATCAGTTGCAGTAGAAACAGTGAGCCACAGGGTAATTGTTTTAATAACATGCCCTGTTTAACGCAGTATATCCAAAACATCATTTTATCAAATAGTCAGCGTAAAATATTATGACTAATGAGACTTGGCGCCTCAAACCTGTAATCCCAAAACTTGTGGGATGGAGGCAGGAGGGCCAGACGTTCTAGGTCATGTATCATCAGCTACATGGTGAATTCAAGGACAGCCCAGACTACATAAGACCCTGTCTCAAAAAGTGGGAGTGTGGGGTATTCCTCCCTTGGGTTCTTCCCCCTCTTGGGAGTTTTTAGTTTTGTTTACTTACTACATCACTGTTTGCTTTGTTCAAAAAAGAAATAGGGCCGGGAAGGCAGGTCAGCCAGTAGAGTTCTCTCTGCTCAAGCCTGAGTACCTACGCTTGCTCCCCAACACGCTCAAAACAGCTGCATCTGGTAGTGCATGCCCACAGTCCCAGTGCTGAGGAGGTAGAAATGGGAGGATCCTTGGGGCTTAGATCAGGCACTAGCTGAACTGGTGAGCTCCAGACTCAGTGAGACACCCTGTCTTAAAATATAAGGTGGACTCAATGAAGACACCCACTGTGACCTCTGCCTACCACTTGTACATTCACACACATTTATATGTACACACATACACATAAAGAAAAAAATTGTGAATGATGATTCCATTCCTTTTCTATGCTGTCTCTATCCAGCTCAATCTGGATTAGCCACATTCTGAGTCTATCATAGTATGTAGCTCAAAGTTTCCATGAGAAACCTGGGTCACATACTCCTGCTTCTAGAATTTAATGTTGCCCAAGTAAATAGGTATTTTGTAATTTGGAGGTGTTCCTCCCCAGGGGAACTTTCATTGAATTCCGAAATGGCATGTTGAATGTGTCACCTATTGGAAGAAGCTGCAGCCAAGAAGAACGAATTGAGTTCTACGAACTTGATAAAGTGAGTTCTTAGGCATACGTGGGCAACAACCCGAAGTTCTTCTGCACTGTGATGCAATGCACAATTGTTATCTTTTTGTTTCTCTCAGAAAGAAAATATACGACAAAAATTCGTGGCAGACCTGAAGAAGGAGTTTGCAGGGAAAGGCCTCACATTCTCCATAGGTATGGTGTGTATCCAGGCTTTGGTTCCTCTGTGCCTAGAGCGTATGGTGGGCCACTGAAACACTCGGTGCTGTGCTGGGTAGGACAGTTGTTAATGGGGAAAACAAGGTTCCCTTATAGAGTTCTTAGTCTTAGTAAGAAAAGAACTTAGAAACGGGCAGTGGTGGTGCACTCTTTTAATCCCAGCACTCGGGAGAGGTAGAGGCAGGCAGATCTCTGTGAGTTCGATGCCAGCCTGGTCTACAGAGCTAGTTCCAGGACAGGCTCCAAAGCTACACAGAGAAACCCTGTCTCAAAAACAAACAAACAAACAAAAACAATTTAGACTCAGGAGGGATCCTGAGGATAATCGTATTCGTTTATGACAAAAACAGTATAACTTAGGTGAAGATCCCAGTGGTCACCAGGAGGAGTGATGGAGGGAAAGTTGTACTTTTGAAGTTAGATGTCGTAGAAATAGACAGGCTACTAACAAAGGGCAAAGCACCCTCCAAGAATGGAAGTGACTGGTGAGCTGAGGAGCCCCAAAAGCATCCAGCCAGGCAGTGGATGGTTTTTTTTAGCCCCCTCCCTCTTTTTGTATGCCGTGGGCTTTATTTTGATTGTGCTCTGTTCACAAGGTGATGCAGGGTAAGAAAGCCTCCAGTCTTCTTCTGCAGACTGGCTTCTTTTACTTGCTAATCTCTCTCTCTCTCTCTCTCTCTCTCTCTCTCTCTCTCTCTCTCTCTCTCTCTCTCTCTCTCTCTCTCTCTCTCTCTCTCTCTCTCCCCTCTCCATCTTTCTCTCCCCCTTCCTTCCCCATCAAGATTTTATTTATGTGTGTGAGTGTTTTGCTTGTATGTATGTGTGAGCAGTGTCCAAGGAGGCCAGAAGATGTGGGTCCCCTGAACTGGAGCTACAGACAGTGTGAACCACCATGTGGGTGATGAGACGCAAACCTCTACAGGAGTAGCCAATGCTTTTAACTTCTGGGCCATCTCTCCAGCCCCAACATGCCCCCCACCCCAGACAGGGTTTCTCTGTGCATGTTTGTCTGTCCTGAACTCACTCTGTAGACCAGGCTGGCCTCAAAACTCAGAGATAAGTCTGCCTCTACCTCCCGAGTACTGGGGTTAAAGGCATGTGCCACCATTGCCCAATAAGCAGCATGTTAATCTTGATGTAGATTTTCAACATTCTACTCTTCTTCCACAGTTACACACAAAGCCTAAGACAAGCAGCCACAGCAGGACACCTCCAAACCAGGAATCGGTTCCATGCTGCTGGGTCTGGTTCTACCTCTGCACCCAGCAGGACTTTGCCTACCTACTCTTCTCTTTTACACAGAAGAGCTGTGACTCACTATGTGAACAGTAAAAGCTTCACACCTTTAAATGGAAGAGAAGCCTTGCTGAACTCTGGGAGAGGTGAACTGTGAGCCTCTCAGATGAAGGAGACTAAGATATTTTGAAATTCTGTAGTGTGTCACCATCAAGGAACCACAGAAATTAGTGGATGGCTTTTACAGAGCAAGAATCAGGCTCAGAAAGCAACAGAGAGTTATTGAAACTCACAAAGCCTGTGCTGACTGCCATTGAGTCAATAGTACTAGAGTACAGAGTTCTACCTGAAGCCTGATTCCTGCCTCATCACTTGGTGGCATGTACCTATTAAGTTTTATTATATGTTTGGTTTATTGGGGCACACAGGCCACAGCACATGTGTGCAGGTCAGAGGACAGCTGTGAGGAGTTGATTCTCTCCTACCCAGGGGGTTGAATTAGGTCATCAGACATGGCAGCAATCACCTTTACCCACTGAGCAGACTCATGTATCCTTACCCGTTAAATGCTCCAAACATGTTCATTTCTCCTGGCAACACTACCAGTCTTGACTTAAAGTCCTCTAGCTTTGCGAGCTTTAACACATGCGCAGGTTGTAGGGAAATTGGCCTTACAAAGGAACCATGTGTCAGACACAATCAAGCAGATTTTAAATTATTTCTGAACTGTTAAGTGAATGCCTAATAGCTTTGAAAATGTTTTTGGAGTTTTTGGTTGGTTGGTTGGGTTTTTTTTTGTTGTTGTTGTTGTTGTTTGTTTTTTTTTGTTTTTGTTTTTTTTTGCTGCTATGAAAAGTACCCACATACTGTCTAGAGAGCTAACTCAGCAGTTAAGAGCAGTGGCTGCTCTTCTAGAAGACTCATATTCAATTAATAACATCAACGTGACAGCTCACAGTGATCTGTAACTCCAGTCCTAGGATTTCTGACAAAGCTTCCTCAGGAACCAGGCATGCATGTGATACCCAGACATACATGCAGGCAAAACACCCGTATGGAGGGAGGGAGGGATGACTTTAGGAGTTACTTACCTATAAACTGTCTTTCATGTAATTAATCTATTGCCTGCAGGATGAGTTCATACAGCCTGCTTTTGGCATTTTCCACTGATAGTGGTTGGCTTAGCTAGGTTTTTTGAAAGGTTTTCATTCTGTAGCCCAGGCTTGCCTGGAATTCACATGAAGCCCAGAGTGACCTCTGAACTCACCATAATTGTCCTGTCTCAGCTTCCTGAATGTTAGATAACAAGAATGCCTAACTCAGGGTATGTTAAAATGCCAGACAGGCCCACTGGGATAAGGAAAGTCTTTACTAGGTTTTTACATAAGCCTGCTGCATTTAAACTTCCTTGAAGAAGCATTAAGAGAGATGATTGCTTAGACCCAGGTGAAATAATTCTGGGAAAACCAACAAACAGCCTGTCCATAAGCAGCATTAAATAAATAAGCTGCATTATTTTCCAAAAGGTATGACACCACGCACACACACCAAGGCCATGCTAGAGTGGTACTGAGCCCCAGGCCTGCTAGGAAAGCCCTCTAACAATTGAGCCACACACCTCCAGCCCTCCTTAGCTGTTCACCTTAACCGTTCACTATCTTGATGTGTCCCCTCCACATCCTGCAGGTGGCCAAATCAGCTTTGACGTCTTTCCTGATGGGTGGGACAAGCGGTATTGTCTGAAACACCTAGAGCATGATGGTTACAAAACCATTTATTTCTTTGGAGACAAGACTATGCCGGTAAGTAGGAAAGTCTGCAGTTTGAGCTTGCACAGGGCTCTTTTGCTATCTTACACTCTACCTGCTGGCCCTTCTAGCCTCCCTCCCCTTAGATCTTTGAGGCCCTGCCCCAGTGGAAGCAAAGACTGTAGGTCATTTTCAGTCTGCCTCTTGAATTAACTACTGCCCACTCCAAGTGCCACTTAGATCACCTGCCATCAAACCCTCTGTATTTCAATGCTAGCACTCCAGAAGCAGAAGCAGGCAGATTTTTATGAGTTCAAATCCAGCCACAATGAGACTCTGTGTAGAAAAACCAAACCAAACAAAACAAAAAGCAAACAAAGCCTTCACCATTGTTGCTTTATTATCTTGTTCTATGCCCGCTGCCATGTTCATTGTAAATTGCATGCTAGGGTCATAAATGTGAGAAGATAGGGAATTACCTGAGTCTGACACTCAGAGTTGGTCAGGGATAATTGGAATGAGGATCTGCCTAGGGTGTCACACAGGAAGAAGCCAGTGTCCGAGGGACACAATGAAGCCATTTCCCCAGAGATACTTTGGCAGCATTGTGAGGTTCTCCTTAGATGAGTGCTTACTGCACCACCAGCCAAGTCCTAAGAGCAGCCTCAGTACCAGCTGCTCATTGCCTATGCTTGGGCTAGGGTCTCTTTTTTTTTGTTTGTTTGTTTGTTTGTTTTGTTTTTCGAGACAGGGTTTCTCTGTGGCTTTGGAGGCTGTCCTGGAACTCACTTTGTAGACCAGGCTGGCCTCGAACTCACAGAGATCTGCCTGCCTCTGCCTCCCGAGTGCTGGGATTAAAGGTGTGTGCCACCAACGCCCGGCGGGCTAGGGTCTCTTATTGTGCCCGTATGTGCTGCCCACTTCACCTGTTGTAGGAATTATGGTTCAGGCATGGTGGTCATTCTGAACCCAGTAGGTATCATAAATGCTACAGCTATGGAGTTCTGGTCCCTTTGGTGGCTGCTCTGTCAAGATCTGCCCTGTCAGAGGTCTACCTCCAGCAGGGTCCCTGGTGACAGTGGATTATTTCACTTAGTGTGACATCTTCCAGGTTCATCCTTACAAATAGCAATAAGAATTTTCTTTATTGCCAGGCAATGGTGGCACACACCTCCCAGCACTCAGAAGACAGAGACAGGTGGATCTCTGTGAGTTCCAGGACAGCCAGGGCTATTATATTACACAGAAAGAAAAGAAAAGCAGCATTTTCTTTAAGACTGTACTGTATGGGTATGCTGTTTACCTTATCCATCCACTGGGAGACTGTGAATCCTATCTCAGCCACTGCAAGTACTGCCTCTGTGAACAATAGACCATGGTTTCACTGTATCTGGATGTTTATCTGTGAGCCTGACATTGCAGACTTCCTAGAAGACACTGGAAGCAGCCTCTGGACACTGTCTTGGGTTGACTGAAAGCACAGGCACAGGAAGCCAAGTAAACAAACAGGCCCAGACCAGACAAAAACACTGCTGCTGCACAGCAAGGAAACCACAACAGGAAAAGGCAGCCATGGCTGGGGGTGGTGGCACATACTTGCAACCCAGCACTTGGGAGGTAGAGGCAGGTGGATCTGTTTGCTCAAGGCAAACCTGGTCTACTTAGTGAGTTCCAGGTCAGCCAGGGATACATAGAGACCCTGTCTCAAAAAACAAAACAAAACCCAAAACCGGCAGCCTATGAAATGTGAAGGAATACTCACAAACCATATGTCTGTCTATCCAAAATATATCAGACGTTCCTGCAGCTCAGAAGCAAAGTAAGAATCTGACTTAATGGGCCAAAGAAGATGGCTTAGTGTCTAAGAACACTGGCTGTTTTTCCAGAGGATCCAGATTGAATTCCCAGCACCCACATGGTGATTCACAACCATATATCTCCAGTTCCATGGGACTCTGATGCCCTGTTCTTTCTGGCCTCAGTGAGTACTAGGCACACACTGGTGCACAAATATACCTGCAAGCAAAACACCCATACACAGAAAATCATTTTAAAAACTGATTTAACATGTTTAAAGACACATTGCACCAAGGAAGATACACAGTGGACTCCTGGGCATGTAGGGGTCAGTATCTGTAATCGTAGATCATAGGAATGCAAGTTCAGGCCACAGTGAGAGCCACCTTCCTGCTACTACACTGGCCATTACTAATAGACACACACAAAAGAAGGTAGAAACGAATGACCCTTTACCTCAAAACAGTAGATGGTGCAGCCAATATGGACTGTAAAAAAAAAAAAAAGCTAAAAATAGAACTTCACATGACCCAGGAAGCACACTGCTGAATATAGATCCAAAAGAATTAAATCTGGGCCTGGGAAGAGGCTTGCTTTTGGATGAGAGCACATTGTAGTACCATTGACTGTCTCCAGTGAGGGTAAACTGACGCTATGTCCTCAAGTGGAAGCTGTACAGGCGCTAGCCTTAGTTTATCTTTTTTTTTTTTTTTTGGTTTTTCGAGACAGGGTTTCTCTGTGGCTTTGGAGGCTGTCCTGGAACTTGCTTGGTAGTCCCGGCTGGTCTCGAACTCACAGAGATCCGCCTGCCTCTGCCTCCCGAGTGCTGGGATTAAAGGCGTGCACCACCAACGCCCGGCCTTAGTTTATCTTTTTGTTTCTGTATTTTTTTTTCTCTCACTCAGTGGCCAAAGCTGGCTTCTAACTCATAGTAATCCACCTGCCTCAGCTTCTAGTGCTGGGATTACAGGTGTGAGCAACCATTTCTTACTGTTTTGTGTGTGGGGGGTTGTTTTTTTCTCTCTCTCTCTCTGGGTAGTCCTGGATGTCCTGGAACTCACTTTGTACACTAGGCTGGTCTTGAACTCAGAGATCCTTCTGCTCTGCCTCCCAAGTGTTGGGATTAACGGTGTGTTCCACCACTGTCCATTTGGGATTTATTTTATTTGTTTGTTTTGTTTCCTTAGCCTTTTAATGCTGGTTTATGACCAAATCCCTTTGTTGATTTCATGGGACACAAAACACTTTGAATATAGACCTTGAAAGTTGAATCTTCTTTAAAATTAAGCTAATGAAGTTATGCTCTTGATCTAAAAACTATGTGGACACTTTCTTTGTCTAACTTAATGTCCCCCTCACTCCTTTTCAGTATTGGAAATTGAACTCAGGACATCACACATGCTAGGCAAGAACTCTACCAAGCTACATGCTAACCTGTTTCTTTTTATTTTGAGGAAGGGATTTATTAAGTTACCATTCTGGCCTTGAACACACTCTAAAGTCCAAGTTGACCTTGTACTACTAGTATTCCTGCATTAGCCTCCAAAGTAGCTGGGTCACAGGCCTGTGTCACTGGGCCTGGGGTTGGTGCCATTTGTTTTTGTTTGTTAATGTGCTCTTTGTTTCATTGTTTTTGAGACAGGTGTCCTGCCCAAGCTGGCCTCAAACTCCTTATGTAGCCAAAGATGACCTTGAACTCCTGATCCTCCTGCTTCCAACTCCTAAATGCTGAGGCTCCAGACATGCACCAGCACAGCCAGTTTGTACAATGCTAGGGATCACACTCAGGATTCTGTGCATGTCAGGCAAGCAAGCACTCTACTGAGCTGCACTTCCAGCATCCTAGGTCCCATTTCTTCCAGAAGGGAAAGAGATCTATTAAGGCCCACTACTACATGCTGGGCCAGGACAGCATGCTAGGCTAGTGATACATGAGTCATGAGTAAATTCACCAGGGAGAGGGCAGAAGCAGAGTTTATTAGGCATATTGCAGTACAGGCACAGCAGGCAAGATGGTAGAGAGACTGCACAGGCGTTCAAGCGGCAGATGGTCTTTCAGTGTCACAGTGCCCTGGTTGTTTAGGTCTTACCAGGTAGGACAGCTGTGTGGGTTTGTTTCTTTGGGGTACTGGTTATCTGAATTGGTGTCATGAGTTGCTGAGGATCAGCCTCCAGATGAATATCTGCACCTCCTTAAACACCTAGAGTTTTTCACGATAGCAGAACTCTGACCAGGTAATAGTCTTGGTCCAAGGCAGCTGTGACATTGCTCCAAACCAGCCACGTAGGAAGCAAAGCAGCTTTATCCTGAGGTTAAAATAGCACAGCACAGCCATCCTCCAGAATGTTCCCACAACAGACTTCTCTGTGGTAATGACCCCGACCTGACCCTGTCTGGTATGGGAGGACCATCTAGAAACCTTTCTGTGCCTTTGCAGAATAGAATGTGGCTTTTGGAAGCCAGAGGACATGCAGCTCTGTTTAACTCTTGCATTATCATGCCATCATTCACATTTCTTTGTTTTATTATTTTAAGTGAAACTAGGTATGGTGGTATTTTCCTATAATCCCAACACTTGAGAGGCAGAAGCGGGAGGATTATTTATTCAAGGTCAACCTGAGTTAGATAATGGGACCTGGGACCTTGTTTCAAATTCCTCAACCCCCCCCCCCACACACACACACCAAAAAACAAACAAACCCAGGAAGCTTTTCTATCCTGGTTTTGCTGGTTTCTGGCTGAGCTTTGTCAATGAAAAGCTACTTCGCACCCAGAGGGACAGAATTGCCCAGTAACTTCCCCGCTGCAGTGCACACTCTGCCATCAGGATCTGCTATGACACATAGATGGCTTCTGAGAGCAAAATGATAAAGGTTCTGCCCTTCCCTAAAGGTTCTTCAGCCCCCAAGTCCAGTGTTCCCAAAGGCCAGCTGACTCAGCCTGAATAAGGAAAGTCACACCCCTGATTTCAGTGGCTCCCCAAGGGCACCAGACAAATTCCTAGTCACTTAGCCCCTCAGGCCAGTGGACTGCACTTCACAGGCTTCTTGTGGGCAGTACTGTGGTTAAAGGCATTTGCAAACATTCTGACAGCAAGGAACACTAGCCACCCGTGCATTTGCCTGTGTGTTCCAGTTTGGAGTAACTTAGCGCGGAGTCCGTGTGAGCAAGCTGGGATGTGGGGCTGGGCACTGGACTGGCGCACTTAAGCTGCCGTCCATTCACTATGGAGGTTAAACCACTCCAATGCACCCATCTGAGGAATAGACTATTGTGCAGTCTGAAAAGATTCAACATGTGGGTAAAACACCGATAAATATTTTTAAAACGTAACCTAGACTCCTTTGGTTAGTCAGGCCCTGAGACCTTCTAGGGCCTTGTTTCATCTTCATATGGCTCCTTTAGAAAGGGAACTTTATCCCATTGAAGTTCTTGGAGAGACAGGCTTGTGAGGCTCACTGCTGTGGCAAGTGGTGGGGCCATTTCGGGTCTGACTGGCTTACCACCATCCCCCCTTGACCACCCTGAGCTGATTTTCAAGGCAGATGGGTCTCCCTAGATTTCAGGAGGTTGAAATGCTGCACCATTCACTGAATGGGTGGGGCCTTTGCAGGCTACAGGAGGGAGGAACAGGTGTGGGGTTGGGAACAGACATCAGGTTCACTCTGTCCAGCATGTTGAGGCTGTACCATTTGTGTGTCTGAAGAGGGTGTCAGGTCCCCTGCAACTGGTTTCACAGGCGGCTGTGAGCCAAACCTGGGTCCCTGAGAAGAGAATCCAGTGTTCTTAACTGCTAAGACCTCTCCAGCCCCAGGGAGTGCTTTTTTTTTTTCAGAGCCTGCTCACATCCCAACTCAGCTTCTAGCTTGTAAGAGTATTGCAGAAAGGTTTAGTTGTGACTAAGATTGGGGAACCAGGGCCTGCAGAAAACCCGAGAGGGGGGTTACCTAGCCATTGGTACCTTCTGAACTCGCATCTTACTGTCCTCAGCCATGCTTTGGATGAGAGCTTGGCCTTTGTCATCCTGGACTGAGTCGTGCCTTCAAGGGCCAGTAGTGACATCATACAATGTGTTCTCTCTACCCAGTTCTTTTGGAAGTCCTTTTCCAAGTGAATTCTGGATGAATCCATTCTCTCCATAGTCCTGAACTAACTGGATTTTTAAGCAGGTTAGAGGTTGTCAGACTAGCTTCAGGCATTTCCTGGGTCCCTCCCTGCCTTCCTGAACACCAGAGTGCATGACCTACTAGTCTTGAGACTAGTTCTTCAGGGTGTGAACATCCCTCCCTACTGTCTGGTTCTTCTGTTCAGGGAGGCACAGCTTTGACCTCTGGTATGCACTTGACTTCTTGGGGTCACAGAATCTGTGTCTCCTGGAGACATAGTTATGCCAAGGCTGGCCCATAGCTGCCTCCTGCTCCACTGGCCAGAGAAGTGGTACAGTGGTCAAGTTTCAAGCCATCCACAGATCTAACCTTCATTCCAGGGCCTGCAGCCCAGCCATGTTGCACCCCACATACTAATTCTGGATTGGGAGAACTGGGACTCACCTTAGGTATACATTCAAAACCTTGGGACTCTAGGCCTGGGCCCTGCCTGCCGTAGGCCTTTTATTTTGATTTGTTGGTTGCTTTTTATTTTTTGAGATAGGGTTTCTCTGTGTAGCCCTGGCTGTCCTGGAACTCTGTAGATCAGGCTGGCCTCAAACTCAGAGATCCACCTGCCTCTGCCTCCTGAGTGTTGGCATTAAAGTGTGCGCCACCATTGCCACCCCATGCTGGTGGACAGGCATGTTTTCGGGTGTGGGAGGGTTTGCTGCTGTTGCTTTTATTGTCAGATTCCCTGACTCCTGGCAGTGCTGCTCTATTTGAAAGCAGTCCCTTTCATCTCTGCACTCACCTCACCTCAAAGCGGGTGATGAAATTTATCATGGAGTCAATGCAGTGTACAGAGACTCAGTTGTGCTGTGGGTGGTTATCCACGCAGCAGCTCTGGACCCTTCTTCTGAGAGGAGGCTCATAGGCTGCAGACAATATTGGCATTGTCCGCACATGGAGGGTCACCAGTGCTTTTCAGTCCCAGCCTCCCTTTTCATCCTCAGACCATGGGCCTTTTAAGGATTTAAATATGAGCAGGTTAATAGGGCAGCCCATTTCCAGGCACATCCTTCTTTGGGAAGTTTTTATTCTGGGAACCTGGGGTAGCTGAGCCCTGTCATAGCAGAATCAGAAACATATCTATATCCAGCCTGTGTACTCTCCAGTTCCCAGCCCTCCTGATTCTAGGGGGCAGCCTCTGCCAATAGCTCAAGCCTGGTTCTGCTTCTGATGACCTCAGACCCACTGTTTATGCTCTGTACATCCTGGGCTTTGTTTTTGAGACAGGGTCTCACACTGTAGACCAGGATGGCCTCCAATTCATGACGATCCAGCTGCCTCTGCCTCCCAAGTGCTGGGATTAGAGATGGCCCAGTTTTGATTTTCCACGCCTGACATGGAGGATAGAGTTCCTCAAACAGCTCACCATCAGAGGTCACAGGTGCTGTCTCCTGACCCAACAAAGCAGGACCATGGAGACTGCTATGTGGGTCAGTCAGTGGCGAATGTAGCAGCTGACATAGGGCCAGTCTTAAGTCTTTTGCTTCTGGAGTTTCTTCTAAGGTAGTGGCTTCTGTCAGGAGCCTCCTAATTGTTCTCTCTGCCCCCACTTCCCCCTTCTAGCCATTTGTAACCAGTTTTATATCAAAGGTCCACCTCCAGGCAACTGATAGGAATTTAGACTTAAAGGACAGATGGGGAGAGGAGGGGGTCTGCGGAAGGAAGGAAGGAAGGAAGGAAGGAAGGAAGGAAGGAAGGAAGGAAGGAAGGAAGGAAGGAAAGGTGGGTGGGTGGGTGGGTGGGTGGGTGGGTGTGATCCAGCCTGTTCAGTTCTGTCAGGTGGGAGCAAACTGGTCCTCGGGAAGAGTGCTCATGCACAGATGCATAGCCTTTGGGATGGTTCTGCCTGGAAAGTTTGTTGTTCCTGGAATCCAGTGTGACTGCAGGGTTAAGACAGTGACCCTTTGTTTTGAAAGGTGTGAGATGGTTAGGACTGAGGCAGGATATGAAAGCTTCATCCTTTTAGTCCCCTGTGGTTTGAAGGAGAAGTTTTATAGCAAAAGCAGCTCCCAAGTGCCTGTAGTCCACTCTCCAGAGAGATCCTATCCTTAGAATTCTGTTTGTGAATTCTGGAATCCCTGGGCCAACCCCTCCATCTCTGCCTGCTACAGGGCTCCCTCAGACTGCTGCCTGCTTTGTAGCCCCGCCCTGCCACCTTTCTTCCCATCTGCTCTCGTGTAAGCCACTGGAGGGGCATTTAAATTTCATTAAAATCAGTGATCGTGGCCTGTGCCTATAATCCCAGCCAAGGAGGCCAAAGCCAGGGATCTTAAATTTAAGGCCAGCCTGGGCTATGTAGCCTAACTTCCTCAAAATGATGGTAATGATGATATAGCTATATAGCCTAACTTCCTCAAAATGATGATGGTAATGATGATGTAGCTATATAGCCTAAATTCCTCAAAATGACAATGATGGTGATAATTAAACTCAAAGCTGGGATGACATATTTGCCACACAAGTGAGAGACCTTTTCAGATCCCCAGAACTTGTATAAAAAGTCAGACATACTGGTGTATGCTTATAATCCCAGCACTGGGAGGCAGAGACAAGTAGATCCCTAGCACTCTGGACAAATTGTTCAGCCAATTCAGTGAGGTCCAGGTTCATTGAATATTCTGTCTCAATGAGATGCAGAGCAACTGAGAAAGACACCAAGTCAAGCTTTGCCCTATGCATGCACGCATACACGTAGGAACATATACATACATACACCACACAATCAAACTCAGTTCCCCTCTCTTCCTGGCCACACTTCAAGTACCCAGTCACTCTATGTGACTGACCAGTGGCTATGGGCAGGCTGACCAGCCATGTTCATTTTACAGGGTGTGAGCAGCCCCACTCTAGGCAGCCTGCCCCTCCAACATTCCTAGGACTTTCGGGAGACATTGGGCACAAAGACAAACTGATAGTTGGGATTGTCATTTGCTGTACTTTTTCACTAGAAAAACAAGCTCTAGCCAGATCCTCACAAAGGCATCTGATCCCTTTCGTGAGCATAATTACCTTTTCTGAGCTCGATTTTGGTTCATCAGAAGGTTAAACTCCCTGCTCAGTGTGACAAAAATGTCACTCCTTTCTTGGAAACTAATGAAAAATTAACTGAAGAAACCTCCCAAAGCTAGAACATCAGGGTTGCAGTAGCCAGGGACCAGGACAAACCTAGCCTACTGCTTCCGTTCTGTCTTTTCAGGGTGGCAATGACCATGAGATCTTCACAGACCCCAGAACCGTGGGCTACACAGTGACAGCACCCGAGGACACACGCAGGATCTGCGAGGAGCTCTTCTCTTAACACCAGAGGAATGGGGTCCTGGCCAACAAGACTGAAAGGTCCCTCGTGGTCAGGGGTCACTTAGGGCCAGAGCTGGAGTCCCTCCTCACGTGCATATGCCCCTAGTCTGCAGTCAGGCTGTTCTCATGGGTCCAAACACAGGGACTAGAGGTCACCTCACTGAGCATGCCAATAGGCCACGCCTCCACCTCCATCTAGCACCACCAGCTAGATCAGAACTTGATCAGAAATGGCTGTGGCTGGGTGGGGTGGCCTGGAATCTGTATTCAGGAAGCTGAGGCAGGAGCATTGCCACCAATCGGAGGCCATTCTGAGGTACAGAATTAGACCCTGTCTCAGACAGATTGGTGGCTCTGGGGTTGGGGGCATTACTCAAAGAACGCCTGCCTACCATGGGTGAGTTCCTTGATTGGCTCCCTTGATTGGCTCCTTGATTTAGGTACCTCAGAAACAGAAGTATTCCACCATTCCCTTCCCCCAGCCCATGGTCTAAGAGCTGGCTGATAGGATACATGCTGGTCTTTGAAATTTCCCCATATGATACAGGAAAAAAGGTGTACCTGGGCCCCTTCCCCTTTGTGGAATGTCTTCTGGCAGTGGTGGGTTGGGGGAGGGCTCTATTTGGAGACATGGTCTTACTATGTAGCCCTAGACCAGCCTGACTTTAAGCTCCTTACAAGTGCAGATTACATGCACCAACACCAGCCAAGATTTCACAGAGACTTGACAATTGTCACTGTGCAGGGAGACCTGACAGTTGTCAGTGTGCAAACCTGTCTCACTATCAAAAGGGGGACCTGATGATGAAAAAACAAAAGCCATCCACAGTTGCCCACCTGGGACAAAACTGAAGACTTTTGTGATGTACTCCCAGTCTATGGTGGAGGCTGGGACATGAACCAAGGCCAGTGTTCTACCAAAGGGCTGATGTTTTCAAGCCAGCTTCCTGTCAAAGAGCCACAGACCACAGCTTGGCCTGCCTGACAGATAGCTGGCCAAGTGACACTGATCCCAGTTTGCACCTCTAATGGCCTGGCTGGCTCTGTTTACTACGTTTTACAGCAAGACTGCTCTCCTGTCACCAGCAGGATGGGGGATGGAGGACCCAGCAAAGCAAAACGCTGTCTGCAGTCCTTACCCCCAGGCTGCCTTCCCCAGGTAATAGTCAGATGGCCACAGCCACAGGAGCTGCCACTCCTTCAGCCTCTTCCTGGAGAGTGCACAGGCCTCGTCCAAAACCTCGGGGAGAGCCTTCTAAGAAGGTCCCCAGGTCACTTTCCAGTGCTTTGTAAACGGTTCTGCAGCCTGGCTCCTTGTCGGGAGCCCCTGCCGCCCTTTCCTCCCTCCAGCCACCATGTACTCCCACTGCCCTGCCCTTGGTACCCACACTGACACCTGCTGCTGACCCCTTCACCTCTGTCCTCCCCCACAGGACAGTGCAAGGACCTCCACCCAGAGGCAACCGTTTTGCTGTGATCATTTGCCCAAGGAAACACATTAAAGGGACTGCCCCTCACCTCTTGTTCTGGTCATTTAACCCTAGATATCAAATGGGTTCTTCAGTTCTTCAGGGAGCTCCGCCTTGGATCCTGAAAGCCTCTTCTGCTCTGCTCTGGTGACACTGGAGCCCTAGCTATCCTGGCTGCTGTAGGTCCCAGCTGGCCAGAGGCTGTGTTTTGCCTGCAGGTCCTGTGCTGCCCTCAGGTGGGAACCCAAAGCTGCCAGGTAGACTCCAGGCTTTGTCAGTTCTACAGGGACTGTGACACCACCCTCCCACCCCACTGTCATCATTCGGTCTTCCCACCTAATAAAGGCATCACATGGCTGTGAAATGATAGTGGCTAAGTCACACACGTGTGGCCTTGCTGGTGGAGCATGGCCTGCAGTGTGATGGGTGGCTGTCCAGAGCGAAGGACTAGTTCTGCTAGACAGCTGTAGCTCAAGACAAGCCCTGACCTGAGTTTCTCATCTGTCAAGAGTGCAGACCTACCAAGTAGGGGCTGCAGAGGACTTCAGGAAAGCAGGAGCTGGGTAGACAACATCACAAGAGGCAGAGTCTGCACCTCAGCATCCTAGGGCAGCTCAGACAGGTCCACTTCTGCATGAGATGCCTGCCGAGGACGTTTGCCAAAATGTTTAGTTCCTGTGTAGGGGTGATGTGTGACCCTAGAAAGTGTCCCCAATGGTGTCTGGGTGGGAAGACAGGCACTGAGAACAAATTCAAAGTATGTTCGTTCCTCAGCACAGTCTAGGCACATGCAGCACTGAATCCTTTCCTCTTCCTTACCCTGGGCTAGGTATACCTACCATAGCACACCAGTCAGCTTGGAGAAGCCCAGGCTGGTTCATGTAGTCACCCTCATCTTGTTTGTCCTCTCCCTGAACAGGCTTGATAGGCTAGTTATTTCCCCAACCACTGGGAGAATCACCAATTCATCAAAATTCCCATCTTGGTTCCTTACATCCGTTCCCATCTCTTGGTAAAACCACCCCACCCTGGTCTGTCATTACCCTATCAGCAACCTGCTACTGCTTCCCCACCCTCTAAGGCAGGTGGCTTCACTGTGGTCCTTCTGAGCCACTGGCAGGCAGCCCCGTCTCCATCTCTGGATCTCCACATGGTCCCTGGGTAGCCTCAAGGCTCCCTTCAAACATTTCAACATAGGAATCCCAAGACCTTTCTTTCACATTTACGTATCATCCCAAATGCCACCACATTTACCTACAACCCACCGCATGAACAAGCCCCATTCCCCATCCACGTTCACACAGGTTCCTGTGCACACACAGCCTCACCTTGTTGCACAAAACAAACTTTATTGTGAAAGAGTTGGTTGATGGGGCCAAAAGTCTAGATTTGGGAATCTGTTCTACCCTGCAGGGTCACTAGCACTGGGTCCCTCCTGATCTATAAATTGAAACTCCACATCTGAAGAGAGGGGAGAGAGGCAGATCTTTTCCAATAACACCAATAACCTGCAGTTCCAGAATAGTCTAGAGGCTGAAGTGATGTGGCCACACAGGAAAGGCCCTTTACAAAGGATCCTGTGGGGCAAAGGAATCCAGAGGCCATCCTGCCAGCAGGACTGGGCTGCCAGCTCAGCAGTGGGCAGGGCCCACTAGCAGGTCAACCATACCGAGTGAAAGCAAAGCTGTACCGATAGCTAGGGACAGTGGGGTGACAGAGAAGGGTGTCAATCTCGGGGAGCCTTCCTGGGTCCTAGCAAAGTGGCTTTAGAAGTCTGTTCCTTGGCCCCAAGAGAGGCTATGGGCAGTCAGCCAAGCCTGGAGGGGTAAAAGCCACCTTTGACCTAGTAGCAAAAACATCTGCGAGTAGCCCAATAACAAAATTGTCAAACTGGGTGATGGAGGTGAGCCAGCTGCACAAGACCATCACACACTTAGCCACTTCTTTCTGTTTGTGCAAATGCATGAGGACAACCTGTTTTCGATCCTCGGTGCTAGCCCCTCTTAAATAATGGTGTCTCTCACTGACCTCCAACTCACCAAATAGGCTAGGCTGGCTAGCCTGCAAACCCCAGGTGTCTGCCTGGCCTAGCCTCCCCAGTTCTGGACTACCTAAGTATGCACACCACATCTGGCTTTCTCTGGGGATTGAACTCAAATCCTCCATACACTTTACCCTCTGAGCTGTGTTCCTGATAATCAAAGCTCCAGTCTTTGTCCACTTAAGGTGAACACACACACTCATGCAAAATTAAGACACATCGAGGTCAACAGTGTTCTCCACATAAAAGAAACCTCTGGTCTGGACCACTGGAACCCTACGTCACCCCTGCAGCATTGGTACCCCTGTTCTGACAAGAGATCTCAACTTGATTTCAAAAACCTATTACCCAACTACTTCTATTTTTAAATCACAACTAAAGCCAAAGCCAACCACCAAAAACAAGTCTAAGGAGCAGTTCGTTTGAAACACCTACAAATCTACAGTTCTACAAGCGGGGCAAACAGAGGGCTGTGAGGGAGAGTTTGAGCCATTTAATAAGCCAAGGCATGAAGGTATTAAGAGTTTGAAGCTAGCCTAGGCTATGCAGCAATACAGCAAGACCCTGTCTCAAAAAACAAACAAACCTGGCAGGCAGTACAGTACCTGCTGGCATTTCCAAGGCCCTGGGTTCCCCCCAGCACTGAAGGGGGCGGGGGGCTGCTTAGGCATTTGTCAGAGATGTCTTAAAGAAACCTTGCTTCCCCATCAAAGGTATATTTCTCCAACTCTTAACCTTACAAGGCCATCAGAGTCAAAGTTTTGGGGTTTATGTTAGTAGTGGAACCCAGAGCCCTACACAAGCCTGGTAAGTGCACTTCCACTGAACTACATCCCCAGCCCTTGGTTTTTGTTGCTGTTGTTTTGAGACATGATCACAGCCTAGGCTGGCCTAGAACTCTGGTTCAACCTCCCAAGTGCAGAGATTACAAGGCATGCACCAGCCTGGTTCTGTTTTTAAATAAAACACCACCTTTCCCCTCTGTAAGTCTTCCTGCAGAGGCTTCCTCCTCACCCCACAGCTCTCTTCAGCACTGGCCTAATGATAGGCTTAATACCACAGGGAGGGAGCCTCATATCTGGAAGTAGAAAAGACCAGCATTCCCAGGGGTGGGGTCAGAGCTGAGCCCCTGACTGCTGTGCTAGAGCAGGAGCTCCTAAGGGATGGAGTCTTTCCCACAAGATGGAGACATACCTGTTGCAAAGGCACCAAGAGGCAAAATCCCCTAGAAAGTTCCCTACATACGTAAGCCAGCTTTCCTGGAACTAGCCAGGCTGACAAGCAGAAGATGGGTCTGACCTGGTCCCAAGTTAAGTGGGGCATTGGGTTATGGAAAGTCTCATAGGGCCTGTGGCGACATCCCTCAGGGTGCCAAACAGATCGGGGAAGGAGGTGGTTGTCTTTAGCTCCAGGAGGAGTCCTTATGGGTTTGGTTGACATGGGCGGGGCATTTGGGGAAATAGTGTGCTTGGCCTACCCACCCACCCTGGGCTAGAGCTGCACCCTCTCCACTCAGCCACCGCAGGTCCCTCTCCTTTTCAAATGCTTTTAATGTTTTCAGACAGTGAGAGCTTGTTTGCAAATGGCTAGAGGCTGTGCTGGTGGCTGAGAGCACCCCCTGCCTGCCCACAACTCCCTTCTTCCAGGAAATGCTTGAAAAGGGCCATGCCCACCTTGAGGCCCCATCTCGTGTGGTAGAATGTTATATCCAGGGTGTCCTGCTCCTCCTCCCCCCGTAGTCCCCCTCAAGCCCAGGAGAAGGGGGGTTCTTGCAGGTCCCTAGGAACTGATGACATGCCCGGACCAGGTCTCGTGCTTGGTGCCTGGTGCCAGGTGAGTGATGACCACCTCTACAGCCTGCAGTTTCTCATTCTTGGGCGGGATAGAGCACATCTTATAGGTGACCTCGTCGCCTTCCACTGGAACATACTCCCCTTCCACACTGCAGGAGAGAAAAGAGCAGTCATCAGGGCTGAGATGATGGCTCAGTCTAGAAAGTGCCTGCCTTGCAAACATGAGTACCTGAGTTCAGATCACCAGCACCCATGTTAAAAAAAAAAAAAAAGCTAAAGGCAGAGGGAGAGGGGTGCTAAACAACCCTTTTTCTCAAACCGGAGTTTCAGACTTAGTTGGGGCTTCTGGAGAAAAGGCTCCGCCTCCCATTGGCTGAATGAGATTGAATGTGTGGCCAGGGTGTCGGTCACTTGCCTAGCATGTGCCCCAAGCTTCTAAGTCCCCAGTTCAGCCAGAATGAAACGGGGTGGGCAGAGTGCTTGTGCCAAAGAAGAAAGTCTGGATAGAGGTTCTAGTTGGGGTTCTTAGGAAACCCAAAAGCTATTCAGGAGCCAAACAGGGAAGGTGCTGCTGGGGGTTTTGTGGCCTACACCCTGGAGTCCTGCAGGCTTCCAGACAGGAAGGAAGAGCCTCAGTGAGCAAGTGGCCAGAGAAAGAGCCCAGCCCTGAGCTTCCTTCCTGGAGCAAAAGAAACAGCCCCCAGCCTCACCAGGCTACTCCCCTGAGGAGGCCAACACATTGTCCAATCCCAGGGACACTCTCTCCACAGGCCAGGCCCAGGACATTCAGACCCGCCATGGACCACCACCCACTTACACATACCAGGCCCAGCTGTCTTCACCCTACCCCAGCATCTGTGGTAAACATACACCCAAGATCTTACACAATTCATAGACATGCCCAGTCACTGTCACACAGACTGCCGTGCAGCCTCACACACTCCACACACTCTTCCCTCCCAGCACCTTTCCATCACTCTGTCCTATGCAGCATAGGCCAGGACCACACCCCCTGCCCCAGCCCAGACCTCCAGATATGCTACAGTGAACTCACTCAGAGATGTGCAGGAAGATGTCAGGGCCACCATCAGCTGGGGTGATGAAGCCGTGGCCCTTGGACCGGCAGAAGCATTTACAGACTCCTTTGTAGACAGGGCCCTGTGAAGCCCGCACCGTCCTGACAGACAGGGAGATGTGAGGGGGCATCTATCAGTCCTTTACAACCATCACCCACGCCCCCGGATCTACTCTCCCTGCTTTGCCTCAGGGAGGCCTCGCTAGGACCACCGTGTATAGTCACATAGGCTTTGTGTACAACCCTAACTGTAGAAATGTCTGGATAACCTTGGCACATTTTCTCAGGCCTGTCTGTCCATCTGGAAACAGAGCTGAGAGAAGATAGTTGGGAACATCCCTTCAAAAACTGTTAGTGAGCTCTAGCATCTACTCACAGGGCCTTAAATCTACATCTGCTAGTGGCTGCTACCCAGACACTGTCCCTGCCATACAACTGAGGAAGTCAAGGTCTCCTGGGGAAGAGGCCTCTGTGGTTAAAGCCAGGTGGGGGGCGGGGCGGGGCACTCCCACGGGTGCTCTGAGGTTAGCACCTGAGTTTGAAGGCACCTTTGAGTTTCCTCACTAGCACTTCTCCCAGGACTCTCCAGGAGATGCCCGGAGAATGGACCCTGCCGGCTCTGGTAGCTGCCCCCATTCTGGGAATTGTGTGTGGCCAGCCTGAGACTTACGCTGAGAAGGTCCTTGTCCTGCGGGTGGGCAGAGGGCTAGGAACCACGTTGCCCCGAAGCGGGGATGGAGAACGATCCCGGGCCCGAGGAGTATCCAATAGCCCGACAGAACTCTGATGCGTTGGGGGCTGTGGCGGCGGGGGAGGTTCAGATGACATAGCTGACCTACAGAGAGAAGGGGGCTCTTAGGGCTCTGCCTCAGGCCTAGACAGGGCACAGCCGCTCCGGGAGGCTCACTCTAGGTCACCTTGTCTGTAGCCACACCTTGGCTCAGGTGTCTGCTCGGGTGCCAGCACTGGGCTCCCATAGCAACTACAGGCCTCCACTGTTTAAGAAAATGCCAGGTCATGTGTAGGCCGATAGCACACTCAGTGAAATACTTGTCACACAAGCAGGAGACCCCAGGTTTGATCCCCACAATCCATGTAGAGTAGAAAAGCCTGGTGCGGGGCTGGAGAGATGGCTCAGCTGTTAAGCATGCTTACTGCTCTTGAAGAGGACCCGAGTTCAGTTTCATATCGGACAGTTCACAGCCACCTGTGATTCCAGCTCCAGGGGATCTGATGCCCTTTCCAGTCTGCATCTGCAGTCACGTGCACAAACCCACACAGACCACATACGTACATAGTTAAACAAATCTTTTTGGTTTGTCAAGATAAGGTTTCTCTGTGTAGCCTCGGCTGTCCTGGAACTCACTCGAGACCAGGCTGGCCTCAGACTACCATCTGCCTCTGCCTCCCAACTGCTAGAATTAAAGGTGTGTCCCACCATGGCCTACCTGATAAGTCATTTAAAAGCTTAAGATTGTGGTAGGCACTTGTAATCCCAGCACTGGGAAAGCAGAGGCTGGTTGGCCATCTAGCCTAGCCTAATCAGGGAGCCCCAGGTCTCAAAAAACACCTGGAAGGGGCTTTCAAGATGGCTCAGCAGTGAAGAGTTCAATTCCCAGCAACCACATGGTGGCTCACAACCATCTACATCCTGATCTGATGCCCTCTTCTAGCATTACATACAGATAGAGCGCTCATATACATAAAAAAAAATAAATCTTTAAAAAACACCTGGAAGAATAACAGTGGATATTATTCTCTGGACACACACAGGGTTGGGTATATGTCAGGTAACTCCCTATGGTAACCCCTCTACGTCCCCAACACAGACATTACCATGCTTAGGACACTCAGTAAATATTGTGAGAGGAGGTGGTGCCATCAGCAGGGCTTCAGTGCCAAAAGCACAGGTCAATACCCCCATTCCCTTCCTACTCTGCCCCCTACCTGCAAGCACTCTCCCTCAGGAGACTGCGGAGCATAGCGAGGGTAGTTCACACCCCTGTGTGGCTCCCTGGGGATAGGAGCTCACAGCCAGGTGGGTTACCACTAAAAAAAGGTCCCCAGAGAAGGAACACTCCCAGCAAATACACACCTAGCCCCAGGCACTACTCCCTGCCAGGAGACCCAGTTCTCTCAGTGACCCCTCAGAGGCATGGAATTCAGGCAAAAGTTGAAGGCAGTGGCTCTTGTAGGCCAACCCACACCCAGGGGTAGGAAATGGAGTGAGGCAAAGGGACCACTGTGAGTTCAAGGCAGTATGGACTACATCGAGACCGACAGTTAAAGGGGGTAGGGCTGAAGAGATGGCTCAGTGGTTAAGGCGGCTGTTCTTCCAGAGGCTCAATTATTCCCAGAAACCACATGGTAGCTCACACCCATCTGTAATGGGATCTGATTCCCTCTTCTGATGTGCATGAAGACAGGTCACTCATATACATTAAATAAATATTAAAAGATGATGGGCAGCATGGCATTGTACACAAGTGGCCCCAGGAAAGGGCAAGACCAACCAGCCTTGGGTCAAGGTCAAGAACTGCCACCCTTAGATAAGTTCTTTCCCTTTCCTAGACTCGGAGTCAAACTCAAGGGTGTATCTCGGCATCGTCTCAGGGAGGAAGATTGTGACAGCAAAGCCAAACTAGGGCTAAGGGAGCCAATGGGACAGGAACAGGCCTGAGCAGGTTTGTGTGGCCCTGTGATTGATCTGTCAAACATAAAGGAGCTGTCTTCTAAGCAGCCCAGCTATAGTTTGATTTTTTTGTTTTGTTTTTAGGGTCTCCTATAGCCCATACAGCCCTCAACCTCCAGTGCTAGGATTACAGCTGTGTATTACCATGTCCAATTTATGTGGTGCTGTGGATCGAACCCAGGGCTCTGTGCACTCTACGAAAGCACTCTACAGCTGAGCTGCATCTCCAGCCTCCTCAGCTCTAGGCACCCTGGGCCCCAGCTCATGGTCAGACTCTTCCCGTTTATAGTGACTCCACGGCCCCAGGGCTGAGGTTTCACCGGCAGTACCCAGAAAAAGGTCCTCTTGCTTCAGCTCCAACCCTCCACCTTGGAGTCCTGGGGCTCAGGGGAAGGAGGTATGCAAGGCCAGGGTGCCTCTTTCCCCAAAGATTCAGACTTCTCCGTATGCCCTGCCCCTCTGGGGACTCAGTCCTGCCTGGCTGGAAAGATATCACTGGCCAGCCTTCCAGAGAAGTGACACTGCTACCTACTGACCTCTTCTTGGCTGTGGCCCCAGCCAGGCAGGACCACAAGTTCAGAGCAGCCCCCACCTTGAAGGGTCCTGGCTGCTGGCCTGCTGGTCAGGTCTCCAGCGCAGGTCATAGAGTGCTAGAATGTTCCAATACCAGGAATTCTGCGAAGAAGGCTGGCCCAGAGAGGGAGAGGGGGGGCCCCACCCAGGCCTCCCAGGCCAGCAGTGGGGGACGATCATGGGGTCTGATGACATCAGCATGAGGAAGAGAACTGCCCTTCTCCCTTCTAACCAGTCTCCCTGGGCTCTCTCCTCCCCTCCTCCACCAAAGTCAAGGACACTGAGTTCAAATCTTCCCACCTGTCAACTGAGTGATCATTAGGATCATTAGAGACTCAGCCTCTCAGGGCCTCAGTTTTTGTATCTGAGAAATGGGAATTGTCCCAGCTTCACACAAATCATGACAATGAAATGAAATAAAACATGTAAGCACTGAGGGGACAGCTCTGCCCAGAACAAGCAGGTAACAAGCACAGGCTACAAGCATTGCCGTAAACTGCAATCACAAAGCCACTCATAAGCCTATCCGATACCTGCTACAGGAGACACAGGGCAGAACCTGGAGCCAGAGCAGGTGGTGGGACCGCAGACTGCCGAAAGGCCGCTAACGAAAGGGAGAAGTAAGGGAGTGCAAGATGGACCTGGGATACCAGAAACAGACACCTGAGGAACAGTGGGAGAAGCCAGGGGCTGTGCTCGCCGGTGGTAACACGAGCACTTTGGAGGCTAAGGCAAAAGGATCCTCTGGGCCAGCCTGGGCTAGAGACCGAGAGATCTGGGCTACCCTAGGCTAGAGAGACCCTCTCAAGAAAAGAGGCAGGGGAGGCTGTTCTGGGTACAGGCAGCAGGGAGTGGGTTGGGCCTGCTGTAGCTCTAAGCCAGGGAGGCGTGGGAGTGGGGCAGGGGCAGGAAGTACGGCTCAGAGGGCAGGGCCACACCAGGAAGCAAGTTGCATCACCATGGCTGTCATCATCGTGTCTTCCCTGCTTTGCACCTTCTGCCTGTGTGCTCCCTTATCACACCCACCTCTCCAGGCTGATGAGAAAAGACCCGAAGGGGTCGTCCTCACTCTCCACTCAAGTCCTCACACCTCAAATCCAGCTTCTTCCTGGGAAAGGCCTTGGGAAGCCACGGCCTTCAGTGGACATCACACTGGATCCCAACACAAGGGTCCCTCAACATCCCAGCTCAGGGCCTGGCACAGGCCAGGCTCTTGGGAACCCCTGGCGTGTTCCGAGTGCCACACTCACTGTAACCACAGTGGACGGAACTGAAACACAGAGATGAAGTGACTGAGGTAGGGTGGGAGCTGGGAGAGCGCCCTGGGAGACCCCCAAGGCTGCTCCACTACCCAAACCAGCCACTCGCAAGCCTGAGAGGAAGCTGGCCTAGTCAGAGCCAGCCCACCCAGCTGGCCCAGAAAGGGGCCAAAGTTCAGCTGGGGTGGGGTAGGGGCGTCCAGGAGGCTTCTCTGGCCCTGCATACACACCAGGACACAGCCTACAGCAGCAGTCTGTAGCTTACAGCTGAAACAGCCCCGGCTCCCACGGTCATCCATAGCTTAGGCCATCTCCCTGCCCTCTGCCTGCTCTCTCAGCAACACCAGGTGTGGCCCTGGAAAAGACGTGTGTGGCCCACTCTACATGACGCTCTACTTGGGGAGGGGGGGCTAAAGCTCTTGCCTGCAGGGGCTCTGGGCAAGACCCTGGTGAGCCTCTGCTGGAGGCAAATTCTGACAAAATGAAATGGCCAAGATGTTGTCATGACTGCCAAACTAGGTACACACATGTGTTTATCTGTGTGTGACTATGTATAATGTGTACATGTATGTGCATATGGGGCAGGTTTACGAACATGAACACACATCTGCCTATCAGTATATCCCCAAGTGGATATGGATATATATCTACTTGGGGAGCAGGGGCAGGGTGCACACATCTGTGTGTGCACAAACTCTGGATGGGAAAACAATGCCCCCCTCCTCCCCCCCCCTTTCCCCTTTTTCGAGACAAAGTCTCATGTAGCCAGGCTGGATGCAGTCCGGGCCTCCTGAATCTTAGGCAAGCACTCTGCCAACCGAACCACATCCTCAGCTGTGGACATCATGCCAGCACTACCCTCAGATACCAGCAGAAAGCCAGAGCCTTCTAACCCTCGGTGGGGTGGGGACAAGCCCTCTGCCAGACAAGCCCAGGCCAGGGAGAGGCCCAGGCCCTGGGGGTAGGATGCCACACCCACCTGACTGTCCACCAGTCAGCCTCTTATCCTGAGAAATGTGGCAAAGGGGGCCTCTAGCCGAAAATAGACGGGGAATTTTCCATAGGCCTTATAGCAAGTCCTGGAAGATTCTGGAAGTGCAACTGGACACCAAGCTGGCCTCCTCAGCCTCTCCAAAGCCCATCCCAAAATCTAGTCCCTATACTCACTTGCCAGGCCCAGCACCTGTGCTTTTGATCTTAAAAGTCCCCAGCTTCCACTCCCTTCTCAGGTTTTTGGGGGATGGGGTCTTACACTTCGTAGCCCAAGTTGTCCTCAAACTCACGGCAATCCTCCTACCTCAGCCTCCCTAACACTAGGATTATAGGTGTGTTGTGAGCCATCACACCCAGCTGGGAAAATCCTCTGAGCTAGGGAGTCAGGTGCCGAGCGGGTTACACTGTAGCGAGAGGGAGTGTGATTCACGGTTTCTCAAAGGCAGGAAAATGGGGACTCAAAGAACAAGAACTTGGGCAAGCTAGAGGCTTCATTCTTGGGTGAAGCCTGTCCTGCACACTGGCTTGTCTAGAATCTTGTGTGGGTTTGCAGCCAGGGAAGGCTACTGCTAGACACTGCACTGGGACATTTTCCAGCCCAGAGCCTGGCCACTGCTGACAGGGAGGGGGGCTAAAGACTCACGTCACTCAGGCAAAGGGACAGAGCAGACCACTGGAACTTCAGAGACCCTGCCATGGAGGGGGAAGCCAGAGCTTTTTCTAATGTCCCCTTTCTGCCAGCCTCACTTCATCTCCCTGCCCCATGGGAAAACTGACCACAGATTCAGCAGCTGGGGCTTCTCACACATCAGTGCCCCCCAGGAATCTCTGGCCAATGTCCAAAAGCAAACTCCAGCTCCACAGATGTGGGCGGAGTTAACACGGCTTTGCTTAGTCAGTTGGGATGGGTGGTTGGTTGCCTTTCTAGTGCTGGGAAACTAGATCTCTGCTGGCACTGAGCTGCTCCCCCAGCCTCAGAGACTGCCACTAAACTACCCAGCTCCCAAGAGGCAGGCCCTCTGGGGGAGGGGACACACGTGGACAGAGGCATTCACCCAGCACATGCAAACTGCACAGGGCCAGGGCTCCAGGAGATTGCAAGGTTCATCTTCACCCCCACCCCTGCCAGGCCACAGTCTAACAGAAAAGAGCCCATAGCCCAGGACAGAGAAGGAATGACCGGCTGAACTGGACACCGGAATCCTGGAAGGCACTGGAGCAGAGAAGGAGCCTGAGGCTCCCCGTTGCCAGCCGGGCTGGCTAGCCACATGCTGCTCCATTGTTCTGGGAAGAGTGAATTCAGTGCGACGAGGAGGGAGGGATACCAGGGGCGGGGCCATGAAACAGAGAAGAGCAAACAGCCAGGGATGAGGAGAGACTGACTACCCGGGTCCCTCCAGCAGCACAACTAGGGAACCCGCCCTTGCCCTCGAGTGCCGGGAAGCTGGAAGCTCCAGGAACCAAAAGCAGTCCCTCCCAATGTCACCTCAAGAACTCCCCCAGGAATACCCATCCACAGGACAGAGGCCACCACTGCCCTAGGTCTCTACTCGAGAGTCCAAGGCCAAGTGGACCCTGCTCTCCACCAAACCTAGCCTTGAATTCCTCCTCCCAACATTCTGCTCCATCCTCCCGGTTTCACCCCCCTCCCAGCCTCTCATAGACCCACTAGTTCCCTGCCTTGGTTTGGACAGGGACCATGCAGTATCCAGTAGCTGAACTCGAAGCCACAATGCAGAGCAGGTGAGCTTAATCAATAATAGTGTCCCCCATGGTGTGCATGGTCCCACAGCTGCCAGATATGGGGCACAAACCAAATTCTCGCCCTAGCACTCAGTAGGACAAAGAAAGCCAATTCCCCCCTAACCCCAGACTGGGCCTAACAGCTTACTTGATCCCAACACAGCAAAGATTCTGGTCTCACCCTGGGGGGGGGAGTCAGGCAAGTGGGGGATGTAAAGGCACATGGTGGCATTCAGGTTGTCACCCAAGAGTAGATGGTGGAGGGATGCCAGACTGTGAGCAGCCCCATCCCAGAGCAGGGGGTGGCAGAGCTGAGGCTTAAAGGACCACTTAGGGACAGTGTACAGAGTCACAAAGCAGCTAGAGAAGGAAGGCCCTGTTGAAAAGTTTGAGTCCAACAGGACAAAAAATAAAAACGTGGGACAATTTTAAACAGAGATTTGTGGATTATTTTTAAACACTGTTTTTGTTTAACTGGTTTGGGTTTTCAGGGAGGGTCTTGCTATACTGACAGTTCTTTCTGCCTTAGTCTCCCAAATGCTGGGAATTACAGGTGTAAGCATTTACAAAAGCTGGCCTTGAACTTGTTGAGGAGCCAAGGATGACCCTGAGCTCCTGAATCCTACCTTTCCACCTCCCCGGTGTGGTACTGCAAGCATAGCCCAGCACTACTGATTTAATGAACCATTTTTCACACTCTCCCTCTGGCTTCAGCTTGGAGAACAAACAAGACTGTTCTTGGCCATAGGCAAAGAATAGCAGAATAGCCAGGAGGAATAAAAAGTAGCTCCTATTTCTCCGGGCACTTGGGCTAGCCAGCTCCTTCTATTCCCCCACACACACACATTTCTGGTAGTCAAGGTTATTTATGTATTCCAGGAGGCAGAGGCGGCCTCCTATTTTGCAAAGAGGCACCTCCACCTTTCAGAACGTAGACCCTGCAGGAGAGAGCTGATATACAGCTCACCCCGCACAGACCTACACTGCAATCCCAGAAAAGCTGTGGGATCACAGCCTGGCTTTTTTTAAATAAAAATCAAAACCTAACCTCGTATTTCCGGCCTGTAAGGGCCGCCAGCGCCAGTGAAGTTTTCCTCTGCTCCCTAGCCCCCGCCCCCCATCCCGGCGCAAACACCAAGCGAGCGCGCCCAGCCGCTCCTCCACCCCAGAAGAGGCCAACCGCGAGGGGCCAGGGAGGCTCCCCCTCTCCCGTCCTGGCTACTGTCCCGCCGCCCAGCATGCAGCTGGCAAGGCCCGGCCCGTCGGGGACCGCTCCGCCTCCAGCTAGCAGTGAGTTCCCAGCACCTCCAGCCCGCCGGAAAGCACGGGGGAGGGAGCGCCGCCCACGCACAAAAACAGGTGGCCTAGCGGTAAGTACCAACCAAAGTCCCGCAGGGACAGCTCCTACCGCGGTCACACCTACCTGTGTTCCCTTAGGGATGGTGAGTAACCCGCGCTCCCCAAACTGGCCTGGGCGACTGGGGCATGTCCTGGGAGGGATCCAGAGCTGAGCTTGAGAGCCATAAGGCCCCGCAGTGGGGTATCAGGAGAGCAGAGCAAACCTCGGTCCCATCCCCGGGGATCCCGTGCTCCACCAAGCCCTTCCCTTGAGTCCCGGGAACAACCCCTTACCTGGCGACACGTTCGACTCGTCCAGCTGCTGGGCTCTGACTACAAGAGAGCTGGGCGTGGGCGTGGCCACGGAGCTGGGCGGGGTACTGAGCCACGCCCCTGAGGCTTCCAGCCAATGGATGCGCGACCCGGAACGCGGGACTGGGCCAGCTGGGAGGGAGATGAGCCGGGCGCAGCTGCTGCCGCGGGACCTTTGTGTTGACGCCCTGTGGGCGCGAGAGGGGGATGCGCGCGGGGGACTCGGCCTAGGGCAGGAGGTGTCCTCCTCACACGCGGCTGCGGACGCCCAATGTGCGTCCTGGGGAAGTAGCACAATCGGGTCTCCGCGTACCGTGCCTGTCCCTCCCCAGCACAAGCCAGCCCTACCTACCCTTGACTCGAGATAAGCGAGCGCCTGGGTTTTTGCAGAAACTAAGAGATAAATTAAAGGCGAGAGACAGAAAGAGAAACATCAAAACAAGGGAGGAGGGAAGCTGTTGTTGTGTTCTTTTTCTATTTGCTAATTCATTCTCCGTTGGCTGATTTTTGAGACAGGCTGGCCCCAGTCTCCCTAATGGATTTGGAGTGGGTGGTGGGCACTAACCCCAGCTGTTTTCATTTTTCCTTTCTACTGAGTTTCATTTCACACCTTTTATCTGTGGAGGTAAAGGGTGTTGCTTTCAATTTGCAGAAGAAGAAACTGAGGCACAGAGACGTGCTGTGGTCTATCTCCACAGCCAAAATGGAGAGCAGGCCCTCCGCCTGACCCCAGGGTCAGATTCATATTTACAAGGCATGGGCAAGAGGTACCCTATAGGTGTGGCGGTCACACACTCCAGGAGTCCAGGTGATATTTCGTCCCTGCTGAAACCCTCTAACCCCACCCCCAGAGAATGCTGAATCATCTCGAAAACTAACAAAGCTAATGGCTCAGATAAGAAGGGATCTGGCTCTCCCGTCTGGCGTCTTCGGTGAGACTAGGAAATGGTACAGTCACCTTGGAAGAAGAAAAGGCAGATCTAATAGTTAAAACCTATCCCATTCCCAGGCATGTGCCCGAGAGAATTGAAGTGCATAGTCACACAAACCTTGCCATATGCAGCTGTGGTCAGTTTTATTTATTTATTTTTGAAGCAGAGTTGCATGTATGATATTCATGAGGCAGTAGTTTCATGTATGATAGTTAACCATGCTTGTTACCTTTACCGAATCTGCAGTCACCTAAGAGCCAAGCCTTTGGGCACATTTTCTTGTTTAGGAAAATTGAAGTGAGAAGAGCCACCCTAGCTGTAGGCAGTAGCAGTAAAACCTTTTGCTTTGCCAGATTGCTTTCCTGTCTCAATGATAAGTGCATCTACTCTGTTGCTGTTGCTGTTACCACCTCCTTCAGTGACATCAGAACCCAGCATCTTCCACCTTGCAATCTGGACTAAAGACCAGGCTCTCCTGAAATCCTCGAGATGTTGAATGCGAGGGTTGGCATTCTGGTCTTCTTCTATTACTCTCCACCTTATTGTTTGCAGCAGGATCTCTCATTAATCCAGAATCTTGCCATTTCAGCTAGGCTAACTGACCAGTAAGCTCTTGGGATTTACTTGTCTCAACCCCAGTACCGGGCTTGCAGGTACATACAGCCACATCTGGCTATTATGTGATGCTGAGTATCCCACCCAGATCCTGTTGCCTGAACAAAGTCATTTCTCCCCAGCCCTGTGATATTCTGGTCCACGTCACTTTATGTCAGGCTCTGTGCTGGACATTGGAGATACGAAGTAAGCACCCAGCTTGTCTCCATCCCGGAGGGCAGAGACTTGGAAAAACACTAGGCTGGAGGTCCTGCAGAACACTAGACACAGTCATGGAGACATCCAAGGGGATCTTGACCTAAACTCATTTCTCCTTTCTCTCCTGTTTCCCTTTCTCACATACTCATGGTTCAGCACTACACTCTAGGGGATGTTTAAGGCACACAAAGTGCTGGGCGGAGCCTCTTCCCCCTAAAGGGCTCTTGTTCCTGAGAACCAGGGCCAAGGATATGGAGCAGGTTCAGGGCCTACAGATGGGGCTTCCAACACTACACCCATACTTGTATCTATGGAACTAAGGACATATACAGGGCCAGACCCTAACTCTACCTAACTGGAAACCCAACCAGTTTTTATTCCTAATTCTAAAATTGAGGTTCAAAAGTATGTGGATTTTCCAGGGAGGCTGGGGCCAGCTGGGCTGGGCTGGCTCAGAACCACACCATGTCCATGGTGTGGGACACTGTGACTCAGGAGTCACAACCTCCTTCTTCCAGGTCCTCTGAACTCAGGCATCCAATTCAGAAACATGAAGCCACTGCCAATATTCACACTTTTTTCTTTATTTTTATTAGGTGGACTCTCATGGCCCATACTATCTTCAAACTCATTATGTCGCTGAGGGTAAACTAGGATTTCTAATCCTCCTAACCTGGAACTCAAAACAATCTTCCTGCCTCAGAATTCTGATTCCTGAGATTGCAAGCAAGCATATGCCACCATGCCTTGGTTCCCCAAATTCTTATTCTGTTGTGTGTGTGTGTGTGTGTGTGTGTGTGTGTGTACTTGACATAAGGTAGAGTCATCAGAGAGGAAGGAGCCTCAGCTGAGGAAATGCCTCAGTGAGACCCAGCTGGAAGGCATTTTCTCAATTAGAGACCAATGGGGGAGGCCCATGGTGGGTAGTGCCAACCCTGGGCTGCTGGTCCTGGGTTCTAGAAGAAAGTAGACTGAGCAAACCATGGGAAGCGGCATCCTCCACAGCTTCTACGTCAGCTCCTGGCTCCAGGATCCTGCCCTATTTGAGTTCCTGCCCTGACTTGCTTTGGTGATGAACAGAAATGTGGAAGTGTAAGCTGAATAAACCCTTTCCTCCCCGACTTGCTTTTTGGTCATGGTGTTTCATCACAGCAACAGAAACCCGAAAACATGTTGGTACCAGAATAGAAGGGCTATTGCTGTGACAAACCTGACCATATTTTGGGGAGGATTGCAGAAGAACTTTGGGACTTTGGGTCAGAAGAGCCATTGAGTGTTAAGAGCTCTGTGGGGTGTGGCTGTGGGAGCTTGGGAGATAAGAACTTTGAGAACAGAGCCAAGGATGGAGGCCTAGCTTGTGAAGTTTCAGAGGGAAGTTTAAAGATCATCAGCAGGGCAGTGGTAGCACACACCTTTAATTCCAGCACTCAGGAGGCAGTGGCAGGTTGATCTCAGTGAGTTCAAGGCCAGCCTGGTCTACAAAGTGAGTTCCAGGACAGCCAGAACTGTTACACAGAGAAACCCTGTCTTGAAAAACCATTAAAAAAGAAAAAAGAAAAAATTATCAGAACCATTTGTTATTTTGAATTAAGATACTGTGGTTCTGGCTGGGGCTAAAGAGCCAGCTGTGATTAATGAGATACCAAAATTGCTTTGCTGGGATACTTTATACTGGTCGGCTGGAAGTAAGAAATGAGCAGTGATTGAGACCAGCAAGCCGGGCAGGGTGGGAAGCAGGCTTGTGTCACCCTCCAGCTCCCCTCTCTGCAAGCACAGCTTGTCTTCTAAGCTCAGGCAGGCTCTTCTCTACCACTGCTGCTGTTCTTGGGGGTCATCCCATGGTACTGGCATCTCTAAATGCTAGGGTCTTCTGCTGCAACTGGCTGCACTTTGATCAGTGGCCTCTCCTAGGCATTCCTCATCATGCCAAGCCTCAAATTCTCTGCATGACCCCTTCAGTCCTGGCCTTCAACTGCTACTGAGGCTGCACCTTCATCAATGGCCACTCCCGGCCTCTCACAGTGCAAAGGCTCAGCTGCTTTCCATGACCCCTCAAGCCTTCAAAACCAGTACCACCTGGGTGATGGCTTGCACATTACCAAGCCCAGCTGCCAGCAACTTTGGCAGCCTGCGGAACACAACTTCTCTGTATCTCAGCAAACGCTTCCCAGAAGACCGAGAATGGATCCCAGGCATTGGATGGTTGGAATTTGGTTTTGCTTTGATTTGGTTGACTGTGCCTTGTTTTTGCCTCTTGAAGTAAACATGGAGTCCACAGTTGAGAGACTTTGGATTTTAAAACATTGGCTATTTTAAAGGGACTGAATTTTAATGTGTTTGAATTTGTAAAGATTGGGACTTTAAAGTTATGTTTTTAATGTGAGATCTTGGGGATGAATAAGAAAGGGAGGGTTGTGGCTTAATAGTGATTTGTGTGTCAAGCTCACAAATGATCGATTGTACTGGCTAGTTTTGTTTGTCAACTTGACACAAGCTAGAGTCATCAGAGAGGAAGGAGCCTCAGTTGACGCTCCCTGAGATCCAGCTGTAAGGCATTTTTCTCAATTGGTGATCAGTGGAGGAGGGCACAGACCATTGTGGGTCATTCTATCCCTGGGCTGGTAATCCTAGGTTTTATAAGAAAGCAGGATAACCCGGGCATGGTGGAGCAAGGCTTTAATCCCAACACTTAGGAGGCAGAAGCAGGCATATCTCTGTGGTTCCAGGCCAGCCTGGTCTACAGAGCTAGTTCCAGAACAGCCAGGGATATGCAGAGAAACCCTGGAAGAAGGGGAAGGAAGAAAGAGGAAGGAAAGAGAAAGGAAGGAGGGAGGGAGGGAGGGAGGGAGGGAGGGAGGGAAGAAGGGAGGGAGAAAGGGATGAAGGAAGGAAAGTGAAAGTTGAGCAGCAAGCCAGGGGAAGCAAGCCAATAAGCAGCACCCACCCCATGGCCTCTGCATCAGCTCCCGCCTCCAGGTCCCTCCCCAGTTTGAGTTCCTGTCCTGACTTCCTTCATTGATGAACAGTGATATGGAAGTGTAAGCTGAATTAAACCCTTTCATCCCCAACTCACTTTTTGGTCATGGTGTTTCATCACAATAGAAACCCTAAGACTGTGTGTGTGTGTGTGTGTGAGAGAGAGAGAGAGAGAGAGAGAGAGAGAGAGAGAGAGAGAGAGAGAGAGAGAGAGAGAGAGAGAGAGAGATAGAAATGTATGTGGTGGGTATATACACCACATGGATCTGGAGGCCAGGGAACAACTTTCACCTTTATGTAGGTTCCAGTGAACTATATACAGGTAAACTCAGGTCACCAGGTTTGCACAGCAAGCACATTTATGAACTGAACCATCTCACTGACCCCGATTTTTTTTGAGACAGGGTCTTTGATCTTGTTATGTTGCCAAGGGTGACTTCAGCCTCCCACGTGTCAGGATCATAGGCATTTGCCACCATACCTGAGTCTGATTATTTTAAAGCCACACATCTCCTGAAGTCTCATGATCAGGGTGAGGAGATCCAGTCCAGTTGGGTGAAAGCAGGAGCTTGGAGCACTGGGGAGAGGTGGTACGTGGGTGCAGGGGGTCACCTGAGGTTCTTCATGTGCACGGGGAGCAGTGTGAGCAGCACCTGCCTTAGTAAGGTGCTCGCGCCATGAAAATGTCAGTGTGTAGACAGAATGTTGACACATGGCCAGCCTGCTTCCTGGAAAGTAGAAGATGAGACTTGCTTTTTACTACATTTATATTTTGTGTGTTCTGTGTGTGAACACATGTGGCCAAGGACTGAACTCAAGTTGTCAAACAAGCACCTTTACAGGCTAAATCTGTTGAGCCTTACTGCTTTTTTAGCTACATTTTGACACAGACTTCACTGTGGCCACCCAGTTCTGCGCCTCGTTATGCACCATGGCGACAATGCACCCTCCCTTGAGTCACACAGTGCTGGTTTAGGGGTAGTGCACCTCTCCAGACCTCACATCAGGAGTTAAAACCTGAGTCCCTAGGGTGTGCCAAATGAAGTGTGATCTCTGCTAGTCATTGTGGACGAAGCTCCTGGACTAGGAAATAGATTCACCCAGGCTCTGGGAACACCCACAAGCCCCGTGCCCTTGTCTCTGTAGGAGCGACTTCCTGATTCAGGATGGTCACTATCCTGTCCTTAGCCCACATCTGTCCTTTTTCAAGGCAGCATGTCCTCTAAGAACAGGGTCCCAGTCTGCACACACAGCCCTCTGCGTAGAGTGTAAAGGCAGCTTAAGGCTTTTTTTTTTTTTTTGGCTTGTTTTGCAAGCCCCCCCATATGTAGCCCCAGTTGGCCTAGGACTTGCTAAGGAAGACCAGGCTCTCAGACTCAGAGAGCCACCTGCCTCTGCCTCCCAAGTGCTGGGATTAAAGATGTGCACCACCACACCCTGGCTCATTATGGAGCCTTTACAACTCCTGCCCCTCTGCTGGAACTCTCTCCCCCAGATCTTCCCAGGCACGGTCATTACAACACAATGTTCTTCCCTGTAAAGAGACCCTGTGCTCCCTCTGGGCAAAATGACACTCGTTCAATCTTTGTATCCATTGCTACTCTCAGAGGAGCAAGGGAGGCCCCAGGAGCCCCTGCTCCTCCAGCTGTCCTTGGGTAGGCCTCTCCATCACCCAGCCCACAAAGGCTGCCCTGTGCAATGATTACAGCACATCCCTCAGCACCCTCCTTTCCCATTTCCCAGCTCACACTGGGCCCTTTGGGGTGAAGGAATGAGCAGGATGGGAAATGTCCCCATTAAACAGTCCTAGTTGTAGAATCTTGATGCACACAGAGCCCAGAGAGAGTGAGGAAGGGGCACAAGTCACATAACAGGAGAGTGACCCAGATGGGTCTCCCTGGACTCCCAAGTATCAAAACTCTGAACTCCTGCTCCTGGGGTGACCTGCCTGGCCTGTGTGACTCTGCTGGTGCAAGCAAGAGTCTCATGTAGCCCAGGCAGGTCTTGGACTTACACATAGCCAAAGATGGTCTTGAGCTACCAATCTTTCTTCCTGCCTCCACCTCCCTCGCGCTGAGATCGCAGGTATGCACAAGCCCAGTTTATGCAGTGGAAGGGAAACCCAGGGATTTTTGCCTGCCAGGTTAGTGCTCTACCCACTAAGCCACACCCCTGACACCCGCTACAAGTTTCCTGTGTACTAAGTAGAAGCTAATGTGTCACACATGTAACAAGCTTTATTGAGTCTCTGCTCTATGCCAAGCACTGTGTAGAGAGCTGAAACGCAAGTGAACAGTGACTATTCAAACTAGTGCTTGGGTGACTAGCTGCAGACTTGGCACTGTTCTCCAAACTGAGCCACGTGCTGGGACGTGGCTGGTGGCAGCGCATGGCTAGCTCGTGCAAGTCCACATCAGCCTGACAAGCCAAACTACCAAACAAAAAACACCTTTGGGGCATGATGGTCAATGACTGGAGTCCCAACAGTCAGGAAGCTAAGTCAGCCAGGTTGTAGTGAGTTCAAGGCCAGCCCAGGCTACACATTGACTCAAACAGAAAACAACTGGAATGAACTTGAGCCAAGTGGTATGATGAGTACCTGTCCCTTCTACAGAGGACATGACTGTCCCTCATGAGCTGAGATTCCGATGGTACAAGTGAGCTGTGGCACCTCTCCTAGGGATGCATCCTAGAGAATCTGTCGGCACCCACAGAGATGGCTGCACACCCACTCTTATCAATTCGCCATGCACAATAATCAGCTTGTGGAATCAGCCCAGATACCTAGAGACAGATGAACAGGTGAAGAAATGTCATGGTTATGCATGGTGGTGTTTACTCACTGGTAAAGAGGAAGGAAGTGACATCTTTGAAGGAAAATGGATGGAAGGGGATATTATAGTGTGAAACAAATTAAACCAGATGCACGGGGTGGTGGTGGCACACACCTTTAATCCCAGCACTCGGGAGGCAGAGGCAGGCGGATCTCTGTGAGTTCGAGACCAGTCTGGTCTAAGGAGCTAGTTCCAGGACAGCCTCCAAAGCCACAGAGAAACCCTGTCTCAAAAAAGCACAAAAAAAAAATTAAGCCAGATGCAGGGAGACATGGACCACATACATTCCCTTATGGAAGATAGATGATAGA